TTGTTTGAGGGTATCTTGGACCGGTCGGAAGCGCCTCACCCTGGTGATCTAGCCGAAGTTAATGAAGATAGCCTGAAGGTATTTCCACTGAAACATAATGGCCGGCAAACACGCAAAATGACCAAGAAGACGCACCCCTGATTATGTGATAATTGCTAGCTATTTTCGCTTAATCAGACTGTCATGAACACGAAATTTGCATCCCACAATTTTCGGGGAAATCATAAGTAGACACGGTGTCTCGGTGTTACACGAGGCGCATGCATAATGAATTTGTAAATTTGCGTGATAACCTATCTAGATGTAGGCATCTGTCGTTATAAATGATGGCCAATTCTCAAACGGGATGGCCACACGTAAGGAAAATTCGTGAATGGTATGGTTGGCCAGATCTGTGTTCGAAAATAATTGGGGTTTATGTTTGGTACCGCTAGGATAATACACCAGGCCGGAAAATGCCCAAGAGCCAAATGACCGACAAGGATTTGAAGACATACCCGCGCTTTTTCTCGAACATGGAAATATATGTGGTGCTGGTGGATTGCCGCTGTTCACAGCAATATGCAGTATTAGAACGGAAAAAGACTAGCTGAACAAAAAATAACGTTTCTGGTCGGTCGGAAATCGATTTCCTAAAAGATCGAAGAAAAATAGGAACTCTATGCAATTGTCGCTCGTCAGGATAAACAAAAGCAAAAAAACCTAATATAAATAAAAGCAGTAAGTACTATTTCTCCAATGCGCTTCACCTCTGTAATCCACTAAAATCAGGTCAACGGGCCCTTTCTTTTCTCACTTTCGTATCGGAACTATGGGAATGTTAGAATGCACTCACCATTTAAAAGAAATTAAACTACCCCAACATTAGACATGTCGAATCAGAATGTCGAACGAAAAGTATAAGCAGATAACACGAAAAAGGGTGAATTTAGATAAACGTTTGACTGCAACGTTCGTTGAGTGAGTTTTTTTTTTTAGTTGAATCCAACCAGCGCTTTTCATAGGTCAACCAAGTCCGAACCTCCGTATCTTTTCAACAATTAGGTGCCCTCTGTGCGTGGTCGAAACAAGACCTCCGGAGGCCTGTGTTACCTATTTGCATAAAGTCAACCTGAGTGGTAAACTCGTGCTGGTTCACCAGGAGTAAAACATATTGAAACAGAAACGAATATACACTATCATTACACGGCCAAAATGTCATAAGATATATACAAGGCTTTAATTACGCGTTTGGGCGCAGATCCGAAAAAATACCTCAACAAAACTGTAGATTCTTATTATCTAGTAATAGTTATTATTAAATACACATAGCCACAATGCTATATTTGTGTACGGAATTACATCGGTGATGGTGGTGTCCCCATGTTCCCATGAAAACAACTTAATATTTACTTAATGCTTCTTAGATACGTTTGAGCTCAAGACTAAAACAGCTCTCCATTCAAGTCAGATTATATTTACGGGGACTAAAAGTGTTTATACCTTCAAAAACTTTAAATTGAAAAAAAAACAACAAAAATCTCTATAAAGACATGGATTAAACGATGCTATCGGACGTAAAAAGCCGGAATAGATAGCCCTTTGCTGTCCCTTTCCACGACAATGCCATCCTGCATAAAGCAAAACTTGCAAAAGCTGATCTTAAAAAGCTTGATTAGGAGAGACTCCCAAACTCTGCTGTGCTACAAATTCTGCAGATATTATGCCATTGTGTTACCAGTTTTTCCAAGAACTGGCAAATGAAGTCCGTGAGAACACGTTTTACAAAGAAAAGTGTTGCACAAGTTCTGCACTCGAGCCTAAGGTTTCTGGAGAGGCGGAAGTAAATCTATTGCTAGAGTTCGAGCAAAAGGCTGGTTTTTGATCAGGTAAAAAATCGTCATTATCTTTTGTTCTATATGTACCTGCGTATTGATCTCATTGAGGAATTTGATGATTTGTCAGAAATTCGTTTGGGCAATCTATAGCCCAACATCAACACCGTAGTGCGGAACACTTTTGGTATTCTGTCAGATTTCCTAACACAATCTATGAAAATCGTTATCGCACTTTTCAGATTTACACCCAAAGGAAACGTGTCAGAGTCACATGCCCCGATAGCCGATTATCTCCATGAGAACACATGTGGGTCTTTTAGCGACATTACTATTGGCTTCAACGACAGATTTGGCCTCCTTTGGACAATTTATCTAGTTATCTAGCTAATAAAGCAGTTTGTTTCTATGTGCACCAGCGCGAACGTGGCTTACTGGGTGGTGGAAAAACACAAATTTGCAGTTTTGTTTTCAAACCTTCCTGTGGAGCTGGTCTTGAATTTCGTTAGTCGCCCTACTATTCCACTGTGCTAAGCCTTTACTTGGCAAAGGATTAGTTGCAACCGGATAACTGTTGGTCTGTGTTCACGCTGGAAATTTCGTCTACCTAGCTATGAAATCTTAACTTAATAAAAGTATTTCTTTATATAAGCCCAAAGCTGGAAACAGATGAACCTGTGAATTTACTCGACGGTACTACAGTTAGAAGATATCCCACACACAGGAACCGGTTCAAACGAAGCTAAAAAAGCTAAAGCAACGACAGGATGGGGGCGTGAGGCAAAACTCGCCTGTCAGTCTAATCTAATAGGATCAACATGCTGTGAGAAGTGAGTATCTGGAGATATTAAATACCCCATAGGGCCAATAACCCCATATTTGTTCTTTGCGCTTTTCCCGTGGCGACAGCAGACTGCCCGAAATACTCACCTAAAATGTTTGTTTCGGTCTACTGCCGTTAGGTATTGTTTTTGCGTCAGGCGGCTGCATTCTATATGCGGTCTATAGAGTTTATATGCGGTTTCGAAACTTTTCGACTACTTTATCTGGTACCCCTACAAACGCCCTCATGCCGACCCGAAGTACTGATAAGCCCTCTTACCATCTTTACTATTTCACGTCTAGTAATTTTTCTCAACGATTTTTCCAAAGCAATTATCATAATAGTAATTAAACATCTACTAAAATAAGAACATCGGTTTCATGCAAATCCCCCTCACCGCCTTGCTTCATTATGCGTCATCTCTTTATTTGTATCAACAGCTTTTCGTTTACATCGGCGTTGACTGTTGTTGTCGTTTTTGGTAATGTTGATACTATATGAGGGAAAGGATCATGCAGTTAAGCGCATTATGTACCCACCCCACGCTACGTGACTGCCATCGATTGCCCCAATCTATTGAATACCGACGGCACTATTCGTTCATCACCGTCTCTGTTCGTTAATGACATATCTGGAGAACGGATGCGTACGTTCGATTCTATTTCCAATATTTTTGCTGCTATAGCTTCCTAAAATTATGTACCTGTTATAGCTATTTGCAATAACATTAATCTCAGTGTGTCTGCGGGGACGAACGTTTTACTGAATTGAGGAAAAATTCGAGTTTCCATGCCTACAATCTAGGTACGTCTCGTTTATTGTTGTTCTTTGCTGCTGCTGCTGCTACTGCCGCCGCTGCGATTGACTAGAGAAAAGAAGCCTCAGTGCTAGATATTGCATCACCAACCCATGTGCTCCCATTATTATCTCGTCCTTTTCGGCAATGAGTCTTCTTATGAGCGCATGTAACGCTACTAATGTTACACGATAATCGACCACCAGACATCAGTTTTACCAGTGATTTCCGGCATTTGAAGTCACGAACTTCAATAAAGCTCTACTCAGCCTCAGACCAATGTCCAATTAACATTGTGCCAATGGCACATTATTTGATTGGTTAGTTGATGCTTCCTCGTTGTACTGTCGTAGTCTTCCGCGCTTTCCTACATGCTAGAAGCTTACACCACGTCAACACGTCACGCGCAAAACTGGCTTGCAAATTTCCTTCCCTTTTCCATGTCCCCTCTAACGACAACTTTTCATTTCATCGTTGTCATTGTTCTCGCATCTGCTGCCTATCTACGTATTATTATTGTCGCATTATATCGCATTTATGAATCTGTTTATGATTGGATAGTGCACCGCTGGCGAAATACGTCTGCCGTACCTTTATTGCATGTTTACATTGCTTCCATGATTGATCGGGTCCTTGTTCGGTTTTCATTGTTTGCTTGCTTGCCTCTGCATAGATGTAAGGTTTGTGGTGCTTATTTTATTGTTCTCGTTTCATCGTAAGTTTGATTTAAAAAGTGTCACTGCAATTAGTTGATTCAAGAGAACAATCTGATAATGTACCACTGAATATATCTACGCATACTATCAATTCACTGCTCAAATAGTTGTGAGACCCCTACGAATATCGCTTAATATCTTCACTATTTAGCCCCACTCAGAACAAGCCCCACTTGGTTATAACAATCTGTGGGTTTTGCATCTTATTCACATATCCTGTACGACCGTTTGCTGCTTTTAGTAAACTTTTAATAATATGATCATCCTAATGCGTATTTGATATCTTTTTACTAAAGTAGCGTGTTCGCCTAGTGAACTGTTACGCTGTCTGTCATATCATTACATCACGTGTCGCTGCAGTTTTAATTTAGAGAAATACTTATATTGGAATTGACTAACATATAGAGCTTATTATTCGTATCCATAGTGGTATTAATATTATAATTATTCTGCCTCTACGTTTTTCCTGTTTGGTATTATCATTTTTCTGCGTCGATCTTCACCAGAAAGAATCATATCTACACGCGTCACGAGTATCGCATCCGCCGCAGGGTACATACATAAGGTAGAATTACGTATGAGACATGTGGCGTGAAGCAACTCTATGTTTGCTGTTCTGCGGCCGATTCGGTTGTTGTTAAGGACGAAGGACGATCAAGTTCCTGCGATAGCGTAGTGGGTAACGTGTTTACCTAACAAACATAGGGACACGTGGTGATCTAAATTCGAATCCTAGTATAAGCTTCATTTCGTACTGGGAGTGATCAGGCGTCTGAGTTAATGTGTACCGGCGTAAAGGGCGATAGAATATTTTTTGGGGGCTAGCAAAGCGAGGAATGAAAACATTTGCGCGACTCGTTTACTACTACAAAGAAGCAACTCCCTTAAGCAGACGACTTCTACCCGCGCAGATACTTTATTTTAAAATAAGTTAGTCCCGCGTCGTCATCACGATAACAAACAATCATTTTGCTACCACGGTGCATATATGAGAGCAGCTGACAAAATTGCACATCACCGTGTGGCGAAATACATGTACATCATCTTTTTCTTCCAGGTGAAAACCATGTGTACTTTTCCGAAAAGAAACATGACCATAAAGAACACATCACCCGCACATTTTCCTGTCACAACCGACTGGTGGTAGATGTAGATTTAATGTTGCTATGGCTACGACTGCTAAAGCTGTTAGCGCCGTTGCACTCGGCTCCCCGAAACCAAGTAGCGCAGCTGTCGCGTATCGTCGACTGGCATTTCTTTTAGAATTATCGCAATAATACCCCTCTTGTTATTCTTGTTTTAGGTGCAAGTTTGTTCATCAAGAACACCCATTCACATACCATGTCAACTGTAAAACTGTTGTCTTTAGTCAAAACACCCGTATATGTTTGTGTTTGTATTCCCTCATCATCACTATTAATAGTATACAATATATCTTAAACATACAGATGCACAGATGTCACAAAAGAGCTTGAATATCAGGACGAGTGGGGAAGGCCATCGGTTAGCGAAACGTATTTAAAGTCATAATAAAAATTAATGGATCAGCAAAAATCAATTACTACACGCTAAGCAAAATTGAGCTAAATATCCCAATGTGACCTGGGGCATAAATATCAAGCTCGTATTATTGTCAGTTGTGCAGCAAACAAATTACCTCTGTTTTTCGTCGCTACGGCAAGTTTACTTTTACATTATGTATCGCGTATCTACAGGTTTAGAAAAATGTGGGCAGCTAACACTTGGAAAGGGTGCAAGGTTCCGAGTTGTTACTTTCGTTGGTCATCCTTGTAAAATACATATTTAGGGGGAAATAAATAGCTTCTACAAACAGATTCATTTTGTCGGTTGCTAGTTTACCGCTTTGTACATTCGTTTCGACCATCTAGTCAGTCAGCTCCTGGATCCTTCGGCCATCAGCTGGATAGCATTGCCTTGATTAGCGCCCGACCCGAACACCCAGATCTATAGTACAATCATTTGGATTGATTGGTCTTTCGCTCTTATAGCCCGCGGCGTGTATCCAAGTGTCTCTTCAACCAAGTCAATTAGTAGCCAAACCCACTCGTTTCAAAAAGCCCGCCACGCTTAAATTACAATATTGTCAGCTGTCCCTAGATATGCACCGGATTTTCTGTCGGCTCACAAAGAACAAGGACGCCGTGGAATACTCCCGAAGTGACGCCGCGCTCCCGAATTCGCCCGTCCTTTGATGGAATGATCTCGTTTATTTTCGCAATGTACTTCCCTTGTCAACCAATGAACAGATGATTGATGTGCGACCTACATAAAACAGCATCGGCTAACATCAAAATCGAGAACAGCCGTGGAGGATCTACTTCACCCAGTGTAGAATAAAGCAGACAATAAATAGTCAACTTTTTTCAATTATGTTGTCGTTAAATTCCTACAAGAACTCGTATCTCCATACTCAGATCCAGTCTTCTGTTACGTACCAGATGATTTGCTGGCGCTTAAGAGATTTAAAGAAACCTAACATCGCATCCGGAACATGTCTGGTCTTTTCTAACTGATCTAGTCTTCTCTAAAAATCTATCGCTCTACAACTTCCTCGCTTTGTAGCGTAAGTATGTAAGACTGGCAATTAGTTGCCAGCATATTATTACCATATTTCATAAATACAAATCAACAAAGACAGTATCGCAAATATTCTGATCCTTATCACTACTGGATAATGCTGCTTTGTCTCATCAGCTCGAACACACACATACAGGCTTGGACGCATTTCTCGCGCAATGTTATTTGCTAAGAGCTGTTCCTTCTCTACTACATCACTGTATGGTATCTGGAAAAAAAAAACAAAACCAGTAACAGCCGTTTCATCGGTGACTTATCAGCATTGATATTACAAAACAGATTTCTTTTTTTCGCAACATTCCTAGTGATGATAGTAGGCGACGCGGATAATAACAGATCTCGTCACGAATTTCAAAGCTGCCCGGTCCACACTATAGTCACACGGAGTCATCTACAAAAACGGCAAGAAGAAAGTCAATTTTTAAGCTTTGTAGCGGTTGCTAATTGATATTGGAGTTTGTTATAATTGAAATTGAAATGCTAATTAAACATTCAAGTGATGTGCCTGTAGCACCTTGTAAGCTAAGTTATTAATAAAATAATGTAAAGATATCACAATTGGTAATGGACAAGTTAACAAACGGTTGGAAAAGAAACTGACATAAGTAACGGTTATGGGGCGCAATTAAAAACACATAAAAAATGAATATCGATTCATTGAATGTTAACGAACTCTCCCAACAAATCGCAACATGTAAGAGACCGGAAAAGTCTCTGGCTTGGAAGACCGCTGTTTTTAAGGTCAAGGTTGTCTATTGCTCACGTCGGATAGATGAAATATAATTATACGGGGACACCAACTCGGCTCCAACGATTCATACAATTTTCGAAAAACGAAATTTATACTCATGTTACGATGCGGGCCTGTCATTTAAAAGCTTACCGTGATACCACCATTTGGTCTTCTTTGGGTTCTTACTACATGTTTTTACATATAGCGTATTGTCAGCCGGCCGCTTCTGTGAACACGAACCCACACAAACAGATAAAATTTGTTAAGTATGGAAACCAATGTATAATTAATGGCTGACAATTGCTTACAACTACACGATCTGTTAGAAAACTAACAACCCATCTAAATATTTCTTGCGACCACGAGGCGCTAGCGTGTAGCCTTAAGTTATTTGCACTGCAGCACCTCGAATGAAGACCTAACAACGATGGTCACATTCAGCAAGCAAATAATCAGCCAACGATGTTCTGTTTCTGCATTTCCATTATGTTGTTTTTGGACCATAATTATTTTAGCCCATTAGAATCCTCTTTAGCTTGTATTTCTCTATGGTAAGTCTTTTGTTACCGATTAAAGCAGTCTTTACCTTTTCTTTACACGAAGACAACATGGAAACGATGGATAAGCAGACCGCATGCACGGACAATGCAGGTGACCAATCATCAGTAAGGATCGACAAACAAATATGGCCGTTCGAATAAACATGCGGATGCACAGGGATGTTGGCCCCTACGAACGTCACCTGCGAGCAAAGAGAATAAATGTCAATTTTCAGTAGGGTTTTTGCCACTGACTGCCAGTAAGTAACCGAATCGTCGTGCGCGTAAGTATGTTTTATTGGTTATCTGCATTGGGTATGTTATTCCCTTAGATAGAGCGGCAAGCTTTACTTAATCGGAAATTTTTTTTTATAAAATGTACATCTCAAGTCGAGCGAACCTTTAGGCACTTCAGTCTGATACAACCTCTAACAAGGTTACAATTATATACTTCAAAGTGTTCGTCGTCAATACAAACTATACTAAAAACATTTCGCAAGGAAATACTACGTTACATATGTACCATTACGGAACAAGGAGCGATTAGCGTTGCAGAACCTGAATATATTATAAATCGAGTATTTCGACTGTAATAGCTTTAACCGTTTTAAACTCACCCTTTTATATTAAAAAAAAAAGCCCAGCTTCGTGATCAGTAGTAATCGGTAATCGACGTGTTATGTTTACGAACCCGTTTAGTCATTATAGATTTTTGTAGCGATTTGTTGAGTATACAAACCGAATATTACAAAGTCTACATGCATACTAGACTTCTTATCAAACAAATAAAGGCCTACAATCTCCCCTACCTCAGGCGAGTCGAAAGGGTACTTTGGGGAGAATTTAAAAAGTAGTTGAAATTTTTCTCCTTCGTATAAAGTGCCCGGAGCTCCCTCCATATCCACGACCCACCTGAAACAACACAAACCACTATTAACGGAGTTTCCTATTAAAAAATACAGTGCGTCTAGTGCTTCTTCTGTTAAATACTGCCTCTTCAAATGACTACTAGTAGCAGCTTAAAAAGAAGTATTGACTATGTCCAATTTTAAATCTCGACCACCTCAACTGCTGTCTACAGGTATGGTAGGCAAACACGCTATCACTACACCATTACGTGCACGACACGTTTAAGGAGTGTCAGTTAATTTACGATTAGTGCCAACAAAAGGTAGTTTCCAGGGGATGTGCAGATGGTGGTTTGATTAGTGATTGCCTGGTTGTGATATACATTACGAAACGGGTAATTAGCAGCATCCAGCAATGGATACAGCCTTCAGCTAAACAGCCACAACTCAACTGGCAATATTTGTCATCTGTCGCTACGTCTATCCTATAGTAAAGAGCGCATCTTTACGGATAATAAAAGCTTCCGTTTATTTTACATTAGGTTCCACTGTAATGTATAATTACATAACACAGTGGTCACAGCGTCAACCCAAATTAAAAGCAAATGAAGGTTAGGCGAAACATTCAAGGCTGATTAAACAATTAAACAATAATACTTATTACTCTATATATATATATATATATATATATATATATATATATATACATACATACATATATATATATATATACAACAGTAATTTTCCTTTAAAACTTCGTTGCGTAAATCCCACCGTGTTAGGGCAAGCTGCTTCTCAGACTACCACAAAACCAATAAACGCCACTCGGCTCATCTTCAACCTTTTACATTCAGTGGACAATTAATGCATAGAATGAACGCTTTAGATGTCGATTTGGCAGAGTGTTTACAGTTAGTGTGTGATAAGATCACTTCTACACAGCCAACATATATATATTGTCTCGTCCTAAGCTTATTCTGCAATGATTCCGTCATCGACGCGGTTGTCATACTTACTGGGTAAGACTGTGAGATCCATGAAGAGTATCTGCATTTATGGAGACCCCTGGCGAGGGCTCCTTTAGCATTGACAGAAGCTCCTTTTGGAGCCGTTTCTGAAATCAATAAAACAGTGGCAAAAACCATCAAAATAAGTCGTGAACAAATAATATGGTCATAGAAGTCTGCACAAATCAAGTTCATGTGGCACAAAAATATGTGTGGAAACTGCATCCGGCGTATGCCAATAAAGGTTTATTTGTCTGAGGACTAGAGCGAGGCATGTATGGTCATAAAAGCCTCTAGAAGATTCTGTTCCGACAGCGTAGCGAAGATGATGCACGAAACGTAACGTGACACAATATGACTGCAATGTCAAATATCGTTATCGATCTGTTTCATGTTTTTAATCGTCGCCGTTGCTAGCAGGTATTATCCTATTGTTGATTAGAAGCAAACTTAACTAAGTCACAACCCCTAAATGTCGTATTTGACGTACGTTTAGCAGACTGCACTGACTACCCGAAGAATCCATGGGCACGCTCCTGAAATATAGAGCATCATTGTCAGTAAAAGTATAGCCTTTTGTAAACCCAATTACAGATCAGAATAATAATGATCGACCAGGCAACAATTGACACTAGCGAACTTACCTCATTACCGTAGCCCATTCTATAATAAACTGAACTTAGTTGTTATAGTAATTTTGCTTGCCATGCTCATGAAGAGTGAATTGATCTTATTATCTTAAGATTATAAACAGAACGGGAAAGGAGCATTTAAACTTGCTGCAGGTGTCTCAGCTGTTATGATGACCACATAGCGAAGTTCTCAACTGCGCTTGATTCCTAATCGCAACTTCAACCTTCGCCAAAAATCTGACATCATGATAATTGCAATAGCAAATAAAGTTCTACTTAGCGACTGCCTGGTAAGAGATTTCTGTTTTGTTCACCTGGAGTGTTACCCAATAGGTCTCCTATTCTTCAAATTTAGACAACAAGTTTTGGTTTCATTGGAGAACCGACTTTATCTGCCACGTTCATCGCTTTGCGAAGCGCATGCTTTTGCGTATGTTTTAATTACACATTGTTTTTTGAAAAATTAAATGACAATATAGACAATTTGCCACATATCGTTCAATTTATCTATATCAATCTATATTTATTGAATGGCACATCCGTACATATCAGATATGAACGTTTTTTAGCGTTTTTATTGAACTCTGTCTAGTCTTTGGCAACAGGGGTATGCATATATCAGTGCTTCCGATTTCCATGCAATAATTTACCGCAAACTTGTATGTGTTGAGTGGCTTTGTAGGGTTAGAAAAGACTGAGCATAGATAAATGGTTGATAAATAGCCGATTCGAGTGAAATGAAATTTAGCTGTGTTAGAATATAATTTCGAACCCATTTTACCCCAGCTCATTTGAATATTGTGTATATACATAGAGCAAACTGAGACCAATGCTGAGGGATTGATATCACCAGATAATAGTCCTGATCATAATAATCACTACGCAAAATCACTTAGCTCGAAGTACTCGACGTATATGTTGATCGCAAATATCTAAATAAAATAACAGAATCAGGCGAACGCCGCAACAGAGGACTGTTGGTTCGTTAGACTACAGACGTTTATAAGTAGTTCATAGCATGAACTGCAACAGCAGGAGGCAGATCAACTTGACATCGCTACTGCGTCTCCATTGATAGAGATAGAAACAGCAGTCAACAGTGATTTCATAAAAGGACTTTTTTCATTTATTTTATCGGTACGAGACCCGATCTTCATCAATTAGTAACTAATTAATCTACTAGAGAACAAGTCGAATAATTTTGATCTAAATTGTAAAACAACACAGATTATTATTATTATTATTATCCTTCAAAATGCTTGCCTTATCGAGGTGACAAGATAGATCGGGATAAAGTTTGCTAATATCATTTGTCGTCTATGTCAGCAAACGGGTGTTCCATGAAAACCTCAATTGACCACAGACGTTCTTCGAAAGTATCTTTTATTTTTTGATGAATAACTTTTCCACAGGCTGTAGAGAGTCGAACGTTTGGCAGAAACTTTTGTTAGGCTGTTATGAAATTTATGATATGGGCCCCACCCTATGTATCATACTGCGTTGAAAATCTTCTGCGCACACTACTTCTGCATTTCCCATAGTAAAATGTGGAACTACACACTTTTTATTCGTCAATCTTTATCCAGAGCATTTTACTTAATTCGCAGCCAATTTATTTCAGCACTTCAATTTCGTCGTAGTTTGTAAAGCAGCTTCATGATTCTACATTTGATTAAGATAAAACGCAGTCGTGATACCTGGTTACGCCATGCTTCCGTACATTGTTTTGTCCGGATTTTTTTTGCAGAGGAAAACTTTCACCTTCTTTTATCGATCCCATCTATGTTGATAAAAGGGCCTCTACCTTGTAGATGGAGCTAGGCGCCTCATCAGTCATGAAGCACCTTCAAGAATACCTTAACTGTTTGTAACAACGGAGAAGGCTAATGGTCAATCTGCTTGAGGCCTTAGCTATTCCTTTAGGAAGCGAATAAAATCACGCAACTTGTCATAAAACCTACAGATAAACAACTTATTGAATCAAGCATTGAATATACGGAAAAGGCGTGGTTTACAAGTTTACTGAAGTTACCTGCAACGCGTAGTGTCTGCATAATCATAAAGTAAATACTATTTACATCTTAAAACAATGTTATGAAACTAATTATCGCTATATTGATCGATAAGCCGATATGAAATTTGTACGGCTTCTAAGCGAAAGAAAGTGATTTTTAAGGCCCTCTATTAAAACTAAATGTGCACCATTAAGAGAGGCCTACAGAGACCGAAATACATGACAATCTGCTCGTGCAAGATCCGAGCTTTACGATGAATACATTAAGATCTCCCATCTATCTAAATTTTTCAACTTATGCCGGCTAACTAAGAATATACGTGGTCTGGTATTTTTCTTGTAGAGCACAATGTCCTTTCCGTTTGCTAGCCTCCATCAATTTTTTCAGTGACTTGTTGAATGCATCGGTTTAGTTGTAGAATATTCGATTCTATTCCGATACAATCATATATAAAATATCATTTTTTTAGTGGCACCATATTGTAGCGCCTTTTTCTCGCACGTTAATGTCGTATGTTATTAGCTTTCCATAATCCGCTTTAAAAATGGCTCAGTTTTGTTGCGTTTTGCGTATGGAAATATAAGTTAACTCGATTGTTTTGCGGCAGTTCGCCTGACCGCTAAACATTGATTTTCTTTTTGCAACTAGCTCTCATCAAACAGTATGAAACAGACAGTTTTATACTGTTTGATGAGAAAAAATAAAGGAGAGATGTTTACTTTTTTGGCGCCGTCATGGACGCTCACATGTCGGTGCTGCTCAACCTGCAATCGTTTCGTTAACTTTTTCGTAGTTCGTTGACCACTACGAGGAACACTGAAATTTCCATGAGAAAGGCGACAGAACTATCTTTGAACAGTTTTTTCCGATATGGCATCTTGGCCATAAGCATAGATTTTTTATGGGCTTATGTATATGAAGACATTCGTATAGTTTCAGCATACCTACCTCTGTTGAACCTAAGCTTTCGAATAACACCAATGCAGACCCGACATGGCCCATTATCTGAATTATATGACTAAAGCCATTTAGCTACAAAAATCGTCACCATTACAACGCAATATTATAGGCTGATAAGTTGTTCCAGATGTTTAACATGTTACAGAAAAGCAAAATACTTGACAATGTCTTTTAGCTGTCAAGCCATATCTAGCAAGGCTCAGTGTTATTTTGCCTTGAAATGGCATTAAAGTCTTGCCCACTATTTATTAATATATATATATCTTTTTTTAGACAAATCTAGCCATAATTCCATTGAAAGTGCAAAATAAACGCGACCTATGATTATCTTGAGTATATTATTAGAATCTAAATAATGAATTGCTTAAACGAAACAGCATGGGACTGTGAGACCCAGCTGTCGTTTGCATCGCCCAACAAAAAATCTAAAACTAATTTAACCATTGATTTCGATTATTATTGTTAATCATACTGTGATCATACGACAAGAATACGTCTCGTAGTCATATTGTAAGTCTATTTCATATCAAATCATGAACATTTGCAAATTATAAAACAAAATAACCCTCTTAACTGAAATTAGAATTAAATAACAAGACCCCGTTTACGTTGTTGTAGGCCTAGTTCCGTCAATTATCTTTTGTAGAATTTCTGCTGCTCTGAGTTGGCTACGTTAAACATGTTGGTTGGCTTACACTTTTCTAACGTCAACAAGTTTTCTCACGAAATAGAAATAATAAAAATCAATACGCTGCCGACGCGGTAAATATATAGCCAATTAACACGAAATCGTCCTCGAAAATGGTTTAGAAAACATATGACACATGGATTCAGTTACCACTGTATTTACCCTCAACACCCTGACGTCGCTCTTGCAATACGGCCGCGATGTTTCAGTAACCCTCTAAGAACAGTTTTCTATTTAGATTACATAAAGTCTCTCTTTTCCACAGTCTTGTGTCGACTGCTTAGGCCAGGGAGTGTCGACTTGGCTTGCGATAGCGCGGGAAACCGGCTATAACAAGCTGATCCTTGCAATAGCAAATGGTTTCACCTGATTGCTGAGACGAAAGTCTCCACAATCAGGTGAAACCATACCCTACTCACCATCAGGATCAAGGGGTACCTAGGGTTTATAATCACGGCAGGGTTCCATTGAGGATACCTTTTACTCCGCCAGCGCAGGTTAAAACCAGACATTGTATTAAAGGCCGCTTACATCCAAAGGAGTTCAATTTTTGCACGAAACAGTTTGTGGGACGTGAATCAGTGTCGCGACGCAAGTCTTCCGCTCCAACCGATTCTTCTGTACTTACGAAATCTCCCTTTTTATGGTTACGTGTCGAAAAAAAAATCTATACGGACTTTTTTGAAAGAAAATCACTAAATTTTCGACGACGTTGATACTTATTTTCGATCTTTTCAAATATTTTCTTGTTCCGTTCGAATGGCGTTGTCAGCAAATATCATTGGATACGGATCTTAGGCGCTGCTTCACTTCACGGGATTTCTAATAAAACCCAGTAGCCATAATAAAGAGGCCTATTTCAGGTTGAACTTAACGGTCATCATTCAAATGGCTCTTTGAAGATAGCGGGCACAATCAACCCGCCTTATACCCTCGATCTGTAGATCGTACGTTTTGTAGAGAAGAGATCTCGAAACCTTAGGTGATGCTTTTACACAAATATTCCATTCGGCTCCAATGAAGAAGGAACGATTCTGTGGATGTTACGTAATGACTGGTCTATTTACCAACGTAATGCGCATTGTGCAAGTCCGCTAAACTCTTCTAACGTAACACTGTCTGAGCGTCTACCGCGTTTCGGTGAGTCATTATGTGCTTGAATTAAATGTTGACAGCAATATCTCGTATAGGAGCTAACGACGTCTAGTATCAAACCGTATCACCGTTAGAGGGACAGCTGGGCGGGTCGACGTTTGGGTCTATCACAGACGTCGCGCATAACTCCACCGACATCATCAAAACGTGTCTCAGCGTTCGACTGTTAATAATGACTTTTAATAAATAGCACTCAGTAAAAACAGAATAAAGAAATGACAACCATTCGACATAATGCTGCTTCTGATAGCGAAGCTGGTCATAGTGAAAATTGCTAACGAAAAATGGAAACGTCGCTAGATATTACAGAGCACAAAGCCTCGATACTTCTATGTTCAAAGGCCGACCTAAAAATGAAAAACTATTCTTTAAAATCGATTACACTCAGTAGGTATGAACAGAGATTTCACATCTGGCGCTACTGCCGTTAGGCATTGCTTTGGATAGCTGGTGCTCCCGTTTTTTTTACAAAAATACATTTTCGCTCTGCTTGGAACCTAAACCTTGATGCCTTTGCACTTACCAGGCAAATATGCTACCTTTAAACGATTTCGTTGGAACGGTATAAAATATGAGCTACTAGAGAATAACGGTGATACGAATAAATTAATCTACCAATCGAATGTAGTGTGAGGATTTTGTCAATCGAATCCTCGCTCGAACATATGGCGTTGCCTTAGAGGTATGTCTTTGAATCATCTCATGTTCTTAGACACTGAACGACATATGCCACTAGCTAGTTCGCTTCACATAGCCGAACATTTGTTTAACTACCCTCCTCTCTCCAAAAGCCTAAAAAAGCTGATGGCACTTAGTGCGTAGAAATAAAGCAATCCTTCCCTGCGTAAGTTGCAAGAGCATTCAAACGCCATAACCTTTTTTCAAACAAATTGAGCTGCTATAATCTATATTCCAATTTTACCCCTAGGTGTAAAATACAACCCTCTCAGTGCATTAAAAAGCTTTTAGCCTATCCAACATAAATTCAGTAAAATGCAGCCCGGAGGTGCATGTACAGAATCGACAAAGATTCTAACCGCCGACCGAAAACGGCCTCGAAAAAGTGTTGTTAGAATCACAACACAAAATGGTCGTTATTTTTCCAATTACGAGTAGATTGATTGGTAAAATTATCAATAGAGCCTGGGCATCCATCATTAGCCAGTGAAACTTAGACGTTATAGGTAACAAATACCATTCGCAACATTTCCCTGGGAACCATAGGATCCTAGCAAGCCTGCGACGGTCATAGATAACTTGTTTCAAGTTAAACGTTCGCATAAAGGCGCTCAATGTTTTCTGGAAAACATGAAATAATGCAGTCTTATCTATACATTTATCTATGCACTAAGAAAATGAGGGTTGAAGGCTGTAAACCTATTCACAGAGTACACCTTTGGCTAATCAGCCAGCGTTTATGGCGGAAGTTATATTTGTCTCATTTATCATCGATGACTATTTGTGCACAAATAGGAAAGTAATGGTCAAGCCTATGGTCGAATTCAGCAAATATAGATAGATCGTTAGTCATGAACGTAACCTCTGTCATCGACATATAGACGAATTACCATATAAAGGATCACTAGTGCGAATAGACCTGAACTCTGCTTCTGATTGCCTTTATTAATTATTGAATCAACTACCACACCATTTTAGCTTACGGCTTGTTCGTCGCTAATTCCTCTATTTTCTAGTTCATTTTTTTATTTATTTTTTTTAATTAGCACGCTCGGAAGCTCGTAGCTTATTTGATGCAAATGATTCGTTTATTTACTCTCCTTCCAGTAAAGAGCCTACTTTTTTTAATGGTTTTATACTTACATCCAGTAAAGAATTTCTCGTTTCGCAATGACAATGGTTAGCTAGTGGCATATTCTTTCAGGCCCCATTACCCTATACGGTCCATAACCCCGACCCCAAGTATTTCTTTCAGAGATTTTAATAGCAGCACACCAAAATTTACGCAGGATACGCCTCTGTGACGTTAGTCAGGATTTTATTTTCTATGCGCATTTGGTTCTATGAGCAGTAGACTGGCGGGATGATGCCGTTCTTACCACTGTGTAATTGTTGTCTATGAATTGTTGTCATTGCTATAAATGCGCGTGCACTACGCACTACTACCGGGCAGTTTGATACAGATAGAACAACTGAAACGCAAAGCCCTGTGACAAAGCCGGTACCATTTCTACCGTTAACCAAACTCAAAGCTGGTTCAATCGGCCCCATTTTTTTCATAACGCCATAAAGTCGAGTTTTATTCAATGAGAATCAGAGCGGACAGAAACAGGTAGATCTAATTCGGCAAAGTAGATCTCAAATATATGTAATGTTATACTTTGTATGCCTATTTTTTTTGCAAAAAATACGCCCATTACAATGACGCATAATCCGTTAAACGCCATAAACTATGCAATAAAGCTCTAATAATAAACCGCTCGCATAGTACAATTTCTGTACAATCGCACAAACCAATTCAGATTCGAGATTATTACGCAGCCTTTAATTAAAGAGCATCCGCTAGACCGGCTAAGGCCAATCCCGCAGTCTCGCTTAAAAACCCGACTATAGAAAGATAATATTTTAGCTTTAGCTGCCGCTCAATCCTTCGTTATTGGCATCGCGTTCGACATAGCCATAAACGTTCGCATCAAGACGCGGCAATATCCAACTATAGTAGCAGCCCAATGTCGAGCACGTTATAATTCCATTTCATATGTGGCAGTAAATATTCGGCCGCGTTTTCCGCTCGTTGAATTGATGTATATATTGATGCATAATGGTATAAATAGGTTATTCGTGGGAACGTCGCATCTACTATTACTGTTATAATATATCTTTGGAGAGCAGAATCGAGCATAAGAACATGCCACCACAATGCCCTTGGCATCGGTTCGAATAAGACAGGTATTACATACGTCATGCTAAGCCAAAGCTGGGATACAGGATGCACTTTAAGCAGCAAAAACAAAACCTGACTAACTTCGTAGATGTCAGCGAATTATGTCTTAAGACTGAGTTGATGATTCACACATTGATGAGAACAGTTGGTAGGGGCCACCATTTATAACACCACGATCAACTATACTTAAACAGAAAGAAACATGTGAATATTGATAAACACTAATTTTAAAATCGATAACTTTATAGAATGCAGACAGGCAGGCTGCCAGGCAGCCTTGTTATCGCGGCCTCACTTACCTGGTCAGACCCGTAGATCATATACGTACGCGAATATATGTATTATACACTCGAGCTGTGACCGCTACACTCTTTTTGCTACAGCGTCCTTACTGCAACTACGGTTTCGACCTGTTTAGTTGGCGACGCTGATGCACATGTTTTTCTGGCAATTGCTTGCTTCCCTCTAGTTGCTTTCTTTTTGTTGTTAACGTATAATTAATGTATCAGACGAAACGAAGTTTGGTAGCTGATTCCCGTAGCGGTTGTCGTTTTCATTGAATTACAGCGATTGACGAAACTGATTCGAAACAATGACACCCGTTGGAACCAACTATTCTTGCCGCCTCAAACGAATTTCCGCTACTCCAATACACTAAGCATCAACAACCGTACAGCGTCTTCAGCCACGACGATATCTTGATGCGGGGACGATATTCCGTTGCGGTCACCGCACTGGCTAATATTCACCAACTTTGCCAGCACAGCTCACCGGCTCAATCTAGTAGACTTCTTTTTCTCCCTCAGTTTTTCTCTACTCGATTACACTGAACCCGAACGCCTTTATCGTTGCGAGAGATGAGATGTTCCCTTTTGTCGATGTGGAAGTAGTGGCACGGCGGACAGCAAGAACAATAATAATAGTAATAATAACAACAACAATAATAAGAACAATAACAATAATAATAACAACAACAACAACAAAAGAGAACCACCTCACACACTGAAGTTGCTTCTCCGCGTCTGGTTAATCCCGGCCGTCGGTCGAATGCGCACGACATGAAATCGGTGAAAAAGAAATCGAGACATGGACCGCGTTAAGATGATGAAAATTTTCTATTGTACACTACCAGTCAAATGATTTACAACCCACAGTGGCGGCAAATAAATATTTAATATGTAACGATACGAGGACGCTACGAATTGACGAAGTCGCTTCTCTCAGGTTTCCCCCCTTATACATACGTGTTTATGTATGAATTAGATACAGTTGAGCTTGTTCATTGGACTCGTCGCGATTCTGGGCAGCGACACAGTCAAAACGACTGGCCGTCCTGCAACGATGGAGTCGAAAATGTCCTGCACCTTAAACATCTAATAAACAGACATGGTTTTGTTAATAGCCCAGTAGCGCACGAGATATAGCACTCACCATCACCTTACGCCAAACCAATCAGCAGCAGCAGCGGAGAGCGAACGCACCAACTCAACGTTCCGAGCACACATTGACAGTACACGGTCTCTACTAATCCGCTTGTGAGCCTACGCATACGAACAAACTGGCTTACCCAAGAACAAAACAGTTAGCCCGATAGAGAACACTTATTTTACAGATGAGGTTGCATTGCTTGTGAACATCAGCAATGGCCCGGTACGACGGCAAATGGAGCGGCAGTGAGGGCCACTAACTTACCACCCCCACGTCGCTGCCAGCGACGATTCTTGTACCACCTCTTGGTAAAGCTAGTGACGATACAGCAGTTAGTCGAAAGCAGCCGCAATGGCCACAAAACCACTCGACTCTTTCTCTCCCTCTGTTCGGTCTGTCGCTGGATGCCCTGCTGCACTACACTCCGAGCTGTAGCAGTATCAGTTTGCGCTTTGTTTTTGTTAGACGACGAAATGTGCCAGATGATGACAACGACAACGGCGACCAACGTGAATAAACCAGTCAATAGGAAAGGGAGATCTAGGATGCGACGGATTCGGAGATCGACAACTACGCGGTAAAATTAGCCGTCCCTCATCAGAAAGAGTACGGAGAGAACTGAGTCCGTGTGTTGTTCCGTACCGTACGCTCTCGATACACAAAATACAGCACAGACAGACGCAATCAGCCAGCGACCCAGAGATTGGTCTGCTTGGTTCGTGCGTCTGACCGACCGTAGAATGTAAAGCGCTTTTGAAACGGTGCGATGTAAGTGACTAGAATGGTGGATATTGACAAGCAGTGTTACTGGTGATGGCCAAGAAGCAGGCTCACTCAGTCTTTTAATCTGTCATTGTCGATCGGCGCTGCTGAAGGGAGAGGTTGAGGACCCGACGATCTGTCTAGAAACACGAACAGCAGGCGAATCAGCTGCGGCTGTAGCGATCAGTGTCGTACACTTCCATCATCTGCATCGGGGCCAAAACAAATACCAGAGGGCGTTGCAGACGAGGTGATCGCGCGGAACTAACAAATGCGAATCAATGTTGCCGTTCGTCTCTCTACTGACTTAAAAACGAATCAATATAAAATGTAAAGGTAAGCATATTTTAATTCAAATTTGACAGGCTCTTGTAGCCTGAACAGCTAAATAGACAACAGAGAAATTAACGTGAAAAACATTTTGTGAAAATCATTTAATAATATATGGCATCGAGAAAATCAAGATTAGTAGTGAGGAAATAGGGTTTGTCTATTGAAAGCTATCACGGATCATGAGCTCAACGTTTGCTAGACGTCAAAAGACCTAGAAAAAGGTAATTCGAATCGCGGGAATCTATTGGCTAGGCGTATGACAGGCATAGAAAACGTGTGAGTGGAAAGGAAAACCGGCTGCTCTAAATAAGATACTTCTTGCAAACAATAAGTGAACCCGTTATGCTAGCGATATTGATAATAAATTTCATAGAAAATTGACGTCTCGTTAACTGATTACGAATCCATTGCGCTATTTTGCCATAGGAGAAAACTTAATGGTCATTCATAATTAAGTAGCCCTTGGCACACATAATAAGCCTCTAATTCTACAGCAGACTGAAACAGTTTAATTCGTGCTATTGCTTGAATGTGTTTAACTTAGAAACAAATGTCTCATATTAGCACTATTTACAGACAAGAAGCAAGGGAAGCTCAGCAACGGTTGTGAATGTTCGTTCAGTAAGTCGTGTGCACGCCGCATTCGTTTCCAATTCTTCGACGCTTTTCAGTTATGCGTAGTGTCATAGATGGTGGTGACTAAAAGCAACAACTGATGTATTCGTGAATTTCAATCACAAAAGCATATTTGTAAAATGCGAATTATGAATATCAAGCAAGCTAAACTAGATTTGTGAACAAAAAAAGCTTAGCAAACCACCTTTTTCTTTGTCAAACAAACATGCCCGCTAATGCTACACGACTTTCCTCCTCAACCTCCCGCTAGGTCGATCATATTGGAAGCTACATGTTGCTGGGATCGGTAGCATCTCGATCCCAAATTCAGCGTCCGTATTGTGAAAAAAAAGGATGCCGACGTAAGGAGCATATAAAATGCGTAGAAGGACCGCAGCGTCCGTCCGATATTGCAATGGAAACGTGCTTAGCTGCGAAGGTGTAAGCAGCGAATTAGGTCATGTAGCTTCAGAACCGGCTGTAGAAGCACTTCATTTAGTGTTAAAAAGCATCTCAAGTTATTTAAAGCAATGTCTAAATTAGGCACTAGAACACTTCTCCACTTCTGGTCACTACAGATCTTCTTGATAATAGTGTGATGTTAGTGTTGTCTAAGGATGTCATTAACCAAGTAGATTGTAATCTTTGGTTCATTGATTGAAGGGCAAAATTCACAGGGTTTAACAGCCAACAGTTTTTGAGGCAATAGTTTTAAAGTGTGGACTTGAAAAAGTGGAGAAGACCCCGCAAAATGTTCGCAGCTTTTATTCGCATGAGCGAACACAGTTTAGGGTCAGAAAAGTATTTAGAATTACTTTAGAATTAATGTATACCAATAAATTTTCCAAGTCAATATCTTGCTTTGAGTTGCACGGTGATGAACTGTCCATATGGAATTCGGCGATTCCAGAAGTCTCCACAGTCTACCATCAACATCCTAGAATTGTTTATATCTAAATGTATAATAGACAAGTGAAAATAACTACAAATTCTATAATTTACCGAAGCTATCAAATAATAACTAACTAGTCAATTCTAGTTCCATTTAGTCTGAAATGCCCAATCAGGCTTATTTGATCATTAGTAATATACGTATGTACAGCTTTAACTATGTTGTTAGTTGTAACTTAGCAAATTTCCTTCAGATTGCTACTACTTAAAATAATGTCTCTCGTGTTGATATTGCAACATCATATACGTAATTCGGTTTTTTTTTTACAATGTATCATCCCATACGTTTCCTCTCTTAGAACAAAAAAATTATGATCACTAATGTGTTTTTTATGGATAGACCGCCTTTAAAAAGCTAGTGTTATGGCCATGGCCCTTTTTTGTGTCTTTTAGGCTAAGAAAAACCACAAGATGGAAGGTTGGACGAGCACGGAGGGATGAGGGTTTTAGATTACTACAAAATATATATATAACGGAGTGCTAACCGTAAGTTTTGCTCCAGGCAGATTATACTATTTATCATACGTACTTCATCTATCCTGTGCAGAGCAAAAGAGCCAGTTATATTCATAGTAGAGGTAGCAACAAGGTATTCGCTAATCGCTTCGACAACACAGTTCAAATATGGTCATTCACCCAAAATAAACGCCCGTGTTTGTAGTGAATTTGATGATTTATTAGCGCGGTCGAGGTTGGTGGGCATCATTTTCAAAAGTGAAAAATAAGTGGCTGGTTTCGGTTTGCGATTCAAATTCATATTACGCCCTGTGAAGAGACAGCAACCTTGTTTTGTAAGAGCCGAAATATTTTGTCAGTCTTCTGCACAGTTCTTCTCAGGATAAAAGGTTAGCGACCCGCAAGAAAATGCCCAATACGTACACTCAGGACGTGTGCTACTGATTTGGACAAGCTCGATTTATGTATTAGTAATATAAGTAGATATAGATCTTCCCACATGTACTTCAGAGTTACACGACTTCTATATATATATTTAGTGTGGAATAAAGAAAATTCACATATCTAAGAAATAAAATTAGATCAAATGCACGTTGTTTATTATGAAGAATTATTAGCATTTATCGATTTTTATTTCGTAATGTTCTAGGTGCCCCAATCAATTTTGTCAGCAAGAAGACTCATCGGTATCTCACACGTACTTCGGTTATATATATATATATATATATATATATCGTGTGCTTATTACTTCAACGCAATGCAGAAATATTCACCATTCAAAGTACTTACTTTTTCTCTTTCATTCCAACTATTCGCCGCTCATAGTATCATTTATAGTAGCTTTTTTCCATTGTAGTTGCCGCTGTAACCTTTTTTACTTCGTTCCGGTTTTTTTCTTACAATGCATCCTCTTCTTCTATGATGGTTCACCTCTCATAAACAGCTCAATGGGTTAGTTAACATGATGTAACTTGTAGTACGCCTGCGCTCTAATCAACCATGAATCACTTAAGTGATTTTTTTCTATAATTTGCAGGAGCTTCAATATATCTGTGTCTTTTGTGACAAGCTCAAATAATTAGAAACATCTATCCCGACATCAGCCTGTATTAACTCGCACTCCTGGTTACTTTTTTTACAGTATCGAACATGTGGAGAGTATTTATTCTGCTACGCCAGCGGTGAATCTGTTATGTCAAAGTACGCCTCAAAACAAACAATCCTCCATTCATAAATAGAGCTTTGCGCTTTGTTAAACCGCCTTACAATGGTTATTCGATTTCTGTACAAAATCGACGACGTCGTCGTCCCATTTTATCTCTCTGCATTATTAACTGAGTTCGACACTTCACGTGGGTATACTTTATCTCTTGCCAGTTCGCCGTTCCAAAAAATCACTTTATTTAGTACGTGCAGCAGGCTGTAGGGTATAGTTTCCTTATTTTTGTCAAAAAGAACTAGCAAATAGGGAGGCGTTTCGGATCAAATTGCTTACCATATGTCCCGATCATTTTCCTTGCACTCAGTGATTCCTGTTTTTTAGGTCTATTTAAAGACTTATGTCGCATATGTACAAATGAAATAGAGTAGGATGTACTCAATTCGCGGACGTTTCTAAAATCGAACGGCTTTGGCGTTCCACGGCGTTATCTTGGTTTGTAGGCCAAGAATGTACTGCTAGAAAATTAATAAACAATACACAGAAATCAACTTGTTGGTAACCAGAGTGAATTCACCGGTTTTTTCAGCTTCTGACTCTCGTATTTTGTAGATCTGTACCTTGTTTTGGTGATCTTGTAATGCAAGAAAATCAAAACAAATTAGTGTTTTTTTTCAGTTTTCCTGGTTAAGAATGTTTTTTTTTTCTAAATTTTTTTTTGTTTCGAACGAAGTTTTGTAATCAATACCGCGTTTTACCGTATTATGCAGTGTATGTCTAAGTAGAGCACAATGACTGGGCTAATGCAGATAGGTACTTGCGTTTGATCATTCAACTATGGTCTATTAGTGGAGACGATATTTCGGCATCAGAACACCATGAATGTTGAACCGCAACATACTCATGTAGTGGTCACGAGACAGCCACGGCAAGCTTTGCGATCTATAATAGTTTTCTGAGAGGAACGCAGTCAAACAGAATTTGACCCTATAGAATTCCTGAATAGACCTGAGGTAATTTCTTATTCTTTCTTTACATACTTTGGTATAGAAATACTCTATTCGAACAACGGCGTTATTAATATTTAAGGTCTGCTGTTGCTTTTCTCTTCCGTTCATTTACTTGGGCTTAGTAAACAATCGGCCACGTTTCAAAATCCAATTACACTGCAACGAAATCGATGAGCTATTCAACCGGTGGAAGGATGCTTAAAGAATAGATTTGCCAAAGAACAGCATATTCATCGCAAACGCTAAAAGTTCAAGAAAAAACTGGCACATATATATCTAGTTGAAGTAGTTCTCTAAGTAGTTACAATGACTGTGTTCTGTGTAAAATAAGCGGTTATTTTGGCCTAGATAATGCTAATTTAAGTGGTGCCAGTTGTCTTACTATTCTAACCTGTTTTTCAGTGTTATTCATCACACAGCAGATTTGCCAGGAGACTCGAACCATTCCATAACAGGTTGCTTTCTACGGTATTGGTAAGACTGCTATAGGTAGGAATACACGTGACTTATCTGTAGAATCGCGCTATTAAGTAGAAACTATCATCTGCAGGACACCCAAACAGGGCGGTGTTTACCCACCTTGCGCAAGCATCGCTTCAATACAAATCCTAACGTTTCCAATTAGGCTAAGAAGATGCGTTGCACTTTTTTGCTTTGCCTCAGTGAAGTTCAATGTTTTGTCACCAATAGAATTGTATGAAGTACAGAGAAAATATGCGCACGCAGATGTAATAATATTTTTGATATCGCGGAAAAATTATGCCACAATCTTGCGACCGGCTAGACATATTTCTTTTGTACTGATTGCCATTTTTTTCAGTTTAATTTAAATATATACCCCCTTCCCCCCCCCGCCCCTACATAGTGAAATTAGCAAGAAGCTTGTCAGTGTGTTTCTATACGATCTATTTGTGGACGACCCTGATACCTAATGGCGATAGCCTTGTACAGTACCTAGTACATTGACAACGTATAGGCGTCGTGCTGCAACAGCATAATTACCGCTCGAAGCAGTGATACGTTCGCCGCCAAACCATTGTGGCCTATCTGCATTCAACGTAAGTGCGTCAGCAAAATGTTATTATTTCTCTGTAATTATTTACCCATATTCTTATTCGCACAATTCTGCGGGCTTCACACACCACCCCGCCGGAGCTGGACCGAAAAGATAAACGTCTTTTCCTTGTGCAGCCGGCGATGTTATCAGCCGCTACGAATTGATACCGCAGCGTATATCACTACTTTCTGTTGATTCATTCTGTTATTTAAATAATGATTAATATGATTAGTTCCTCGTTTATTCATGTGTTTCCCTGTGTTCTTTTTTCAATAATCGTCGTATACATGTATATATGTATACGTTCAAGGTTCACTATGTATATATATATATAGTGAACCGTGAACGTACGCTCAACTTAGACTTGTTATCAAGTTTATATGCTGACAATTTAATACAATGTTTCGTAGGGTCATGACGCACGACATAATAGGATGATAGCTCTATGCTAATAAACGATAACTTCACTGCAGTTCATCGTAACGTGAAATTTGCCCCGCCAGTTACCGAAACTGTTCGCGAAAGAGTTCAATTTTACTTATTAAATTAAGGTCGCATTTCGGTTACAAGTAATATAAGGAGACCATTATGTTATTATTACTATGATAAACTGCTTTATTCGGCTGGCTCGGTTATTAGCAAAGCAAGCGGTTTCTCTCTATTAGGGTCCCCTGGAGTGAAAGAAGCCTCTGGACTAGTCCGGCTTTATAAAAGCGCATATAAAACCTTTTCTAGCGCAATCGACTAACCTGACACGATACCTGTGCACAAATACAAGCATTTAATAATTCCTATAGGATGTATGTAAGCGTAAGAAACAGAACGTAGAACTGCGTTCCTAAATGCGCCTTTGATAAAAACCGTTCAATCTACCTGTCTTTTTGATACTGTTGGCACTTTGCGATAATTTTTTGTATGTCTACTCGCTTCCAAGAAGCACTCTTGTCGTATCGATTTATCAATGATTTCAAACTCTATTCACTCGGGTCACCTAGAGCAATGAATCCCACCATTCCGAAAAGAAAAAGTAGGTTTAAGCGGGTTTACTAAGCGAGTCACCGCCATTTTATGTTATTTCAGCTATTCCGCGAAGCTACTGACGAAAGCTAGCGTTTAAGTACATGGAATTTATTTTCTCTCTCTCTCTCTCCCTCTCGCTCTCTCTTTCTTTCTTTCTTTCTTTCTCACTCTCTCTTACTCGTCTCATTGCGCAACAATAAGTATTCAGTATAGTAATAATTGTTTTGTCATAGTCTTAATGTCTCGTTTCTTTATGTCCGGTGTAATGTTATTTTGAATGGGACTCATAGTAATCGCTGTTTGTTTTTGAATTTCGCCACGTTTTTCTCTGATTCTTACTAGTCTTTTTCCTAATCCAGTATCCGTCGTGATCATATAACATTCCTATGCTGATCACCACCATCATTGTCATCGAACCTCAATAGAAGCCTCAGAAAGGCCGGTCACAATAATAAGTGCTTTCTATGTCACTATGCACGGATCGTTCCATTACCATCACCATGGTGGCACTCGCATCTTCGACCCATTCTATGTGTATATTTGTTTACGTAACATATCATTCTGTGTTTGTTTGTCTTTGTCGTTCTCTATATTCATGTGCTAGTTTCTCTTTTCGATCAACATCTCTCATGTAGCATATCCGTTTTTCCTATGCTAACACAGACCATATAACGGTGCGCTTGTGTCTGTGTGTTTTTGCGTATGAGGCTATACATTTATATCGATTCATTCTGTAGAAGATGTAATCATCTACAAGTATTAGCCCATCTACTAGTATTAGCCATGAAAACACTTCTTTGTCAGCGTTCAACTGGCTACAATCATCGTCGTTTTCCCCAAAAAAAAACAGCGACCACACTATGCAACGTGAGGGTGAACATGTCCCGTTTCTATTTTCGTCTATTTTCTATGTAACCGAGTCCAGTTCAGTGTGTTTCATGATGTGTGCCATGTTCTATCTCGATAATATTGATGCATTAACATCCCATTGTCGATATAGAGATCGGTAGAAAGTTTAATGAGATGTTTTTCACGAGCGTTGTTTTGCTGCGTCAGCTATCCTGCACGAGCATTTATGTTTAACCCCCTCTGATCTGTAGACGGGCTGGGGATTAAGTACACTACTGCAATCCCGAGTGATGGTTGAACTCTTTATTTCTACAATACCTGTCGTAATCTTTACGTTGCATCTCAGTTACTATTGGTCGTGTCTCAATTTCTTAGCTCTCACGAAATTGATGCAGGCTTGTGTTCGCTTTGAAATTCTCATGGAATACGATATATTGCCCTGTTTTGCGCCAAGGAGACCCTGTGCCCATTCCCCTTACAAAGTCCGTATATGATTCATCTTTCGCTTTCTTTAACCGATCTTTCCATTTTCCAATTTTGTGATGATTGAACATTTGCCTTATATTTTCTCAGCAAAAACAATAAAAGTCATCCCATTCCCCATTCTAGTCTTTTCACATATCTTTTCTACCATATAGGCTAGAATTGTCCTGCTTTATTTCAGCTACATATACGGCGACCAGTAGCCTTGCATTACAGTGGCCAACTGATGGCCGTTGGTCAGAAAGCTGGTTATTCATTACATGTAAATCCTTTTCATCTTTCCTCTTGCCTCTACACAAGCAGCTTATTATATTGTAACAAACATACGACCGCTATCGGCAATTGATTCATTTTATAGATAATAACATGCATCTACAAGACATACTAATTCTATTCATAATAATACTAAAAATATTAATAGTCACTGCATATACACTGCACCCCTTACCGCCTATTGTACCTAGCGATAGGGAAGCTTCACTGAGATGCCTCAATTACGCTCATGTACTTTGTCATAATAAAATTCGATAGAATGAGCCGTCGTTCTTGTAATTAGTCCTTCAATGCAAGCATAGGTATATAACATTTGCTCAACATTTTCGTATTCTCTAGACATCGTCAGTCTCATATTGACGTTGCTCGCTTTGTCGTAATTTCTGCTGTCAGCTGCGTCAAAACTGGTAGACCTCTTTAAGTTCCCGTCTTTCTTTTTACTTTTATGGATATGTTCGCTTGGACCGGACCGAAAATATTCTCGCAGGAATTAGCTACTATAAATATGATTTGAAGACAAAGGAAGTTGTGAAAGAAGCAAATGGTAGAGCTAGCGAGTACAAGTTATATCGTCCACAATCGACTTAAGTTTTCTGTAACAATCCACCCCGATAGCAAACATTGAAGGTACTGGTGAATTTACTGTAGATAGGCGCAAAAGCGGTAAACGACAAAGATTAATAGTGTATTGTGGTGAGTGTCATCAGATTTTGCAGTCAATGGCTTTTATTTTTGCAACGTCGAGAGGAGAATGTTCATCTTCATTTTCTTCCTCGTCAAAGGCCAAGGTGCTTCTAGAGGTTTGAGGCGTTGCTACAACTCGAAGGCGACGGTGATGATTCGCCCCGGGGTTGACCATTTGTTTGCTGAGCTGCACGCTCAATGTAAAGATTTAGTAAGCGTAGCTGTAATGTTTTGCGGGAAACGGACTATTAGACAGCCTGTTGTCATCCATCATGATGACAGTGATGACTTCGTATGTTATAAATAAGTAGTACATAATTTGTTATGATACACTTTCACCTCAATGCATTGATAATACAGATTTAGACTGTGTTAATATATAGCCTAATATGTTATATTAATAGATATATTAATAGATAGGTAATCTCACTAAGATAATAATAGAAGTAAATGAGTATGAGATAGTGGATCGATACCAGTCGACAGAAACATAATCAGAAAAAAAATATTAAAATGACGATTTGTTCTCACTCAAGCAATTAAATTAATTGAAATAGACTCGACAAATTTTATTTTCTGTAGTTTAAATCGAGTGCGCTGTTTAGAAGAATGCGGATACCTTGCATCCGGGAAGATGGCTGACGTAGGGGTGCATTGCGTCAGCACCAACTCGCTGATGAAGCCCGACAAGCGCAAATACGGCAGCCTTACGAACTGATGACTCGGGATGATTGTAAGCACGGATCAGCTCAGGGCCGAGAACTGCCAGTTGGGGCTTTGCCGCTGAAGCATCAAGCACCTCGGCTAAGCGCGTTACCGCCTTGATCGCTGCACAGATGGCCCACGATTCTGCAGTGATTCCGGTCAGACCGGGATCTCCACATCCAGGACCACCAACAAGAGCCGAGGCCACGCAAGCCGCGCAGGCCTGAGCCATCGCCGTAGCCTCGACTGATGTTACCAGTGCGCACACCGCGTCGTCTGCTAGCTTCACAACGTCCTGTTTAGTTCAAAGTTAAAACATTAAACACAGATATATTATGCTAATGGAAATCGGGAAAATGCTAGTAATAAGGACTCAATTACGTGGTAGACCTACTGTTTGCCATTTGCTAAATGCCCATATTTAATGGGCTAGTACCGAATGTGGTTCAATCAATATTTCAAAAAATAAATATTGATAATATCGTATTCTCAAATAAGCAAATAAATAAATTTCTCAAACAGAAATAGATATACCTATAATTTTAGAAAAATTTTTGAGATAGCACAAAATTAACGTGTCCACTTATCACTCTACAAAATCGAATTTTTAAATTTGACAGTAGGTATGTCTCAGAAAAAGAACACCTTTACAGAATTTACAAAAAGGCTTTGTAGATTGTGCATATCCAGCTTATGAAATAGCTTGAAATGAGTTCTGTATATGGGTGGGAATTCGCGCCTTGCGAGGTTCAATTTCAATAGGCATGCTGTACCAAGCTAAGGCGTATCCTTTTGAACACGTTGCCATAATAAGCATCCAGCATAACCGTAGCATGTGACCGTCGTTGGTAAGGGCTATTATGATACATTGTTATCATGCCGTTTCATAGATCTATTAAAGAAAACATTCAGCATAAGCCGCCCGAAGTAATAAGTGATCAATAGCAACGTAAGCATTTTTTTAAACTTTTAATTAGTAAAAAACAACCAGCTTCTATAGTTGAAAAAACCTTTTGGTTGCCACCAACACTGACATATCAGCCTTCGAAAAATTATTTAGCGCCGTTTTTATAACTACCGAGCATCGTTCCAACAGCCAGTTCATACCTTGTCTTTATCATTATTGACTCGAATAATCGCTTCGAGTGCGGACTGGGCCATTTGAGATGATTGCGCATGCTTGGGTCGACGACGAACGAGCTCAGCCAAACCTCGAAGGGCCGGTGCTCGAATGCCTTCACGACCTCCCTCATCCGCCAAGTTGACCAAGAGCGCATGCCACACCGCACGAAACTGTGTGTCCGACTCCCATAGTGATGGTTCCTGGAAATAGAATGACAGCATCGACTAATGTAACCCAGTCCCCATGTCCACTGAACTAGTACGAATATAAGTGAAACGTCTACATGAAGTCATATGTTGTAAAGGAACTTCGTGTTTTAAGTTATGCTGTAGAGGAACAGTCGTAGAGGTATGTAAAATATGCAAACTACAAAACACTTCTATCGCTTGTATTTTACTTAAAAATATTGTCAAGGTTTTATGCTTGGGTGATTTTTGAGTAGATGCCTCTCGAATCAGCGTGCATTATGTTACATGCACTTGCACAAAAACAATAACCCGTAAAAATCACCGTTTCCTTTCCAACCTTGATGAGGATGTGGAGTTCCGCAAGGGCAGACCGCTTCTGTTCAGCTGAGTTCATTGGTGACGAGAGCAATTGAACACAATGAGCGAGTCTCTCAGAGGCAGAGCTCTTTGCCGCTGTGGACCCTGCCGATATTCCTGACGCGACAGACACACTCTCCAATTCCAACGATTGTTGAGGCTATGAAATAAGCAACATTCCAGAAAGCAACAGGACACTTAATTATCAAGCTCAATAGATGACCTGTTATTCCTTACAAGCAATAGCAAAATTTGTTCACTTAAAAAGCTGCCCATTCACCACGTTTGTGAGATATCATTCAGAGCCAAGAAAGACCGCTATTGTTAAAAGATTCTTTCTCCGCTTGGTAAAATTTCCAGTTTTGCGTTCTGTACTATCCTAGCTAAACATTGCTTCAGACAATGTACCCCTTTTAATACGAAAGAATGTCTCCACCCGGGTTCATATCTAAATCATGTCACTTGGCGTTTAGTTAGTTGAGTCGAAACTATTACTGCCGCACCGTCACGGATATTACCTGGTAGAACCTAATCGTACGTAATCTCTCCATCATTTTTTAAATAGTTACCGTGGCCGCTTTCGGCGACGAGGATGAGCCCTGGCTGAACCGGGTCTTATAACTGTCAGCATCATCGTCAATTGATTTTGGCCTACTACTTCCCCCACCGCCAGAGCTTTGATGGTGCTGCTCGCGGTAGATGGCCTGCATGAGCTTGAGCTGGGTAGTGGGATTCGCTCGGAAGTTTTCGGTATTTTCGTCTTCAAATGACCGTTGCGGGCTTGGACTTTGATGGGCAGATCCCAGCCGTGATCGGGGCCCACTTAATGGTGACAACGGCACTGATCCGGTGCCGTCAAGTCCGGTATATGGCTTTGGAGACGTTGAGTGGTTATTGAGCGTTCCGCCCTGTTGGCCAGCAATTTTCAGCTGATTTTGGATGACGTCAAGAGCTGTCCGCTGAAACTCCGGTGCCATCTGGGTGATGACTGTCGAGAAATAGGGCGTTTTCACCCGGTACAACGATACAATTACTTGTCGGGCCCGTTGTTGAAGTTCAGGGTGACGGGAATCACCAGCCCAAGCCGTAATCTTGAGGAGGGTGTCCCGAAGGTTTGGATCGTGTGCTGGCAGTTCCGTTGAATCCATTAGTGAAGTAAGTGCTTCGAGGTAGCTCAGTACGCCTAGTTTTACCTATCGTCGAACGGGGTATTAGACAAATGATAGTGAGTAGCTAATCAGCTAAAATTTTAACAATCAAATTTGTTTTATTTTATGCACATATACTGGTTTTTCTTAATAGTAAGTCTAGCGAGTCCCCTTGCATGCTTATTCCTGCTGTTCCAAATACTTTCAAGTTGACCAGGTCTGCTCGATCTAATGCTAAAGCATCTTCTCGACCAGACAATCACCATACAATCTGTGGCGCAACTCCTTAACACGCAACTATTGGAGAGTCGTTTTTGAGTCATACCTTGGCTGAGCTGGAAGAATGGGCGGGGTCGTTGAGAAATCGAGTGATGACAGTGAATTGATCGTGCCGAGGAAATGAAGCCCGAATGAGATCCATTGTGCGGCCAATTTTGGCTACCACGGACCCCAACAGGTCCTGACCACTCTTTATAAATAACTTTGTCAGAAGAACACTCAAGAATCCGATGCGATGCAGATCGCTTGAATGCACTGTTATCAGCTCGTTCAACGTATCCAGAAACAGCGAAAATACCTTAAAAAAGCAAAAAAACACATCAGTTTCATTTTTATTATATGTTCAAATGACACGCAACAACTGTTATAAAGATGCTGAACAATAATTTACCGCAACTTATCGACCTGTAATGAGTTATTTGGCGGGACAAATTTAGTATATTTGTTAGGCTCATCTCACCTTGGTATGAGGATCCATGAACATTTTTGTAAGGGTTTGGGTGACCTTCTGAAGATCAGGATCACTTAACGCGTGGGACTGGTTACGTAGAAGGCACAACAGGCCCTATAAAGCACAGAAAATAGTCCAAGTTGTTAGTCGAAGAGGAACACACGAGCCGGTGTATTATGAGATACATACTGATATTTATCATTCATACCCCGCTCCGACTAATGCAATGATGATCCCAATGATTCAATAATTATTTTTATATTTGTACGTAAGCGAACGGAGGCAGATAATTGGCAAAAGTTGGTAGTGCTCACCGCCAGTCCATCCTTGCGATCGGACCAATGAACTGAGGCGAGGTTCGCGAGAATCTCGGGTACATCTTCATGTTGGAACGATCTGTCGGATGCAATTGAAGAGGCGTCGCTGTCTTCTCGGTGTAATAGTCCGAAGGACGACTGACGCCCATATGAGGACAACGGCGTTCGGATCTGAAATTAGGCGAAATACCATTTTTCTTCATTTGACGATGATTTTATGTGCGTACTAACAGTTGTATTGGCTGGTTGGCTAGCTAAGAAACGACGCATGAAGCAAGATACGGCAGCAATTTGAGAATATTGTTGTTGTATTGTAGTTTTTTTCAATTTTTCGCTGCACCTTCTATCTAGCCATTTCGTTTCATACAAAAAAAAATTACGTAGATCCGTATATTAGATATAATAGAACTGTATATATTTAGTCAAAATATTCTACTAGCAGCGGTGAATACTCGTAATACTCGTGAATCGTAATATCGCTCACTCACCGCAGTCGACCCTAACGCTTCCGCCATTCGCTCCTCAGCTTCTCGGGAATTTCGCAACAATTTCTCGGCTGCCGTCGGCGTCGATGGGACGATAGTGACGGCCTCACTCCTGCCGTACCTAAAAATACACAGCAGTAAATAAGAGTCGATAGTGATAATAGACCAAGCATTGTTAATGATATAAGATCGAGTGAAGGTAATCAACTTCGAAACGAGCAGTTTAGCTAACTACTGAAAAGGGCAAGGCAACACTAATAGCTGTACAATTGAGAGCATAATTGACGGCATCAATTCGATGTGACGAGAACGCTGCCTGACGATATTATTGCTACAATGGCAATAAGACAACGCTTAATTCTACAGAATTACAGAAACAAGTCAAAACTAAGCACGTTGTACCAGAATTTGTAGGGTAAGGGATAAAACGCCGGTGTCCTACTTAAACTCGAAAATCAATTTATTTATAAAATAGAAAGTTTTGTAAAGAAAAGTCAAATCAGGATACAGTTGATATCTAAGATGACCATGAATTTATAAAGAAAGATTTAAAAGTAGAATGTTTGAATTGTAAATATTTGAAATAAGTTCTGGAATGTGCACATATCGCCCGTCACTTTCAGTAAAAAATTCAAGTAGTAAACGAAGTAGAAATGGTGCAAAGTGTCTTTAGTAAAATGCCTGAAATAAAAAGGTTACCTTGGTCGGATAAAACGTATGCTTTTAATCATTTATTATTTTAATGCAAGCTAAGTTTGAGCTGTTGAGCTCATACCCCTCCCCTCCCCCCCCCAAAAATGATAGCTCCTTTAAAGATTTATTAATAAATCTGGAGTAAACTTATTAAGACTTTTTCGCTTTTTCATCTGAAGGTTGATTCTTTTTTACAGGTAACATTAGAGTAAGTGACAATTTACCTTTTTATATTTTTATTTATGAGAAAATAATTTATGGAAAAAAGAAAATAATGAGGGAATAATAAAATATTTTATGGAAAACACCTACCTTGAAAGGGAACTTCGTCGACGGCGTTGACTGTCGCTCAGTACGGAGGATGATGATTGTGAACCTACAGATCTGCACGACATGAGGTAAACACATGAATTATTAGCAACAAATTAAAAATAGGACTGACATACATTCATTGCATTAGTACAAGACCCTAAGGGCTATTAGACAAGCTATCTTTTTTCGACTCTACAGTTTCGACTCTATAGTTTGGTCATTTTATTTAACTTTATCATGACACGCTTTCGAGTAACACGTACCTTGATGGAGAAGGATCCCTGGAGGTCGGCATAGGGATTCGTGACCTGGAAGCGGCTCTCCGTTGGCCGTCGGCTCCTACGACACCCCCCGGTCCGCCGCCGTAGGTCGCATAACTCCATCGAGACGATGGTGACGCCGACCGCGAATTTGCTATAACAATGTGTACATAACATAAAAAGTTATTGGCACCGTGATAATGCAGTGGCAAGTCAGAAACAAGTGGTGGTTCGAAATCTGGCCATGGACATTGCATTTCGTGCTACAGAGAGCCACTCATTTGGTGCAATTCTTAACTAAAGCAGCACTGGACATAAGATCCGACACGTTTATTCATATCAAGCTACTATGAAAAAATCTGCCGATTCTTGTAACAGTTCGACCCAAAAAACTGGGGATATCACAAATTGAGAATTATCGCGATGATCCGTGTTACTATCGATTCGAAGGAGAAATACTTGATTAGGATACTTACGTTGCGACTGAGAGACCTGACGTCCTCGGCTCTGTTGCGGTGTCCTTTCAGGCGAAGTAACCGCTGAACAAACGGACTCTGCGCGAGATGCCTTTGCCGTCGACCTCGCTAAAGGAAATGAATTACGTCCGTATATTACAAAACAATTTGTCTTCTAAGTAGTAAATTTGGGAAGCTTTACCATTTATGCATGGACAGAGGGGTCTTTATGTGCTATAAAATTGTGGCCATTTTAAACAAAGCTAAGACACCCTTACTTACTCACGATTTAATGAAACCGTTTACGTAACGTGTATTTAGTAGATTCGCAGCCAGATCGTTACTAATTACAAAGAAGTTAATGTCAATTATCATACTATAGAGAAAACGTTGTCAGGTTATGCCTACAAAAAAGTTACTATACGAATTTCGCTCATATATGTAATGCGTTTCCTCATATCTCGATCTTTTGCACATACAACTGTTGAAGTCGCATCAAATTTACATAAGATCATGTCTTTAGTAGATTAATTGCCATCACGCAACCGTTTCATGGCGCTCATGCGATGAAATATCTTGCCAAAATGCCATCCATGCACCAGTCCCCACTTGCATTTACCCATACAGAATCAATCAACCATACCTCGCCACTTAACAATACATACTATCAATATTTCAGCCGTACAGGACTTTTATGCCCACACTGGATGGCATACGGCCATCGAACATTTTGCCAATATTTTTAGTCAGCAAAGAATTACAGGGACGAATAAAAACCAAATGGTACAATCATTGAAGAAAAGACGAAAGAAGCCGCTCGTAAGGGAAGACAGCCGTTGCTACAAAACAGCAGGACATTTCAGCGATTCATTTCAAAAACATCGACAAACGTTATTGGAATATTCTTTTCCGCTAACCGCTAACAATCAGCACATGAAAATGACAATTGGGACGGCAGGCGAGAGCATGAAAGCGTGCCACAGGCAGTTGATTTATACTTACATTTACAGAATAGCTCGATCGGTGAAAGTGAAAACAGCAAATACGTAAAAAAATAAGGAGGAGGCGAAATACTTTACTGAATGAATTCAATACTTACGATAGTAAATGACGAAAATTATGTAGTTGAATGAAGTCGAAAAGACAAATTTCATTTGTTGACCCTGGGATATTGCAAACTTCAATTGTTGTCCAAGATAATTTTTGAGATCAGTCAACCCACACGAAGTTTTATTACGAAACTCTACCAAGTAATTATAAAACAATTACAGTACAATTATAATCACTGCATTGTTGATTTCCTTGGTAGTATTAATGGCCGTCACTGATTTCTGCGTGAGCATAACGACATTTCAGAACAGCCCGGCTCATTACAAATAATGTACAAATAATAGTACCATTCGCAGATAAATCGGTAGAAAAAAGCTGTAACTTTTTAAATATTTTTTTGCCTTGTTTTCCACCCGATGGATTTCCTAATACAACGAGCATAATGGCATAAGTGAAAAAAGTGCTCGTCGACTTTTATTTAGTTCCGCCATCATTTTCCGGGTTGTCTCCCGAAACGTGATGATGATCGTGTGTACACAACTTACGCAGCGACAATCCTGTCCCCGGCGTGGCATAAGGTGAAGTGCACCCGTATCCATATGCTGTTGATGGTGTTTTCGAGAGGGCCTTGAGCCTCGAGGACTTAGCAGCGGCCATATCGATGGCGGAGTTGGCTCTGCGTTGTTGGACCGAACCCACGGCCTGGGGAACTGTACGTGCATTGTTTACAACCCATGAAATTGGTCATAGCAAATGACGGGGTCAAAGTGAATGTTGTAACGTATAGAGGAATATTGATGTTTCGGTAGGAATACAGAGAAATCAGTATTAAGGACACGCCAATAGAATGCGCAAAAAATATTAACAAGGTCAATAAATATAATAATAACCACAAATAATAAATGCCTCCTTCAGATGTCGATGTGTACGCTTTTCACATTGTCAACTAAAGCCTTCCTCAAATAAGCATTATTTCGAAATAAAGCGTTTTCATAAAATTACGTTTGCTCAGAACGTATTTATCATGTAATGGAGCGCAGAATTTAAAAATTACTTTCTTGTTTTTTGCGTATGAAAAAAATAGTTCTGTGAGAAATACGACTACTCACTATTTTGGCTACCGGCCAGTGAAATGTAAGCTAACAATACGAAACATTACATTTACAACCACGATTAGTATACGCATGGATGAACAGGCATCCACATCCATATGATCATACCTAATGCAGCAATAGATAGAAGAAAAAGTTCAGGCGTTTTGTATAGTCATAGGCTGGGTTTTCGTGCTGGGTACGGGATTAATGAGAATTTCATTTAAGCAAACTGGATCTTTAAGGGTTTTTACTTTACCGAAACAACGACGATACCAATCGCCAACTATCACAGACATGACCTAAATAATAACACGAAATAACAATCACTGGATGAACAAACACCAAAATCGGTTCAGTTGGACGGGGAAATTGATTAACAATATGCGGACTCAATGCAATGGACCGATGGTCACTTATGGGATTAATGCGCACTGTTTTAAAAGCACTACATTGCTGAAACGTGCAGCAGAAAACGCACTACGATCTCTATTATCTGTCAATTTAGATGCATATATATATATATATATATATATATATATATATATATATATGAACAGGATGAGGCCAAAGCCTCCGTGCAATTTTTTGGAAAAAATTTAATTTAAAAAAACGTTTATGGACTGGACGGTTTTAAAGTCTTCATTTGACATCTGTCAAAAAACAAAAGAGAACAATGTAGTTAATGTAAATTAAGTGAAAAAAAGTCACTTAACAACTTCCAGAATCAATGATTATTTTAAACGGTTAAGGAACGTTAGCCTTACCCTGCATATATGTGTGCACTTCCAAGTATATAATGAGCCTACTTGCATGAAGGAGATACACTTTGTCATATGCCCTGCTTATCTTAACAACCCTTGTTAGTTCAAACTGCTATTAAAGCCAGCTTTTTTGTTTTAAAAATAGAGTTCAAAAAAAGGCCAAATATTGGAATTATAAAGCTTGAAACGAGTAGAGAAAAATCCAGATGTTAAACACGCAGCTAAATTCATTATGCGTTCATAAATTCGCCATAGAAATCGCAATAATCCTGAGCTTCCTGTCACAGGAAAACCTGCTTGTTTACGTTCGATGAAAAGCATTTGACTATTTTGCGATGATCCTAGCAGCAGGATGCCGATGCAATTCCGCAGATATAAAAAGAGAATTAATTGTCTCCTTTCGTTTCGATAAATACTAACATTTGATAACTGATTGTGACTGATGCATTACTCAGACTTTCCCGACAACTTTACGTCAAATAACTTCTGGTATTCTATAGTTTCATAGTTCAAGTTACTGCGCAAGAGCAGTTTAAAACAAATGATATATAATAATAACTAGCTACAAACAATCACCATTCAGCAATGTGAAACCTTTGACCTAATCCAATCGCTGTACCATCTTTTTCACTTCTGCTTTAAGTAAGTGGTGTATTCTAATTATGCTCGTTTATCTATTGGTTTGTTGTGAAGTTGCGATGTTGCAAACATACGCCTGGAGGTCGAAGCCAGATGCGAGCGCGAAGATGTACTGCCTACACCGGCTGACGCGCCATGTCGAAGAGATTCCATGGAGTTACCATAAGCCGAACGGGTCCCCCGACCCAAATTGTTTAAAGAGGACGATGATGACGAATTGGACATACCTGGGTAAGTGGGCAAGATATGATACGGACTAGTGTCAAATTTAAAATAGTGAACGTCACGTTCAAACTGTAATATGAAAATGTTGAGCTACGGAAGGTTTTGCAACGTGTGATAACGTGAGAAATTTCTATCGAAAAGATGAAAACAAATCATAAAATAATACCCTATATATATATATATATATCTTATATATATATATATATATATATATATATATATATATATATATATATCTTGGAAGCTTATTAGTAGTTATGTTTAGTTGAAATAAATAATTTCTTTTAATGCTAATTTTAGTCTATAGTCCGGTTACATTAATAACAAGCTTGAACTAAATGAAGAACTCACCACCTCCCCCAAGTTCGCCGTGGAGCATTTTTTGTTTGCTTGAGTCGAGCGAAAACAAAAGCGAATCAGCCTGCGCTTTGAAGTGTTCCGCAAACGCCCAAAAAGCTTTCCTTGAATGTGATCTAGAAAACACCCATAACAAACGAAGGATACATAGAAAATGACGCTAGTGAAGATTATCTAGCATTATTTGTATTTGAGTCTCTTCAAACAAACCAATTTCCCATATGTATATATACTCGCCGTTCGCAATCTAAACTAGTGCAAATATATCAGCTCTACATAATTAAAAAAGATTCGTTATATATAGTTGCCTTTTTTATTTTTTGTATGTTAACAGAGTTAAAATAATCGTTACCTTCTTAAAAAATGTGGTTCTTTAAAATTAATAAAAAGCTTAAAGTATACCTTCTTAGTTTATCCCTTAGTTTTCTATTATAGTTTCCATTTCCTAGTTTTCTTGTAATGTGATCTTTATTTTGAATCATAGGGTATCTATTGTCGTTATTTACCTGGCCTCCTGATCTGCGTCCGATAGACCAGCTTTAATTGCCTGCTGAAGTATGGCTATATGCCGCTCAAGAGTAAACGTGGGCCACAGCACAAGCATTTCATTGAGAAATTCGAAACAGTGCCGTCGGAGATCGCGATTCTTCGAAGACAGATTATGAATAAAAATCGGAACTAGCCGCTGTGAAGGGACGTGTTTAACAATGAACCGGATACAAACAACGGCTGATGTTGACATTACCTGTACAGAAGAATCGTTTGTATTTGAATTTTTCAGTTCGTTTACTATGAACCTAATCATGCTATCAAAGCAAGCAATACATGTATAGTAGACACAATGTTATGCAAAGCCGTTACGAGACACTGAGATCAAATCGTCACTTTGTAAAATCTGTCGAATAGAACGCTCTGATGATCTCTATTGAGCAGAGTCCCTTACCTTGACGCTCGCTCCCAAAAGCAGAATAAGAGAAGGCAATAATATCTCGCAAAACCGATCCATTTTCGTATTCAGCTGGACGCAGAGGTAGCTGGGAATTTTACGTATGGGGATAAAAATCCTCTAATTAGATTTCCTGGTCAACTGAAAAATTCTGATCAAAATATGTACTCATTCGGCACGTAATACACATTTTCCTTGTTTTTTTCTTTGACAAAGAGATACACTGATTCTTTATGTAAACTTTTATGTAAATGATAGATATGCTTGCCATTGAAATCTAAATTATTACTATTATTATTATTAGGTACCACTTGAACTTACGATATTGTAATGCACGCCTCCCGCACAATTTGGGACCGGAGATCCTTCACGCAGCTCTGAACGGGGATTTCCAGCGTTCTGAGAGCAGGCAGAAACTCATCGTAGTCTTTTGCCCCGGCCACGACCAAACTCCGAATGAGTTTGAGCGCATTGAGCCGTTTGTCCCAGTCGGCGTCGGCGTTCGAGATCGTCGCTCGAATGTTCGACAGCTGTTGCTCCAACTCACGTGCGGAAAACACCGAAATACGCGGGACATCAAGGAAGACTTCTGCAAAAGATTCCTCGTCCACAGCGCCGGCGGACGCCGATGCGGAAATGGCCCCCACGCGTGTCCCGGTATTTCGGCCAAGTGTTCCGCCGCCACCAGTTGCCGAGCTTGGTTTGGAAGCTATTGCCGGCTTTTTGGCTGAAACTGGAGGTTTCTGTTTGGGAACAGCGCGATCTAGTTCATCACCATCTGAGATAGACAATATACCATGAAGACAAAAAGGAAATTAAAATAAAACTGGATTTGAAATCCTCTTTACACGCCGGATTAAGAGGTGTTAAAAAATGATTCGAAAAAAAAAATAGATTTTATTATACGCGAAAGTTTTTTGACAGTTTAAAAAATATTATTTGATATATATTATACAAACAACATACATCTATATTATATATGTATAGATTTTAAATAGAAATGATTAAATATAATTGGAATTCTTATAATCTCAAGAGACTTTTGTCCTACCTTGTATAATAGGTATGCAGCAAAATAGCAGTAAATAGCATAGAAGCAGTTGCTTACCTTGATTGTAAGGCACGAGCATTTCGCCATTTTCGACAGCCTTATCAAAACGCTCCATAAGCGCTTGCAGTCTGAAATTGCAAAGTACACAATCTTAGGCAAATTCATCCACAAGCTTATTTAACGCAATGACGTAAAATGTACAGAAATGGTTATAGCTTTGGCCGTTTTCAACTCACTTATTCGGTTGAATGGCGTATTTCTTCTGTAAATCGTGTCGCAGGCGGTCACCGACGTATTTATAAATAACTACCAGCGTCGTCATAGCTGTATCGCGAACCTGTAACATATGAGAGAAATTCAGCTCACACATATACGCACATATTACGCCTAGATTTGAAAGATCAAACTGGTAAAATCACTTTGAATCTAGTAAATCATAAGCTGGCATGTAGCGATACTACTGCGCGAGAGATGCAAATGTATAGATACGTCCTAAGATTTAGGTGATAACGGCGTTTCGCAAACTTCTTGACTCGATCCAAAAATTAAGAACGCTATTAATTTCCTTCTCCGCAAACCCTTTTATCAACTAAAGAAATTAGAGAAGAGAACAACATAGATCAAGCGACGCATCAATAGTTCGGAAGCAGTTCGTATATCTTTTATCAGACACCCGCATGTATGCCCGCTTTGTCGAATCCGATTATGCCTTGTTTATGTGTTTAATTATTATCACTATTCAGTCGACTCAGTTATCGTTGTTGTTGTCGTTGTTCTTTTTACTACTGTGATTTTGATGATGATGCCCGAGATAAAATCGTCGTACGCTCTTTCATTTTGAGGATCGCCGATCATCGAACGAAGATATCTTGAAAAAAAATCCTTGATTCAATCTAAAAGTACTTGGAATCAAGTACATTTGCAAGTAGGTTTGCATCGACTTGCATCCAACTTGCATTGTCAATTACACTTCGTTTTATTATTGCTATTTCGAAATGAAGCTGCTACTCACCTGCGCGTTGGGGTCGTCCATAAGTTTGCAGATTGACGGAATAAACTTAGATAACGTGAGACACGAAGCCGTATACCTGAATGCGAACGTGAATACACATTGACAGAAACGCAAGCAGATTATGCCGATTATGTAAAGAAAATTAATTTTAGTGCTTGAGAGTCTATATCGAACGTGTAAATAATATAGCAATGTTTTCATTTCTTTTCAATTCGGTAAAACAGATTGATCACAATAAATAGTCTGGTGCTGTTCATGTTACAAACGAGGGCGATTTCACTTAACTAGAGAAAGATATTGCGTTATATTGATTTTTCCTTCATCAGGTTATTACACATGTACTCAAGTAAACTTTGTATTCATTTGTATGATTCAGCTGATATCCCAGGGGTTTGACAGACATGATCAGCTTCACAAAACTAAAAAAGAATAGCTTTTTTTTTTTTAAATAAGAAGCTAAAAAATGTCTAATTGCTGCCACTTGGATCTCATTTAACTAATAGAGTATTATTAGAAAATGAAAACACATTTTTAACTCCCATAGATTTTAGTAAGTCTAATTTTTCTCATTTATTCAAAAGAAGCAGCATATTTCTTTTTAGTAAAAATAAAGGTTATTAGAGCAACATTGCATTATCATGTTTTTATAGATTTACAGATAAATCTCTTGTGTTTTTTTATTTTGCCATTTCACTTGCGTCTTCATTCACTGGTATTATAGACTAGTTGAAAGGTATGACATAATTATCAGGTCAAACTTTCTATTAATGATTTGTACACATTTTCTTACCTCATCACAGTATCCTGCATAAGCAACAAAATTTCTTCCCGAACTCGGAAGTTTTTATGAGTATATGCGTTCGTTAGTCGATCCAAAATATATTGTGGTGATGTCACCTGCAAAGGGAGATGACAACGGGAACCTTACGCACGATCCCAATGATGATTTGAATCATAAAAAACATACGTTTTTACGCTCTACTTTTTCTGTCCAGAACAACAAAATTACGAAAGATCTTCTGTTTGAATATTCTACCTAGCATATTAAAAGTCAGCTTTGGACTGGATTAGAAAAAATTATCAGCTACTTGACAAAAGTGAGTCGCTCCACGCGATTATTTGAAACGGCTTCGACTAGATTTCTCTTCCTAAATAGCAAAAAATCACAAAATTCTATGTCATATAGTCGAGATAATCTAATTGTCCAAATGGGCAGACTTTTGTTACCTCCATCATTTTGTTAAGCAGGTCTGCATTCGTGTCTCGGATGATCTCTTTAGCATCACCCATCCGGTCGGTACAGGCGGGCAGAACCGAAGAAATGTACGGCCTAAAATCCTCTCGCAGTCGCACTACAACTCGAGAGAGGACCTCTAGACCATTTTGTTGTATCTTCGAATTGCTGCTGCCCAACCTGGAAAGAAATACACGTCCATTTTCTATTTGCTCCCACACTTCATAAATACATAGCAAATGGCTATAGCATTGTTCGAGTCTAGCTGTGCATAACCCTTAGCGCTCTTTACAGTTTTCAAATACAATATAACCATTGATAATACATTACAGGCTCAGTTACAAGCGTCAGCAGTTAAGAAAGAAAGAGACGAATTCGCCGACGTAAAGTAAAAAATAGTTGAGAAACTCTTACCAACTAATAAGCCCGTCAATAAGGGCGCCGATATCTTCCCCGTGTAATGAGTGGGTTTTATCTTCTATCCACGTCAGAAGATCTTCGCCAATTTTCAGCTTGAGCCGAATGTCCTGTTTGCCCATCTGAGCAATCCAAGAATCGAGGACACCGCCTCCAGCCTCCATCGTTTACAGCTACTGAGCGTCAAATGACGAGATTGCACCACTGAATTTTGAGTCGTTTTACCGCGTTCGTTATGCCCTTAGGTGTAACGGAAACGCACTCACATCACTGCCCCTAAGGCATGTTAGGCCCGCAAGGAGTTCATGTGCAAGCTACGGGAAACAAACGAAGATATTAACAGGCCGATGTTGTGCACTTTTTTCCCTGCGGGTTACTGTAATAGAGATAACAACCGCAAATCTTATTTAGACATGCGACTGATGTTTGCAAAAAAAGTATTTAAAGTTTAATTCGAAAAAAAAAACGTGGGTTTATCATTTAACTGTAGATCATCAAATCATGAAAAATAATTGCAAATTGTTTTTAACGGCCATCTTCCAATTAGACACATTTGGTAAAAAATATCTGGAGATGGTCTCGAGGGTGGTAAACTAGTCTGTCGTTCCAGTTTCACAGTTTCCAATCCAATTATGTTAAAATGAAAACAAACAAACCGCAGAATAGCTGGCGCATGAACCACAATAGGTGAGAACAACGCCACCCCAAACGTTTTGTACTACTGTTTCTGAGGAAAGAGCTCTTCGCCTTACATTGTTATCGACGTAACTGACACTGCTTTCACTGATTATATTACAATAATATATGTAGTAGATTTCCGCTCAATCCCCTAAACACCAGTGCTGTTCCAGGGAACTGCCAGCCAGACTGCAAACGGCTCAACTAGCTGCTTTCTTGCAGCAACTCGTACAGACTTCGGCGATCCTTTTGCTTACCAACGTTTAACGCATTCCACTTTTCACAGATACGAAGTACGTTCTCCCAACTTTCGGTACCTAACTGAAAAAAGCTTAGTTAAGTGTATATCTATCTGGCTAAGGTTTTTCCCAATTCGATTTTTTGGCAATCGCCGATCATGTATCGGCTCGTTACTAGCTTATGCCGAATTCACTTAAATATAGATTTAAGAAGTAAAAGACGCAGAAACTAATACTAAAATCGCATTGTCAAAAAGGGTCCAACAAGAATTATGAAACGTTGAATATGAACTACCAAAAAAGAAGCACAAACCTCACGATTGCCGTTCGTAATATATTTATTAAGTCTTTTTAAACTAAATTCTATACCCATACATACATAATGCTTTATGGCCCGAGTTCCTGCGATATTTGTTGCTGTTATTTGAAACATCACTTACACCCATGTTTACAGTCACTTTTCTGATATAGTGATAGTTCTTGTAGCAACACCGTCCGTAATTATCGTGTATTCCTTGTATTATCCAGACCCATCATTTCATAATTAATAAAACGAGTGTACTCGGACAGTCAGCTTTTGTCAGACAAATGACAAAATACGTGAAAGGCAATAAACAGAGCAGATGCAGAACCCTTCTTTACACTCATGGAATAATCGCGTAATAATAATAATACATGCATTCAACAACATCAAAGATCTCTCCCAAATGTCGTAGCCGACTGAGAAGTTCTATTTAATAATATCCGACTTGTTTCCGAACCTTTTTATTGAATATGGGATCAAGATACTGTCATACTACATATATTGTACCACAGTGAACATACATAAAGTAGAACTTTTCGAATCTTATTTGGTCCAAATTCCGGTTGCGAGGCCAAGCTATCTCGTCCCTTCACAGACGCTTCGATCGCGTTGTTAACTGGCCCGATAGAGGCCTACACAAATCCGCACTCAGGCCACAGGAACTCCCCTCTGGGTGAATCGCCCCACAAATCACTACAAAAGGTTCATTTAAACATCGGACCTACTACGTCTGTTTGTCTTTGTAGGGTTCATTTTGCAATGTACCTAATCTAAATGAAATGAGAATACTCGCACATTTCATTTAGATCAGGTACATTTATTATGTTAGAATCTAAATAGATGCCTGTGACGTGCGAAAGGTGGTAATGCCCTCGTTGAACATCAGATGGTTGGCTACCTCTTCCAGAATAAACCAAACTGTATCTACGCTGGCTTCAAGACTTAGACCACCTTCTGTGCCCCCCACCTTAGTAAGCAAACATCTTGCCAGTCTGCCATTAGAAGAGGACAAATTTTAAACATGGAACAAGGACGTTTTGGGCAAGAAAATAAAAATCACGTTACAGTTAAACTATCGACACGCAAAAAACCAGCGAACTGCAACGTTCTTGCAACCTAAAAGATAGTCGAACTTCAACTAATCTAACTCGAATCCCATTTAACTGGCCATCATTTACGCTTGTCTTTTCCGCTTTGTAGGCACACAGAATATGTTCTACACACGCCTCCATCTTCGTACACAGGCATCTAATTAAAGTTTCAATGACGAGTCGATGCAACACAAATTGTTTTATCATGATGGGTCACGTCAGAACTGTGTGCAATGCATCCCGAAAAACAAATAGCCCACAACTGCCAACGACGTTCCATTCGCCTGACGTCACTGGCGTTCTACGGATGAAAGCGTCTTCAAACGCGATCGCCAAAAAACGGCAGAACGAACATCGGCATTGAACTACAGCCAAACGTCAACGTTATCTCTGTTCATAACGATGCAACAATAACAAAAAAGGAAGTAGCAGTATTTTTTTTTTTTACTTTTTCTGTATCTACGCCTTTCTCCTTCGCTTCTCCCGTTTCCCCTCACCTTGTTTCCTTCAACTCGCTCCATGATTTTGACCTCCCAGCCAAACTATTTTCGTTCAGAAGATCAGTCAGTGACGCACAACAGGGGTGCCCCTATGCAGTTACTGTCACTGTTAATCGACTGATGGAGTTAGATGTTCTTGTTAACGTTGATGTCAACCAAACTTGTTTGCTGGTAGTGTGTAACAGCTTTCTGTAATGACACTGAGTTGGACCATGTAATAAATATATATAGCTGGACATTGTCTAATTGTATTCAGTACAGATGCTGTCTATCAAACGCCTACCAATTGGGAAAGCACAGAACGCTCGATTCGCGATCCTCTGCGATGTCATGGAGAGAATCGCTAAACTATAAACACAATTAGCGTTTTCTTAACCATTAATGATTATCATCATTTATCTATATTTTTGTCAGCTTTAATACAGAATGATATATTAGTAGTTCAAAATATAATAAAATACATAATTATATGAGCTAAGATCGAAAAAATATACAGTACATATAATTAACAACTAACTAATAAATTACTGTGAGCAGTGAACAGGTAAGAAATCTATGAACATTATAACAGACAATGGCAAATGTGCTCGACACTCAACCATAACTGAAGGCTTTAGATGAATGAATAATTCCAGAATTCTAAAAGACGCAAATTCTACTTTAGGATTTCTATTCTATCCCGCAATTCACGTAATATATTTCATCTAATAAAGACCTTATTGTGCGCGACATGACCCTCGCACCACTCGCAACACTAATGTTACGCGAATGTAAAAATTAGCTAGAAATCCGCTGTCTTATTTACAGATCGAAGGTTCTTGCTTCCTGTCAAAATCGCAATGTCACCACTTATTCCAACGCTTTATACAGCTTATTAATGGCTATTTACTACTGGTTAGGAAAAAAGTAACAAGCGATCTCCATTAACCAACTATGGCACCGTCTATTCTAGTAATAAATGAAATTAAAGTATAACGTGTTCAAGTGTGACAACCAACGTAGCAGCGTTCAAATAACCTCATAATAATATGTCGGAGAAAGCATTATCCCCTAACGTTAAGAAAGAACAGTGCAAGTGCTTCACACCATTAATTCCTTGCTATATCGTATTAACGACTTTTCACTGATAGCATGGCGGTCTAAATCAGCGATCTTAAATACGACGCGAACTAAATAAACAGGTTTTTGCAAGATCCCTTTACCAATATTTCATTTGCAGTCACAGGGATTTTCCATAGGGAACATTTACTTAGATTTCTATTGAAGTCTGAATTCGTTGGCACTATCGATATGTATGGCAATACGGAGTTAATGGGGGAAAATGACACAACTCGAAAGGTCGTATCTAATCGTTTTTGCTAATTATTAATTATACGCGTAGGAATAGAATGCCGTGCGTTTTTGTTTTTTTGAAGTTTTATGTATAAAAGGGACAGAGCATACTACTAAATATCGTGTTCTTTATAGGGGCGCTACAGTTGTCTAAATTCCCTCGCCCGGAGGCGGATCCTCGGTTTCAATTTAGCCATTTGCAAACTTTTTGGACCATAGAGTCTGAGCCAAATTAAAGCGAAAAAGCAAACATTCGTTAGCAGAAAACGAAGACACGTGGGTCGGACAGTCAAAATCAAAGTAAGTGATTGATCCGTAGTTATATTGATACAAGGATAAAACGACATTAATTGAAGAAGCTCAAATTATAACCAAGCACACTGTCTAGGCTTTGCGACATACTTCCACTTCATCTCTTGGGGCGATCTCGGGGCAATTGACAGTAAACCGTGTTGAACACGATAATTGCTATGAAGGTACACCAGCCTACTTGAATAAAGGGACGCCGTAGATTTGATTTTGCTCCTCTAGTAAGTGCATCACTATGACGTGCAGTCACATCTAGCTCGGATTTTATTTTCGTTTATTATTATGAAAACGTCCCAAGATGGGGTCGTAAAGGGTAAAGTTTTTGCCGAAAAAAGTGTTAAGGACTTGCATAATACTTACGTACGAACCGGACACGATAAGACCTATTTTATGCTGGCTGACTATGGAGTTAAAACCCAACAGTTGGACCTATTTTTACCGATTTACTAATCGCTAATCCTTAATTCCAGTAGTATCGCTAAGACGTCGTTGTGATGGAACGTTCTCTAAAAATATTGTTTACTTAAACGGCATACTAAAGAACTAATAATAATGTATTGTCTTGCAAAAAAATATGAGCTTAAACTAAAGAGCAATCCGGTTACGGTAAAGAAGATTGTGTAATTTTCAAGCTAAGTTACCCCCTCCGGAAAGGCTTAATATTTTCTTCCCTTGAGCCCGCCCCTAAGATACTCCAAATATCTCAAAAGGACTATGGCAAAACGCTACACGTTTTTCGATTCGTCAAAACAAAGCTTCACACAATAAATGTTTGATCACGATTCTGACATGCGCTACCACTTGCAATACGCCAGACTTAACTGAAGTTACTGAGAAGAACTCCATCTAATGAAAGAACATATGCGGATGGTTCCTTCGTACAGCTCAGTCACTCGCATCAACTCCACCCAACGTGAAGTATGCATCCTAAAAGCTCCGCCTAAGAAGGCTTGCTGGCCTAACAGTTTGAACAGCTTGATCGGGGGAAAAAGCTGGAACTACAACGTTGAAAGGGTACAAGAGTCATGATCAAAAGCAGACGCCCTGCGGAACCGCTTCTGCTCGAGTATAACTGATTGCAGACGTGACATTCGAGCCAAGCAAGAGGCGAGCTAATGGAAGTAGTTGGCGCAGCTGATAGATCTCACTGCAGGTAAGTAGCATGTAGAGCACAGAAATCGACGAGGAACGGGAGGTCAATAGAACATTGTAATGGCAACAGTGAGACGAGGCACACGCTCTTCCGCAAGAAGTGTTTTGGATCACCTAAATAACGAGTGGATGATCTAAGAATATGGGCTATGAAGACGGCGATTCGTAGAATCGTTCTTCTGTACCAATGATAGTACCCATTGATCGCCAGGTCGTGCAGAAGATTCTGACTCGATAAAATTCACTGACACGATTACGTATGGTTATCATTTTTAGTTGTTATTTTTATTACTTACCTCTGATCTTAATTATAATTAATAGATACAATTAAACATATGAATGAAGTACTTAGTAAGAACTATATTAATAAAAACAAATAACAGGTAGGCACCGGTCGAGGTATTACATTGGAAGCTACTGCAGCCACGAAGTCGTTTATATTGCAGAGCAGAAACCAGAAATCAAACACTATCCGAAGAATCATATATATACATATGGGACATGCGTCCCGTACTATACTTTATTGCATAATTTGAGAGATGCATGATTCAGGCTGAAATTGCGCCCGAAATTTTCAATTTACTATGCTTATATAAGCCGTCTTGGACAATGAAAACGGCATACGAACGGCATTAATTATAAACCATTTGATCAAAAATAATCGATTTACGACGAAACTACAAAAGAGGAAAAATCTGTTTCCGAAATTTTTAGACTTAAGAAACAAACAATTTTGCAACATTAGTTTTCATAAATTCTCTGTAGTTATGGATGAAATTACAAAAACGATCAGTTTGCTCTAATTAACAATATTGCGTCTTATTGAAAAAAAACTCTCCGGGAAAAATGTTTATCTGATTGAATACATCTTACGCACTGTTCTTTCCTGGACGAAGATCAAGCAACCAAAGCTATATAGAAGATTTTATTTCACAATTAGCTACGAACACACTTGAACCATATTTATTCCTTGAGTATCATTTCTTATACATTTACATACTGTAGTTTAAAGATCAATAGTAGGAGGAGCCTCAATTTATCTATACTCTTTTTTCTGTTCAAGGCATTTCCTTTTAGAAAACAGACCCTAAGACTTTTTTTTTGAAATTGAAACCTTTTTGTTGATCTGCTATGCTTTACCCAAAAGCCAGTTAGCGTTTAATCTGAATCAGAAAAGACGTTATCTCTCTGGGTTGAACTTCTTTCAAGTCGCTTGCGCAATGCAACATCGTGGGCAGGTGGTGCCACTTCATCTTCATCACTGTTACTGCTGCAGCTCTCGATAGCGGCAACAAAATCCTGGCTGCTTCGGACTCCAGCTGAGGTTCTGACGCTAACGCGTTCGGCGTCAGTACCAGTTCCTGCCGTACCCGGTTCACTGCTGGCATCGTCAGAGGCGGTACTGGCTGCGTCTGCGTTAACTGTCTGGTTTACATTCGAAACTGCAGTCGGCAGCTCTTCAGTGAGGTATGGGCGGAGCGACTCGTCGAACTTACTCACCTGCCGTTTCATCTGAAGGGAGTCAAGCTTCTTCTGAAGTTTTCTCGACAATCGATGAAGTGCACGAGCATCGATGTTCGAGCTGACTCGAAGCCGCGACAGCGCTCGGCAGTAGTATTTCACTTCAGTTGAATATGGATCTCGAAGCATTTTGTTTAAGAGTTCCTCCGCGAGTTGGTCATGTGGTGTAAGTGTCTTTGGTTCTAATCCGCCCGTCTGACTCACGGGCAGACATCTTGAGTCGCATAACGATATGATCGTGTCAACGACTCGTTCCACTGGAACCGTGGCCAGAGCTGATGTCTCGTTTGCATCGAAGAACAGCCGAAGGCACGGGAAAAATGACTGACGGACACAGTCCATCCGTTCTATGGACATTTTGCAGTATGCTTCAAAGAAAAGCGACAGTGAATGAATAATATTGGCGTTTGACGAATAGTTCGAGTTGAACCAGAACGAGAGCAGATGAGCCAAAATTCGTGGCGAAACCAGATGGCCAACAAATATCAACTTGCATAGACCCTCGATGACGACCTCCAGCAGAGCGTCCTGACGCGTTTTGAGAAAATCGGCGAGAAAAAGCACAATCTTCTGCATCTCTTGTTGGTCATTGTTTTTGCTAACGCTGTCATCGAATTCGACTCCTGCCTTTGTAGTATGCGAAGCTTCAAGGGACAAATCTAACCTTGACATGGATAGCATCGAAGGATCTTCATCGAGCGTGGAAAATGTTTTAATACCATAGCGAAGCAACAGGTCAAAGATACCCCGTAGTGCAATTGCCCGAATTTCTACGGTATCACTTTTAGCAATGTGAGTGAGAATGAACATCTTCGCACGAGCAAATTGTTTGTTCAAGATACACCCGTAAACTAGGCAGCGTACAGCCTCTGCACGAGTTCGGCAGACAGGCATACAAATTGCCTTAAGCGCACGTTGTTCAATAAAGTTCTCAAGTATAATATCAAGTCGCTTCGGCGTTGTCTTACGTAAAGCTAACGCCATAATTGCTAAACAACGTCGAACCGATGCGGGGTCTAGCTCCATTTCTTTGAAATGGTCCTCATCGTGTTTAGCATTTGGCCCTTGCTCGAACGAATTCTCAAAATCATCTTCGTTCGAAAGGAACATGGCTTCAGCTCTGCGTTGTTCTTCCTCGTAATTATCGATTACTACCTGCACATTCGCCAATTCTTCTTTCGCCGTTTGAGCCTCGAGGAATTTTTGCTGCGACGCTAACGTATCAACTTTTTCCCTGAGTAGAGTCGCTTGGACGCGCGCCTGCACGATAGCAAGGGGCTCCTCCGCCCAACGCGATTTTGTGGGACCCTTATTACCGTCCTTGTTGCTAGTTTCAGCATCATCCTCCATCTGTTCTTCGTTTTGTTCGGCTCCTTTAGCAGCCCCACCATCTTCCCCGCAGATGGATCTGCTGAGCAACTCCTGGCGGTCCTCAGAGTTCATCAGTGGACTCTCAATTTCGGAAATCACGTCGACCACCTCCGGAATTACTTCATCTGGTAGGTCACCGTGAAGTGTACAAAGCAAACTTACGAGCGGCTCGAAGAAGTGCTCCATATTTGGTTGAGCAAGAAAAGTTTTAATCGCTTCATTAAGGCGACTTTTACCTGCGAAGTCAGAAAAGTCGGCATGGCCTAACAATAAAATAAGTTGAGTGCATACGAGCCGATGGTTGACGACTTCAAGGGCGTCTAATCCTCCAGACATGCCTTCAGCACGCCCAACAGTGCGAACCATGAGGTCTGCTAAACGGCCTGTCTCTGGCATCACTTTGAATAGCAGAGCATGGCAGAGACCGTCGTCCGAATGCTTGTTGAGGAACATACACAATCCACGCCAGAGCATAAGCGCTGTCGCGGTTAATACGCCAATCGGATCTGAGCGCGGCGAGTATTGGTTGACTGCAGATTTCTGCTCACGGGTGACGACACCTTCGCTTGCCGTAGATGGTCCACCCGGCGTAGCCGGAAGTACAACACCTGATGAGTTCACGTTCACTGTAGTAGAGACATGCGTGGCGACGAAACTATTGACCAGCTCTTCCAGTTTTTCTTGCCGATAGGCGCGCTCTAGAAGAACATCTATAACGCGCATTGTTGTTTCGGGCTTATGATAAGGATCGAGGTTTTCCAATAAAGTAAGAAGAGAATCTCCACATTGCGCAAGCCATGTGGGGAGCAGCTCATCGCTTACTACTTGCACAACTGCCTGACTTCTGTCGGCGAAGCCTCGGCTAAGAATGTGCGTTCGGTCCATTAGTTGTAGAACACGCACTTTGATGCGTTTTGCATATACCTGATAGACCTGTTTACGAACGGAAGTAGACACGTCCATAGAACGAAGTTGAATTTTCGCCAGTGAACGAGTGCACAACGCAATCACTTCAACGCACGTTCGGCGTACTTCCGGTTTGGGATCCTTAGCCATGTGAAAGATAATTTTATTCATATAGGGACATGCCAGATCACGCGGATTTTGAAGTTTAGCCAGCAAACGAATTCCTTCGCAACGGATAGAGGGTACTTTATCAATTGCTAAAAGTGGAGCCAGGCGTGCTAGTGTATCAAACTGCTCATCTGAAAGCCATTCTTCGTGACGAAGTTTGCGGATGATCTGGACAATCAGTGAAGATGCCCGAAGTCGCCGCACTGCATTGTAGTCTTCACAAAATGGTAAAACCTTGTTGACGAGCTTGTCGAAGATGGGCTGACATTCTTCCACCATGAGCTCCTCCATGTTGGCCACAACTGCTAAAAAAGCCAAAATTCGAGACACTGCATCTTCCCGAATGTCCTGAACGTTCATAAGATAGTTTACAATATGTACCAGTCCACGCACATGGCGATCCGGGTTGCCAGACCACAACACGTCAACGCCAACAGCCTTTGCTAACTCTTTGAACTTTTCTTCGCATGATTCTTTGGCCGTTGGCCGCCTCTGAAGGGTGTCCAAAATATTGTCGATACCCCTGTACTGTGATCCCTCGACCATATCGATGTCAATACTCGTTACAGATTTTGTCGAAACCAGTCAGCTAAATCGAACACGATTTTACATTCGTTACTTTGTCCAGAGAAAATCATACAGATCTTCAAAATTACCTGTGCAATTAGCAAAAAAAACGCAACACAAACTGGTACAGCTGATATATGGCGCCCTTGAAATGGCCATATTTATATCGTCTTGGCACCGCCAGAAGATCCGTTATGACAGGCTTTGAACTTTCCAACATGGCGACCCGCACCGGTGCCGCATCGTCTGCTATAAAAACAATCACATTGCCATTTTACCAGGTATTACAAACATAGACTGGCTCAGCTGTTAAAGCATTTGGATATGGCTTAAGCAATTAATGAGAAGCTTCATATTTAGCACTATACGGTGCACGCATGTCATTGAAGCTAAAATGATTTGCATTGTTCTCGTGAGCCATTTTAGAATAATTTTTAAGCCAAAACCCGTATGATGTTCAGCCAAATATTACTCGGTACATTTGTATGAGTGATCGAGTGAGGGTCTAAAAGCCACCTAAAAATAAACATTCCCATTCCATAATTTTGTTACTATCTCTACTTTATTTATTTATTTAGGGCATGACAAACTTATAAACGCTACGGTGGATTAATTATATTATTGTCTAACTGAATAGAACAAGTGAAATATGGCTTGTCAAAAAATATTTCAAGAATATGTGCGTGTTTCAACGACTTACCCTTTAGTGCAGTACCGACATTATTATACGCATTAGAAACGTATTATATTTGCAGTCGGTGTGACAATTTCAATAATTGCAATGTATAATAGCAATTCTAGTTATGTATTATTGGGTATAAAGGCAATTTTGATAAGATATATGCAGTTCCCTTGTGGTTTTTAAATTTTGAATATTTAACTAAAAACAAGAATTGGGCTTTCGTTCAGAAATGTGACAATTTCATTGTTGTTCAACCTTGAGATCCATTGTTTGAATCAATTAATAATAATTAAAACATTTTGACAAATGTATAAACATAAATATTTGTATCAACAATCAATCGGGCTTGTGGTAGTCGATTTTAGATAACCATGTTCTTAAAAACAGGAGATTCGATCGTAAGACCCGTGATGCGTGAACTTCTTTAAACGACTCATCCAAAGACGTAAGCACGAATAAAAAAAAACGAACAAAAATCATATTTTGATGCTTTTTTCATAAGAAATTATATAAAATTTTAGAAAATCTTATCCACTTCGAAATTTTTTTCTCAAAGAAACAACTTACAGATCGTAAGTCAACGTACATGACGCACAGAGTCTATCTTTAGACATGTATATATACAACTTTTAGGTGTGTGTTTCGAAGCACACAAGAATTATAACAAACCAATGGACTGAACCTATATCATTAGCTAATGCGTATACTGTCGATCTTAATTTTACCATCCATTTTTTGTGAAGGCTGGAGATTTCTGCCCGATTATGAAGTCTATTTTAAAATCGGCTCTGTTGCCTAATAGCCCTTCTACGTACCCATAATAAAAGTTGTGCTACTACTGCGACAAAATTTTGAAAAATATCTCAATATTTAATTCCTAGCATTAAGAGGTAAGCAGAATAGTGACAGCAGTCTCCGTGGGGGTTCTACATCCAGGCGCCCTTCTTGCGTTGAATCTAATGCAAAACCGTGATAATCATCCCACGCCTTCAGCGTCGAATACGACTCACAACATCACATGGCTGTAAAGTTACTTATCGATGCAAAACTAGCCCAGCAACCAGTATTACTGTTGTGGACGATACGATGTCGGCGTCGCAGCCCGATCAAACCCGATCTTCGGTCGTCCAGTGTTGCATTGACGTAAACGGGCAAATATCATTTCTCCGTTTATTGTCTGCTTGTGATGGTAGCTGTAGGCGCGAAGTCGCAAAGGCAACGGACAACATCAAAATGCTTGACGCAGACCGCATTTGACTGCAGCTGACAGACTGGCAGCCCAACAACTGAGTGACTGACTGATTTGACGCGAACGTGAGTAGCGAATGCAATGGTAACCGAATGAACGTAAAGGCCGCTATGGCGTGATACCAATTGACAGCTGCGACTGGCGTCAGTCATTGCGTAGAACAGTAAGCAGGGTCAATGTGTGCGGGAAGTTTTGCCACTTTTTGCTAAGTAATTCACAGCTGAAGTGCCTAATGCTACGGGGATATTTAACTTATAGCGGTGTGTGGTAGGTTTCTTTAGGTACTGTTACTGGACAGGAACCAATGGCGGTATATGGATAAATATGTATGTATGTGGATATACGAAAGCAGCGCTTCCCCACTAGCTGGAACAACCTGATAGTTTACAGAACTTTGATGAAGTGCTGTGTACTTGATTGTGCTTTTGCTGCAATATAAATAGAGCCATAGCCGATGCCACGACCAAGCGCTTGTGGTCGTATTAATGGAATGTCAAACTGCTTCAAGCAAACTATGCAAAAATAAGCCGATGATCAATTTCTTGTCTGTTGACAGAATTGGTAAATGCGATACGATGAAACGCGAGACAGGAACGGATTATGCTACCCAGATCGAATATACGAAATGTTGATATTTAATTTTACTTCAGATTCATTTTACAGATACAGAATACCTGGTGATTGCGTAATACTTGAACATTGACTCTGTAGCTGATTTGCTCAATTTTCAGGAGTTAACTACTTCTTAGAATTTTGTATTATGCTGGGTCTATCAGTTTTTTCAAGACTTTATCAATAGTTAGTTAGCTTCTTAAGCTTTTTGTCCGATGGGGTGCATTTTATACAACAACAATAGAATTATCACACATATTATGTAAATATTCTTTATAAATGCAATGTGAGACAACCTGAATTAGGCGAAATTTAGGATAGATTTGAATGCTAGCTAGAATAATTTCTAGCATAAGAACAAACCTTACAAGATAATCTTTGAGGAGACAGTAAGGGTACGGAGCAAGTTTAATGGCTGAATCAATAAATTGCTTAACTCCATCATACCACAATGTGATATAACAATCTTAAGGTGAACAATTCTTAGGCCGTTGTTCCCTTTCGATGAATTACAATATACCGAAGTGCCTGAGTATTACAAGGGAGCAAATAGCACATTATTTGATGATAGTCACTTTTGTGGGAGTAGATTCCAAAATTAAAACCCTGCTTCTGTAAACTGTTCTCTAACCTAGCGTAATTCACCGTAACGGAACAACGCTATCTTGACACGAGAGTAGTGTGGCGGAACCTACACAAGTTATTTAAGTGGGTCTGGTGTTAGATATAAAGTGTTTCATTTCTTGTATAAGGAAACAAAGAATAAATTTCAAGTATAACACCAAGACAAAATAGGATGATAACATTAATGTTTAGGAAGTGAAAGAAAAATAGACTACTAAGAGACAGAATGTTCAAATCATCCTAGATATACAATAAATAACTTAGTAGAGCCTCTAGTGTTGACTATACATAGAGCACCCCACGTATACACAGAACAATATATTTAAATTATTTCAGTTTTTAGAAATTGAATTTTCACGAGTAATTTTTTGCACTGATCTTAGCTGGGTCAGCGTGCCCAATTTTGCAGACACCTGAAACCTTATTGATGTCTTTGTTTATGTTTATTGCCATAAAATTCACCCAATTCGAAGTAATCCACGGATTATGTTCCTAACTATATATAATGCTAACCTTACAATAAAAAACTGCTGCCATATCTACTTACCTTCGTTGTTTATTACGTCCAGTAGATTAAAACTTAATAATAATGATATAATATAACATTAAATACCCCTGTCAAGCAATCTTATGCACCGATTATTCAAAATTAATTATTTTCATGCACAATGCAAGACCTCAAACCTCATAAAATTTTAGTGCCTGTTCCTCTTTCTTTTTATAAACATTTCGACTAGACTAATTAGCTAGTTGACTAGACTGATTGACTGATTGATTAACAGCGGAAAGAAGAATATTAAAATACAATAAATTTGAAAAACAAGAAAACCCTGCCATTGATATCTTATAGCGCCATTTCTTTTCAGTAATATCTGTTGGTTCTAGAAGAATAGTTGGCGGCCCGCAGGCGGCGTGATACTCGATTTTTTTAGCGTCATCAGCGCCATTACCACCAACTTCATCATTCGCTTCAACCAAATTTGTTCGTCCAAGTTTGTTAACGAACAGCAGCAGCAGCAGCGAGATTTCCTTAACTGTGCATTGAAATTTTGGTGCTGCCGATCGCCGCAAGCTGGCTTTTGTACCGCGCTGGCCGTTTTAGCGGCACTATTCAACAATAGGGAGCTCACCATGGCAGTCGCGACGTCGCCATGTACTGGAATACTACCAGTATATAATGTTTATATAGACATGGTACGACACCTAAACTGGGATATTTTATGCTCCGCTTCTAAGCCTGCCTTTAAATAAAAACAGACATTTAAACGATTTTTTCCATGTGCAATTTTCCAATCCAAAACCAGCATTCATCGCGATTACCGCTTCAATTCGATGCGCCATTGGTAGGTCAAGTAGATTCGGGTGTGTCGTTTTAATACGCCACATTTGAAAAATTCTAGCATGTTTAAAGTTTAGGTTGATAGAAGTTAGGAAGTCTTAAAGACTTCTAAGTAAAACCTCAAAAAGGCAAAAAGATAAGAGGTATAAAAGGCATAAAAGGATCGAAAGAGACTAACCGTCGGAGCTTATCTGGACGACTCAATTAACAATCCATACCCTCTAAAATAGCTGTAGTAGAAATCCAGGTATATCAGAAATGGCTTTTTAAGCTACTTTGATCAATCTTTCAGTCATTTAAATCTTCAGCCTACTCGGGATCTTCCGGTTTGCTTTATAAAAAGATTCCTCAGATCTTTCTGAACTACTAGCGATGACGTAAAGCATATATTTCGGTCAATAAAATTTGCGAGAAAATTTCTAGCCCGTTTTCATTCAAATTACCAAAATGGCACGTTGTTTTGTACCTTAATAATTTTACTGTTTCTTTCTAGAAAAAGAGGCTTTCGTATAGTATCGAGATTGGCGGATAAACGCATGCCTGTTACGACAAATAGCCCGGCTAAGGTTGTCTCAATTTAGGTGTCATACCCTGTACATACTATGCAATACAGCGTGCAGTAAGGGTTGATGTCGGCCGGACGTGATGAAATAGAATAATATTGTTTTGCGCAGTTGGTGATTTGAAGTGAATAGCGGCAACTGGCAATGCCGAAAGGGGGCTTGGTTCGTAATGCTACTTTTTAAACGGTTGCATGTAACGCTATGTGTGTGCAATGTCCATGTGATATCGAAACATATGGACATAGATAAACTGATTTTTTGTAACAGCCAACGATCACCTTATTGCTGTGCTATGATGACAATTATGCTGCTGCTGCTGGAAGATGCTGGGTGACATGGTCGACTTGTGTATGCAACACGCCAATATGCAACATATAATATATAGGCAAATTTTTTCTAATGGCGACTGGACAGGAAAGAGTACTCTGCCGGTTCTTCCACTTCTCACAGCTGCTGACCGCTGGTCTAAAAAAAGCCTATAACATTTCACAGGCAGGTTAGCTAATTCTCTTTAGATTGCCTATTGCATAGACTGCGCAAGGGATTGCCATTAAACAACAGGTGAGCGAGAGAGAGCAAGTTTGTTAGTTTGGAAGTAGCGAGCACCGAATATTATTTGGATTGATAATTTTCCTTTTATTGCAATTTTAATACTACTATTAGGGAAGGAAAACGTGTAATTTTGTTTGCTGATACTTCTTGCTTCAAACCAACTCCGCCGTGGATTATACTCATATTAATAATTTGACTCAGTGACTTGCATACGACAGTTCAAAATAGAATGAATGTCGTTTCACAAATAAATACTTTAGACCAATGTTAAATTGTACCGTAATACTGACTGATTGAATATCGAATATAAAAATGGATTTGATTTGTCTTAAAAAAACAAACTCACTCTTGAAACAGCAGCATCAGTTTTCATTCGAAGTCTACTTCCATTACAAGCCTAATGCAAAGCCTACCCCTTACTCCACGCTATATGTACATAATAGAATAATAGTAATGCTGGTGAGGCCTGTGCCTGTGTGTCCTAACAAGGCAACAGCTCACTAGCCGGCTATTTGGAAGTTTGGTCAGCCGACATTCCGTGCAGCGGAATCCTGCGATCGCAGCCTTGGACTTCAACACACCACGGCCGGAGCAACTGTAGCTAAAACAACAATAGAAGTACTAGCCCACCATTTGTAAGGTCACTGCCATAGCCACCATCACTCTGCAGTGCATTGTATGATGCTACCGCGCAAAACGTGTACGGAACGCGCTAACGCTTTAAAGTCGACCCTCAGAAACGCTACGCTGGCTGCTGGTATTGGCGTTACTAGCGTTACTTGCCGCGTACCCGAGATTAGGATTAAACACTAAACGGTTCTTAGGCTCGGTTAACTTCTAGCCAGGCATTTCCTCCTTGTGTTTGATAACCGTAAGAATAACGATTCCAAAAGATAGGTAGGAAGGAATCGAATGCAGCGATTGATGCTTTGCCCTGTGCCGAATTCTTCAACAGCTGAGCATGTACTTCATATAGGTGGTGTCGGTGGCAAGCGACGATAATTTGATTAGACACGTTGGAACTGCGCGAGTTACGAGGAGCCAGCGAATAGCCATACGCGCCGTAATCCATATCGACAGACGAAACAAACGCAGCAGTCGCGGCGTCCATCATAGTGGACTGCCTTTCTTGCACCAGCTCACCCTGCTGCTTTGCTAGTCCATACTGTTATGGTCCGCCGTAGCAAACATACAATAATGAATCAGCCTACTGCCACCCATATGCTAATGACAAAGGTAATGTAGTGGTTACTTGCGCGAGGTATTGAAAGCGGCAGTCCTCCATGCCAATATCACCTGGTTGGCCCAGTCACGCGCTCAATGACGGCGCGCTTTTCGCATCCGCTTTGCTGAACCTGTCTCCTGTACACACGAACTCAGACCAACTTTTCGTGCAACTTCTGCCTCGTATAATCTCAGCATACGCTGCGGCATGGAAGCCACTAGCGTGAGTCGATAACGTCGATGCCGACTAAAGTTTGTCGACCGCCATTCGGCAATGGCCCGAATAATGATGGGTGGACGCTCTCTCAAACAGGCCACGCTGCTCGAGAACCACTATGCGCTGACATGGTTAAAACGAATACAGGTGATTGAACACTGTGGCTCTACCAGAGAGTATGTATGGAGAGTAACAGTACTTCCATATGAAAAGATAGAGCGCTGCGTTTTATGTACATAATACAAACAAGTCGAATGGCAGATTCGTGCAAGAACGCTGGCGGCAAGGCTGGCATGATGGTACAGTGAACGCTGACCGCAGTTCTAATCCACATAGTACAATAGTGTCTTTCTGCTTACTGGTTCCCAAGCGAATGCCGCACATGGATTTGATAGTCTAATGACGCGTCAGCTGCTGCAAGCCAGATTACGTTTTTGGCTGATGGACAAAGCGGGCCACCGAATTGAGCAGGTGAAGCAGAAAGCGCGTATTCGACTAAAGGGTGTCATAACAGCGTAGGCTGATATGACCAAGGGAAGACGGAACGTTTCAGAAGTGGAAGCCTTTTGATTTTTTTTAGTAATATCACATCTCGAAGTAAATGTATAGCAGTTGTTGTGTCTAATTTTACTAACAAAATTCTACAAGAGTTACTGACGATCCAGGGCATATCAGTACCTTAACAAGCGTTTTAAGATCTGAAACTACATTTTTTTTTCGATATGATTTGCTATAATTTCAGAGAAGCGAAATCATAATTTGAATAAACAAACTTTTATTAAGTTTTGTGCGCATACATATGCTATAGGAACAATCCAGTGAGGATGAGCAAGCTATTGATACTTACATCGATTTAGAACTCGAGTTTGGAATCACTCATAATTCTAATGGATCGGTGCAGATCTTAATCCTTATGACCGGAGACCGCAAAAGCAATAGCGACAAAAATAACGACCACAAGAATAATTATACACCCGTTGCTAATTGGAATACATAGTCACACTACACTAAAGATAAGTCGACTGTTAACAACGGTTGGGTTGTACTTGAGCGGCGCACAGACAAAATAACCGAACGTATCTCGCCACTGTCCGATCAGTTAACTTCGTTTTCTTTTAGACAACGAATGGTACGATACGTATGCCGTCATTAGTCCATGTCGAAGCTTTAAATAGAACAAAACTGCTTGCTTAGCTACTGAAACCTCTAACTCTATTTCAAACAACAATCACAAGCTTACGGGATTTACTTTTTGACGAAATTTTAGGCAGCAGATTAATCGAATGCACTAACATATTGTCCTTCCTAATTCTCTATCAGATGTGGTGTATTTTTGTATACCGTTTTGATTTGTAACGAGCTGGCACGTTTCTGTTTTTCTTTTCATTATAGAGAACCACATGGGTTTAGTCTCTAGTAAGCTAACTCTTGTGTGACCCGGCAGATATTATGCGGCATCATACGTTCAACTAGAGGTTTAGTGATCCGTACTAGCGGTGGGGAATTAGGGGAATCTCAACTTTTATATAATTCTATTAATAAATATTTCTGAATTCTGTGTCCTTCAGTCTGCTATGTATTGTTTCAGACGGCTAGTAGTAGTATTCTTCACAGCGAATCGAGTCGTGTGTCAACGCCCAGACCGCCTCACCTGATGTTGTCATATTAGAGGTATGTAAATGCGATACCACAGCACTGTCTCGGGGACCCATTCACTCCAATGCTGTTCTTTGAACAGACATGTTAGACTCATCAGACTCGCCCTCCTACATTATCGCTTCCCCTAGAGGAAGTCGCCACATTTTTCCGAGATATTTTGCCATCGGCTTTCGTTACCTAAGGCAATAACATCGGCCATGGGACTACTATTAGATTCAATGAAGGTTTCAGTCACGCAGGTTATACTATCGTGTCATACCGTTGGCTTTGGATCAGTTAACGAGGGTGCGGCTGGTGATCACACCGATGTAGTCAATCACATAATTGACCACAGCGAACCGCAGCATCTTTATCGACATATAAGCGCACAAAATGTCGTGTAATTAACAAACAACTCAAGTTTGAACTTATTACTAAGAAGTGTGGCGACTTAATCGACTTAATTCTAACGTTCAGGTCAAAAACGGTGTACACCCTAACATAATATTATGGCGACCAAAATTGGCGTAACCACGCGCGCACGATCTCTTCTTCGAAGAGGACAACACCCCACTGATTGTGTGACAGACAGGCCATTCACAGACGACTGCACCACTAACACTAGAATGGGTGACTCCCTGTGGTTGGTACATTAGAAATTAGACAATCATAATAACAGCATCTACCGAACCTCTGTCTTAATTCAGCATTCGTGTTATTTCCGAATCTCTCCACTCACCTGAAAGATGGCGTTGACAGGTTTTGATTGACCCACTGGTCGAAAACTGTTTCCACTTCTGACTTCCACAGGCGTTTGTGCTATTTTCGACAGGACGAGTCACGCGAAATAGATTTCAAACTTGTTTATGGTGCGGTTGTCACGCATGCACCGCACTAATCTTCGTTCTTTTTTAAACTAACTTCATTGCTTGCGCCTTCCTTTAGTTATCTGTGATTTTTGTCTATTCAATCTCCTTACACTTCTGTACAGCCCGCGCGATCCTGCTCTGGCGGTTAGAGCTTAGACACAAATTTATTTTTCACCTTAACAAGGATCACTATTGCCCTGGACCACGGCACCCCGCTTTTGTGCTTGGGATGGGCGGGTAGTGTGGCTGTCTTACGGTCGTCGTCGATGGACTGCTGGGCTGGTTTGTGTTGCGGCTTCTACTAATGCTCTTCTTGTTGATGTCGCGAAGAACAGTGTCGCTGCTCGTCTCTGCAACGCCCTGTAGACGCGTTAGTTCTCGCAAGAGTTTATCGTAAATAAAATGTCTCTTAAGCTATTGCAGCTTGTTTCTCTTAAGCGTTGCACATTCTACGACAGTTCCTGCTGCCCGTAGACAAGCACTTTCATACTTTTCGCTATGAGTTTTGCCACTTTTACGGGAGCGTATTTGGAGTAGCTCCACAACAACTACAGCTACTTTTCCGTGGCTGGCAGCAGCTGTAGCATGACAATACCGACATCGACAACTACTGCATGAATCGCAGCAGAAGCATCTGAACAAACTGGGCGTCAAACCGTCGTCATACAAGATACGTCAGCAGTCTACGGCAACAAGAATACAGAGCAATCAAAAGACTTCTGTCGTTGTTGCCGTTACGTCGCACTTTTGGCCGAGTCACTAGTGAGTGGCCTGCAGCGACGGTGAACCGACCCAGAGGAACCAAAAACCAGCCACACAAACACCGGGGACGCGCGTGGGACGCTCGGGCCAGCGAGTGATTGCACCGGCTATAGGCGCATGTATATTCGCAACTCAACAGGCAAAAGACGTACCAGGTCGACGGCAGCACAATGCACGCGGCTTCTTGATCTTGCTGCTAGATCTTTTGCCGACTTTCGTCGACTCACTCACTTGCCACAGCCAGGATCCTGCTGCATGGTGTATGGCGCTGTGGAGCGTCGGAGCGATTGGTATCGACGGGTTCCGGGCTATCTACGGCACGATGAACGTACGCGCGCTACACAAACTCCCATGGACCGCCACTGATTCACGCTGATGGTCGGTGTCTTTGTCGACGATTATGGGGCACCCCGGTACACATGACCAATCTGGACACTATTGAATGAGCAGAATGAACTAGACTCACTCAGTCATTAACAGCATACAAACAAACACAGAATTTCACGAACGGGGACTTTACTTCCGTATGTTGATAGACTGATTTATTGATGAAGAGAACTTTGTTGTGGTGACTCATTCGATAACAGCTGCGCAGAACGCACAAAACAGCACAATTATATGCAGAATTTCTCGAACGTCCTCTGTATTTAGATACGTAGAGAACTGTTCAATTCGATAGAATAGAATGAAATTCAGTTTTCCCCACAGTCCCTTTTGCACTTATTCCCTGTAACCTACAGGACGAATGCAACAAACCATAGAAAAACTTGAAATCAACTGGAAATGCTCCAGCAGTGTAACTTTGCGCTATCCGCGTAGCAAACGAAACATTTCTCCTCAATCGAGTCGAGGAAAATCTCAATGTACTTTATTTGTTTTGAATGGGAGAAGCGCGAGGCCACCTGCACACGTTCAATGATTCGTAGAGAAGGTTACGAAGCGCGATCACAGTGGTGTCTCTTGATGCGCGTGTTTGTGTCAGCGTACTCTTAAAGGCCAACTAAGTAAACAGTCTTGCTCTAATAGGTAATATTAACGGCACTGTCACAATATAGAAATACAGATTCAGTCAATGTTGGCAAATCGTTTTTGTCGTCGTACCAGATAGACGTGATCTCGATGTCCAAGCATCCACGTTCACCCATCCAGACTATGCGCTGGAGCAGTGTCTCTTGCAGACAAAAGGTGGCCCGATACAACTCAACCCGGCCCGCTCCCGCAGCAGCGCTAGACTAAAGCAGAAGTCGTGTCGCACTTGAAGGGACCTTTCGACAAAGGGCTGCGCCAGCGGAGTAGCCAAGATCAACGCAGAGAGACCCGCCTTTAGGACCGCGGTTTTTGGATTTTGCGGATTGCGATGTGTCGGAGACGCAGCAGGGTACAACCCAACAAGACTGATAATTATGGCGACTCACTCGTTTGTAAAATAAACAGATCGGCTATTGTTCGACGGGCGCGACCTGCCCTCAGCCTGCGCCTGTAGGTTTTTTTTTATCTCACTCACGTCACTTGCCGCAACCTCTGTAAGCCTGCGCCACTATTATCGACAGCCATAGTTTCATCATGACCATTGTCCACCAGCGCCGTACATCTATATAGAATATACACAAATAGATGTCGCGTGTTTTCGTACCGCTGTTACTGCGACGGCAATTGTGGGAAGCACCAGTCGACTATGTTCACCCGTCGATTGGCCAGTCGTTCTCAACCTAGACCAGCGCCCGCCAGCCTGCCTGTCTGCAGCAAGAACGGCCCGCACCCTCAAAAAATAGCTCAATACAGACGGCCACCTAGCCAGCCAACAGTCTTCAATAACAGGCTAAAAACCGTTCCGAACTTTCCGGTGTTAGGCAGCGTAACGCGCGGAACAGTACACTTCTTGCCTATCCACATTCCGCCGCTTAGTTCTATGTGAAAACAACAGCTGACCTGCGGTTAAATTGGGCACTCTTTCTTACTTTTTCTCTACTCCTCCCGCATTCTCTCTCATTTTCGTCGATGAAAGCAACGCTCGATTGGTTGCTGCGGCAGCAAGGGTAACGGGCGCAGCGCTGGCGCGTTCACCATCATTATGATCTTCTACTACCATGCAAGATGGCGGCTCCGACATCGCCCAACAGCTGGTTAGAGGACAAATATGAGAACAGACGACAACTCACAGAGTCTTGCCAGAGCACTAGTAGCAGACGTTAAACAGGCGGACAATCGACTAGATACAGACAGAGAAATCGCTATATAGAGAGTTTAATAGAACAGCGGTGATGGACGGAAATCTAAGTAGACTAGCTCTGATTGTAAGCATACGAGTTCTTGTCGTAGTGCGTAATGTAGTACAGCAAAAAGTGCTATTAGACGTGTAAACTCTATGCTCTACATGCAAGTACTAACATCACATCTTTGACTTGTAACGAACTGAACATTATTTGTGTGCTTTTCGAATGCAGAGAACAACTGGGAAAGGGTGGGTGCACTCTAACAGTGTGATTGATAGGGAAAAAGAGGAGACTGTCTATTGCATGTATGGCTGTTGTATTTCTTGTATCTAGAGTCGTTTGCTGCTCTACGTCACGAGAAGCAGGAAGAAAATAGGGGAAAAGGGGGTCGGATCCATTCGAGACTCGTGGAGTGATTAGAGAACAGTCAGCGTAAGTGAAACATTGAAGAAAAATGGATCGCGCAAGAGTGAAAGCCGTAAACGGGCAAGTTATGTTGGTGGGAAGTGAGGGCGATAGATGCATGTACTGATGACGGCATTGGTGCTGCCGGCGCTGTATAGGGAAGGAACTATGTGAAGCGGATAAGCCAAGGGTGCTCCGAGGAGTTAGAGCCTTTGCCCTCAGGGGGTTCGGGGAAGGGAGTCGAGGCAGAAAAAATCTAACTACTGTCAAAGCAATACAACTTATGATAACTATTGCTTTTGTTGCGGTGGCGCAAGATAAAAATAAATGACGAAGGTGCAAAAATCGACGTGTGTAAGACAAGCATGCGGACCTGTATCTGCTTATTGGCGGCAGCCGTGGTGTCACGGCAAAGCTTCAGAGCTCATTATATTTAGCATGGCGACGAAACTGGTCATGTACTAGTACTGTCCGAATCGTACTAGCACCACGATTTAACATAATAATACATACTTCCACGAGTCATGGAGCAGAATCTATTGAGCAGATGTGATGTTCCGCAAAGAAAGCAATACGCAGACTTGGTTATCGTTGCGCCTTACATCTGATACAAGAGAGCTTGTGCAACTAAAAACAACACAACAGTACTACTGCCACGGACCACCGATATCTCCGTATAAGATTGTTGCTTCTGGTGTTACGAAGGTAACGCGTAACTAGGAAGATAAGAGAGAATTCAAAATGTAGAATTCAACAAATCGGAAAGCCAAGAACGAGTTTGAAATTGTTGACCGAAGCAAGAGATGGAGGGTGAATAGCGTTCATTTAGGGGCAACAGTGATTCAGCAGGAGACTGTACATAGAGGTTGTTGTTGATCATTTGGAAAAATTACTTAACACACACACAAATAAGGTTGACTGAATTAGGATATTGCAGTTGTTAAGACCTTGCAAACTGTCATTCAGTTGTTTTGTTGCATTTTATGCGAGAGTGTGGATGTCTCACTAATATGGAGCATCAATTGAGCTATCAATATAATTCGAATGTGTAGATGTTGTTACTTATAAAAAAGACAACATTTAATGTCTCGTGGTTCGTCTGGTAAAAATCTTCTTTCATTAGTGGATTTTTGCTCTGCCAGCAGAAGCATAGAATGCGGTCCGGTCATACTTAAATCTGTTACTCAAGCCTTCCTAAGAAAAGTTAAAAGAAAGTTAACAAAATAACAATAATACTAACATTAATAAGACTGCTACTGGTGTATCAGTATGATTCATTGATTGGGATGTATGGTAGCTACGATTCGTTAGAGTTCGATAATTGATCTAAATTGACTGTAGGTAGTGGCGTATAACAAGAAATAACACATCACATTTTGCAGACTATCAGCGTTCAACCATGTAACTACAAACGTAGCTTAGGAAAAAAAAGCAAAATAAACTGTTTACTGGAACCTTGTGAGTGTACTGAAAGCTGCATCTAAGAATATTGAGTTTCTGGCTTTCCGAGTTCATATGAGACGAACTGAGCTATTACTAATTGTTCCGTTTCAAAACTAGTGACAAATTGGTGGATTTTTTTTTTCCAAGTTTATAACTTAAGTCTTTAAAAAATTTGGTTGCTTGATATCTGCTTAGTAACACGTCGAAAAGAATAATATATCAAGGAGTTTTTTTTTAATTAATTATAATATGCTGGAAAAAAGAGAATCTTTACTTAGCGCGCAGAGCTGTCTTACATTTACTATCACACGCCGGTATCTGCAAATTCTAACCCTACGATCACCTCTACTTGCAGGGCCACTTTAATAGAAGACGCAGTCTTTAGCAAGCCTAGAATTTTCTACACATTTAATGCGATGGGTGACAAACAAGTTCCTCGATGGCCTTGGTCACCTGCGCAAGTGCCGCCGCATTGCACACCCTGGATCGACGAAATGGTTCACAGGGTTTATCAATCTACGATTTGCAATATACCAATAGAAATTCCTGGGGATGGCCTGCAATCCCTCACCCTGCCAGAAGTGTACACCATACTTGAGCGGAAATTGGCTGTAGGGGGTGTACCTGAAGATATGGATCAAGGCGGTATTGGAGGGGACCTTGGAAACAGCCAAGACAACGAGGCCGGCAGGCTGGGTCCGAAAGATGTTGCTTTCGATATTAACTCGAATGTTGGATCCCTTGTTATCTCACAAGACCGGCTCGGTGTCACAAGTCAAAGCAATTTTAATACTGTAAAGGCTAATTGCTGTGTGTACCGTGGACGCTGGCAGTATGAGGTACGTACTTGTGCTTGCCAAACAGGTTTACTTTGAGTGGTTAGGTAACGGCTAGGATTTGCAATCTGTACTGAAGGTTAAAAAAATCGAAAGCATGCTGTGAGATGGAAAAAAGGTAAATTGTTCGTAAGTAAATGCTTCCGACGTGTTATGCATGCGACCGGCTTACCTGTGAAAGCGCAGATTGTTGAGATGCTAAACCATTCCTTGATGTATCAGGTATTTAAGACTAGCTGTTCCTGTAGTATCCTTAATAATTGACTTTTCCTCGAAGGTGTCGTTGGGTAGCAAAGGTGTGATGCAAGTTGGCTGGGCAACTGCCAAGTGCGAATTTAATGACGAACAGGGAGTTGGTGATACACCGGACTCATTTGCCTTTGACGGAAATCGAATACGGTGAGTGATGTAAATTAGTTAAAAATGTACAGGTTGGGCATGAGCATCCCGACAATTCAAGAATATCATTTTACAGTTGGTCTTTGTTTATGTGTTATTTTTACTTCATATTGCTCCCCTAATACTTCCACAGATGTAAGGGGAAAACTCTCAGAATCAAATGACTCTTTTTTAAACTTTCAAAGTGCTTTTGTCCCATCCATATTTTTACTTGGAATGGTTTTCATTGTTTCGTATGAGATGCTTGACTGGTTTTTATTACTTTATTTTTTCCGACACTTTTACATTTCCTTTTTGCTTTATCACACAGAAAATGGAACGTTTCCAACATGAAGTACGGCCAAGCCTGGCTAGCAGGCGATGTCATTGGCTGTTGCTTGGATCTCGACGCCGGTACGGTTTCATTCTATAGAAACGGGGTTTCGCTGGGTGAGGCTTTCCGAAATATTCGTCGAGGCCCGGGATACGCGTATTTCCCCGCCGTGTCACTATCGTTCGGAGAGAATCTTGTAGCAAACTTTGGATCGAGCCGTTTACGTTACCCAATTGAGGGCTACTCACCATTAGTTGCAATACCGGATACGTCTCGTGCTCAGCTGGTCACCAATCTAATTTATAAGGTTTGTATTATCGAATTGATCTCAGTATGACTGGAAAATATTTGGCTAGTGTTTTTATGTGGATTTTGTAGTCACTACCTCATGGATAATTTAACGGATATTCTCCTGGTTGGCCGCTATAATGACCTTAATTAAAAAAAAATATGAAGCATGTAAATGAGATGAAAATCGAAAAATTATGCAAAGAATGTATATACATTTTTGATAATATTAATAATTTACACGATGCTAATACGGCTACTACTACTAATAATGTATTCATTAAAATATGAATATAAAATGTTCATATAATAAATATAAATGTTTTATCATAATTTTTTGCGGGAACGTTGTCAAACCCGCAGTTCTGTTAATAAATCAAAATTTGTATGGCAATGCATACAGACAATTAAAGCTAGCCGCACTGCACAGCAACGGAATAATAATCGCGTTTTTCAGGGTTGGTTGCCCAAAAACACAAAACTAAAATGACAATTGATTACACTGGATATCAAAACAAGTTCTCATTCGAAAAATAGTTAAAACAGCAGCAGCTACGTGGTTATATTTATAGAGAAAAGGTTCCGTTAACTCTGTATTTTCTTTGATCGTGTGCATGTCTGCATTGTTATTCTTTTACGTATTACGACTGATTGCGGTATCGTAAAATCCATGATGGATATTACGGATGACTTACTAACTTTCCTTTTCTGTTGTGGCTGCCTGCTATGTTCGTGATGTTGTTTGTGGCGCTATCACAGGTTGTAAGCGTTTACAGTGATGCCGAGAGGACGACAATTAACCAAATGAGCGATGACGGAGCACAAATTCTTCTGCGTGGAAGCCGCTCACAGGCGCTGCTCGTAGCTGCACCCGTAGTCGAGTATTTCCCATTGCTGGTTGAAACGCCATACGTTCTCGAGGTGAGATTAGCAGCGTGGTAATACTCGTAAGCTGTAATAGATAGTGGTTAAGTTCCGTGGACAAAATGCGCACTGTTATTTTAATATAAAATGCACATAATTATATATATATATATACAGGGTTTGGTACGTAAATTGAGACTTTTTTCTTATACTTTGTTTTAAAAACTATTTAGAAATAAAAATAAATATTTTGACAAAATTTCTTACATGTGCTACAAATGTCATTCCTCATAATAACCACCACAATCACAGCTTTAATTCGGGTCCTACAATAGTTAGGAGTAAGTAGGAATAATTAGCCCGTTCTCAAAATATATCCGAAAATAAGTTTTAACAGCAACCACGCATCAAGTGATATTAATAGGCTTAAAGTCTTTAAAAGTGTTGCTTAAATACGCCGCATAAGGAAAATTCCAACGGTATCAAATTTTGAGCTGATAGTAGCCCCAAAAATACAGGAGTCTAAAATGGCCAAAAAGTCTCAAAAGACTCATTGTTAGAACCTACCTGGACCACTAGGTTGGAAATCAATATTCTCTTTCTAAAACGGCCGTTAGTTTCTATGTCCAGAATACGCATGTCCCCAAAATGGCTTTTTGTGATTTTCGATGCATCTTTGAGCTTCAAATGAAAAACTTATTAAGAGCCTTCCGGTTTACCTCATGAAAATCTTTCTCAGCTTTCTAAAGATCTGTTTAAAAACTGGCAGTAATGTAGACTATCATGTAATGTAGGCTATCGCAAAAAGGAAGGTTTTAGTTTTAGTGGTTTGCCCAGGACAGAAAAAATGTAGTAGCTAATCTTTGCTCAAATTCCGAAAACGACGCAGTGTTGTTAGTCATGACGAGTTTGTTGAGTAATTGTAGAAAAAAATGGGTTTCATCTGCTAACAAGGATAGTAGTTGAACGCATGCCCGCCATGACAAACAGCTCGTTGAAGTGGTATTATAATTTAGGTACCGCACCTTATATATGTATATATATATAAGAATTGCAATCTCAGGCCTGTAATAATTATCTTTCAGAAGGACCTAATTTACAACCAAAATTCTTTACCTTAAGACAAATAAGTGTACTTCAAGCACTCATGGAGACGATTTCCGCCTTCGAATAATTGCTCTTAGGTAACGCTGCTGCCTTTGCTCGAACGATTTCTTGAAGAGGATCCGGATCAAATAGTGGCATTCCTCTCGATTCTCTGGACACTGCTTGAATGGCAACAGATACATCAGGTGACATCATTATTGACTCGTCAATCACATTGTCCCCTACGTACCCGGTGAAGTTCGATGTTATGTTCACGTTGGGAACAACGTACGCTCGTAATTTTATTCATCCCACTCACTTATCTAAAATGCAATACTATTTACTACAAAAAAAAATGCTATTAACTAAGCTTCGCGTGCTTGTTTACTCATAAGCGATTCGTATCGATGGTTGACATTGACACAAAAATTTATAAATCTATAGATAGAAGTGGATATGTAATTAAACATGAAGTATCAACCAATTTATAGATATTAAGATAATTTCTTTAGTTTATAGCTTGCAACAAATTTACCAAATCTTTCTATTCTCGGAATTTTGTTCGACTAAACTTATAGGCCCTGGAGAAATTGGCATCTGTACTCATCAGTTCATACAGCTTTGCCGCTTCGGATGTTGACTATACGCAGCAGAAGAAAGTAATTAGACTCTTTATTCATCTACTCTCACACACTTATACGAGGCGGTATCTCATGTGCAAGGTCAGTAGTGATTTTTGACTCAGGCTCTCGCGACCCTTATGTTTATCAGATTATTTTTTATTATATTATCAGGTGCATAATTACGATAGTATTAATTGATTTTCCGATGTATGATTGCCTGAGAGGAAATTAGGGTGTAATTGATAAATATCGCAGAGCTCATAAAAATCAACTTCTATAACGCATTATATATACTTATAACATGACGCGATTAGCTTGAACTCGATTACTCTGATAAAGAAACAGATGTCTCTAAGGATTGAATTGATCTGCAGCTCGCAAACCCGAACACGAAACTAATTAACCAGTAAATATTTATATTTCTCTGTTAAAATAAGCCTGTCTTATTTAAAACAGGATCATTTGCCATGTGTGTGTATAATCTGCAGCACTGCATTTAACTGCGAACAAACAAAATCAGTGATTGATATAGAGTGTAATATACTGGAGTTAGAACGTTTTGGATAAATTTTATGTATAAATATATAGAATAAACCACTTTGATCCGGGTTTTTCCTATAAGTTGGCTTTAAGGTTGTATCTAAACAAAAATAGGTATTTTAACTAGATTATGGATATGCTAGAGGTGTCATTTCTGATGGTCATGTTTGTTCAATATAACCGCCATCCACCGCGGTACGGCTTCAATTCAAAACTTAAAGCGCTTATTACTCATTTTCAAGATTTTTTTATTCGCAAATTACTTTTTAATAGCAACCGCACGTCAAATGAATTTATTAGATAAACGTTAGTGTCGCTCAAAAAAACTAAACCAAAAGAATTCCAGCGGAATTAAATTTCAGCTGGTAGGAGGCTAAAAAAACGGCTAAAAAGATGCGAAAGGAGTAACGTTTTAGCGCTGCAATTGATAATTTATATTTTCTCTCCAAAACAGCCGTTTTTTTTTAAATCAAAAATACAGGTATATCGAAAATGGCTTTTTGAGCCATTTTGATGAATTTTCAATCTTCTTGACGTCCGAGTCTTTCAATAAACTGAATATTTGAAATTTAAAGTATTGAGAAGCTCTTATGTTTGTCCTATGCAAGTCTTCTTTTGATTTCTCAGAAACCGTATGAAGACTAACTATAATGTGGAGCACGGGTTCGGGATAAAAAAGAAAGTTGGTCTTAGCAATGTTTATTTTACGTAAACACACTTCACAACAACTAATCTTCATTCAAACTGCGCGTAAACGACGCAGTGTTTTTCGCTATGGTAGTTTGTTTTGTTTTGGGAAGAACCGCTTTTCTTCTAGGGTCAAAGATAGCGGATAAAAAGATGTTAGGACGGCAACCTGACAAAGTTTTGTTAGAACTTGAACACTCTACTCTATGATAATTTTTTTTATACATCCATTGTATATTATTTTGCTTTTAGGTGCTTTTTGAGAAGGGTCGGTTTTCAACACTAATGAAAGTAAAACCGCTCGATATTCAACATTTAGAAGAGGTGGTGCCTCAAGTCTGGCTGGAGGTTGCCCTTGAGGTGAGTGGAGAATGTTCAAGGCAAAGTTATAGATTGACATTTAATCGCAAGCCAAGTAGATGCGCGTCATAGTCTTTTGTATAGCTGAGATCAGTTGGAGTCGTTAACACTCTAAGTGGAATCAACCAGATCAATATGCGACTTTCATTAATAATTAGTCTCTCAGGTAAATCCAATCACAATCATTACTATGTTTGTTGTCCATATACATATATATATATATATATATATATATATATATATTTATAACATGTGGGATTCCTTTGTATATTCCTTATTGGTTCAAAGGAGGGAGGACCGTGCGTTTACGGTTCACCAGCAGAAGAGGCTGTTGTCAAGGCTGCGTATTTCAGTAGCCGTGACAGAATTAAGTCGATTGTTGCTGATGTAGAGGGTCTTCAAGTGGAATTACTCGCCACGGTTAGTGTCCTCACTTATGTAACAATGTTTTGAAGACCACACTAATGACGTTTTCTGATAATAATATTATAAATATGATTTGTTCAAGCGTCGATGTATGTAGTGAAAGTGAAGCATATACAGTTTTAATAGAAAGACAGTACATTAATAAAGATAGACGAAAGATAACCAAGTGTCGCTTCAGTTTACATTTCTAACCAGGGTCACTGTTACAAAGAAGCTTATGACAAAGGGCCAATGTTTATAATGACTTCGTCGGTTTGGTATTTTAGGTAACTCAAGATGACGACAGCTGTCCACCTCTTGGACAAACGTCCCGTGATAAGTTTCTATGTGAGTTCGAAAAACTTCTTAAGGAGCATAGCCTAGCGCATTCTGCTACGACGCTTCAATCGTCACTATCGACGGTCGCGATCTCATATCTTCACAGGCTCATCAGGTCGGTACAATGTGGGTTAATGAAACTGCGGCGTTTTTTAAGAAATTAGGGTAGTATTCAGAATATAAGTTGCATGATTTTTTGAGAGGTATATAAAGAAAGGTATGTTCCTTGACTTCGAAAACAATGACGGCACCTTGATTTCTTCTTGAACTGTTCCTTAGCATAATTCGTCAATGTCTTCCGGTAGTAAATCCGGCGGACGGTAGTGAACTCCGAGAGCACAGCTTATTCGTGCCACTGTTTCACTTTCTATCAGAGCAGTGGACGCCGGGTGAAGGCACTCGGGTAGGTGGTCTGTTTTCGAGCTTGCGCTGCACGCTTCAGGCAGAATTACGCCAGGTTCTTAGCTCTATGGCATCGGTTCGTCAGCCAAGGGAGGATCTGCCGTATCATATGTCTCTGCCGCAAGTCGAGAGGACAAAAGCTAATGCCACTGTCAAGGTAACCTGGTTGATAACAGAATAACGTTTCAAAAGTGGGGGATTTCACAGTAGCTTAGCTTAAGCGACTAATTCGCCGATCGAAAGATCCAAGAGGCGTATTTTTTTAGAGGTATTTATATATTGCCCTATTTTTAAGGAATGTATTCAATTCTACTGCAGTAAGCGATTTACTACGAACTATCATAGCAAAACACAGTGGAAGTGGCAATATGGTCATTCGTTATGTGTGCTATACGTAAGCGAATGCAGTAATGGCTGAGCAAGGTTAGGGGTTTTATATATATACTACCCGACAGGTGTAACTAAATAACGAAACAAATGTGGTAAACAGCTATAACAAAGTACACCATTTTCATTTACTATGCGCATTTTGTAAATTTTTTGTTTTAACAATTTACACGGTTTTGCATTCATTTTTCTGCAGGTATTGAAGCTGATTGACTCGGTGGTTCGGCTTTACACAGCTGTCGTACACGAGCAGCTAGAAAAGGTAAATAATGAAGGAAAATTTTGTTGTATAAGCAACAGCGGGCTGGTGCGTAGCCGGACGGATAGTAATGTCTGTTTCTTTTTATTGTTTGCATGGCAAAAGATCTCCTTTAGCTTAACGACGAATAAATCGTAGATTAACATAAGCAACCATAATTCTGATCAAAGCAAGGATCCAAACTACCCAATATGAATATCTGCGCTCAAAACCATATGCCTTTCAACACTCTTTATTTGTTTTCCCGAACGTTAAATGAGACGCTTGCACGAAAAATGCCGAACATTTTCAACATTGCTGTTTCTTCATCACCCTTGCACGTCTACCGCAGGCCGCCGCCTTGCGCGACAGTATGAAAGACTACATGAAGGCATACCGATCAACGCTCGAATCACTTGCGCGAAATAAAGCGGATGATTGGGCGCGAACAAAACTTGAATGTTCTCGAGACGTATTCCGAGAGAAGCTCAATGAACAGGCGAGACAGATGGCTTGGCTTAGTGCGACAATGTTCTCCAAAGAGAAACAACTTGACCTTTACTGGCTATTGCAGGTAAATAGTTAATACTGATAATTATCTATGTTCTAGCGAAATACGCATATGTGCATACATGAGCTATTTCTACATTATGTTAAGTTATAAGCATAGTACAACAAAACTAGAAAAGATTGTAGTGGGCGATATACCAAGCTTAGTTGCGCAAACATTTCGGTACCGTTTTCGCGATTTTTCTTAAAACCTACAATCTAAGATTTCTGTAGAGATCAAATTGGACCGTACCCATTTATTGAGCTAGAATCATGTAAGGGAACATGAATTGTCGGTTTAGTCTTCTAGTTGTTTTCCAATGTTAATGTAATTTTGATCAGGTTGTTCTGCATACTCTAGAGGAGGCATCAAAAAGTGGGCCCTGCTTTGGATTCGTGCCTGATTTTTACGTCGAGGCAAGCGTCAAACTTTTCAATGCTCTTTCAAACTTTTTTCCACCAACAGCGTGTCTATCAGATATTCCGGGACATTACAATCTGCAGGTAGGTCTGCAAAATCAGCAAAAAACGCAAGGTAAAAGCCCGATATGTAAATATATGTGTCTTCCCAATCAATCAAATTTGTATGTGATTTAACCTAATCATACAAATTTCAGCTTGTTGTATTTCATTATGTTTCGATGCATCCTTTAGTACTTCTCATATATTTTGGGAAACCTGGAGTTTCGAGCTTTTTCCAGTTTTCTTTGAGATCAAAGAAAAGCATTGGAGAAAATCAATTTTAGATTCGCAACATTTTCAGCCTGCCAGATACGTTTCAGTTTACATTTGAAATGCTGGCCTTAAGTTGAGCTAGCCGTTTCTTCTTATACGGACTTGCGTATTATGAATCCATCCTTACTATGTTTTAGGTCCGGTATAGTACATTTCTCGCATCGCATTTCTCCGATCCCCGAGTAGTTAACTCGGACCTTAAAGACGTTCTCATCCAGGCCCTCGCTCATCATGTCTGCCCTCCGGATACGCTCCGCTCTCTTGAGTGTATGAGCAGTGAAAGCTCACAGGTACGTGAAAGACTTGATAGCATTGCCAAGTAAGTCATGCTGGAAAAAGGAGGTAATCTGGCGTGGAAGTCAGTATATTCAATAGATTAGTGCAATTCGATGAGACTCAGTAAACGCGATATTCAATGAGGAAGTGTCTAACGACTTGAAGGTTGCTAAAATGGGGACAAAATCTGCTGCGGAATCGGCCCACGTATCAAAATGCTAGAAAGCCCTTTCTTTAAAAATTATAAACCCCGCGTCTAATACTTTGTGTGTTTTCAATAGAACGTATGACGACACGATCTGAGCCTTGGCGACAATTAGGCACCAAGGGAAGCGGGCACTTTTTACACAGAAGGATTTGTACAGGGAACACAGTCATTGAGATTATTTTTTTATTTCATTGTTTCTAGGCGATGGTGGCAGCCTTATTGAGGCCATACGGTAGAGCATGGGCTCATGCCAACTGGATACTTGTTCGCCTCTGGAAAGGCTGCGGATTCGCCTTTAGATACAGGTACGTATATTTTTTCGTCAATTCGTCTCTGTATTAATATAGGAATAACTAGATATACAGTAGGATCAGACAATCAACAATTAGTTCATCATTCAGAAAAAACGAATAACGATTTGGGCAACCATCTATTTCAGCTGTATTCTTTTTTTCTAACTTATAGATTTCATACAGCTGCAAAGCTGGCATTTACTGCGCAGGTGAAAGTTACCGATCTAGTCGTAAAAAGTATATCTATCAATTCTTAAGGCATTTACAAAATATTGTAGATCTCACAAACTTCACATACATAACAAATAATTTAATACATTAACAAAGTTGTACAGGCGATTAAGCTAGGAGAGCTAATCACACTCGATTTTGAAATTTTCAACAAGTCTTTACTGTGTTCATCTACAGTATCGACCCACATTTGGTAGACAAGAAGATGTCGTTGTTGAAGCCTCGAGTGGCACCTGTGTTGCCGCCACACCCACCTCCTTGCCCTTCAGTTTTCTTTCAGGTGAGTACCCTTCAAAGTCCTTTTTCGAATGGTGCCCCACACATATATATACAACTATCCAGAACCTATTATCAAGTGTCTGTCGGTGTCAAAGCTGGAAATCTACCTGTGTTTATTCTCTAGTGATGTCTCCGGTTTAAGTATTCGTTTATATTGTTCGCAGAACCTAATTTCAAAATACCTGGATGAGCACCCGGCTAACGCTGTGGCCTTCGTTGAATCGGTCCTTTCTCAACTGAACTGGGCTTTTTCCGAGTTTGTATCGATGCTACAAGAGATTCAAACTGCTCACAATCGACCGGAAAGGTAGGTTGATTTTTATTCTGCTTTTTATTTAAATAATTAAAGAAGTTTTAGAAGCTCATCAGTTTAGATAAACTATCTTTTGCATTGTCTTGAATAAATCATGCTAGCCTATAAACATATGTTTATGATAAGTTACGAAGCCATAAAAAATGTTACGTGTGTTACCTGTTCTCTTCTGCAGTATTTGCGATGTTTTTTGAGCACTTTTTTGAATCTAAGTGTGCTTGCGTACATTGCAATTAGAGGATTGATTGATGATTAGAATTCCGAAGTTCTACCGCGAACGAATAGTACGCTATTTTCAAATTTATGTAGAGGGTGTGTAATGTTTAAGTTTGTACAGGTAAGGGAAATCAATTGAGTCGCACAAGACGGAAGTATTCCAGCTCAGCTCTATATACTGTAACTACAGGCGAAGTTATAGAGCCGAAAGCGTTGCAGCTGCCGTCAAGATCATTTGTAAATCGAGAATATTTTAGGGATAAAACCTACAACTGGGTACTTAACGCGGTAAAAAGGGTTGTATGAATAGCATGGATTTTTTCCTCGTGTCGACCATTTTACCCTCCCTGCTCTGCAGATCCGTTTGTTTTCCAGCAGTGCGCAGGTACGACCCTAAGCGCCTGTTCAAGACCCTGCATCTTTACTGTTATCGATCATTGAATTTTATTCACACCTAAAGCCCGTTTTTGAATGAGCCGTTTACCCCTTATGTGCTTGAAGATCCGGTATCCAAAATGCGCATATTAAATTAGTAAAGGTGTATATGTATATCAGGGTGAAGTGAATCCAGATATAAAATTTCAGAGATTCTAATGAAGGAGATTGAGCGTGGGCGGGACCTGTCATCACCAGCTAGATAACGCAACGATCAATAATTTTTTCATTCATACCTTGGTCTCCCTATGTACTATCTTACATGATGTGTGTTTTTAAACGTTTGCAGAATTCTTATTGATTCACGCCACCTGAAAGTTTGCTCCACGTGTTTCGATTTGACCGTATCTCTGCTCAGGGTGAGAAACGTTTAGCATTGTGCGATATTATTACTACTATTAGTGTTGTTATTGTTGTTATATAAGGAAGAGCTACATCTAATGTTTACTCAGGACCAATCGCAGTGCGTGATTTTGCTACAGTTCGAAACGTGTAAATAAAGAGGTCAGTGAACGTGATATAAGGGCGTGCGCACCATTTCAGCTGAGTAGCCATAATGTATAATCTCTTCAACCTCTATTTTAATCAAGTAACTGCCACTGGTATATATCAGTAGAGGTTCTATCTTGGGTGAATAAGTAGAAAAGGTTAGGCTAAGGTTAATATAAGATGATGAACTTAGCTTACGTTAGCTTGCTAATATTTTTTATTTCACCACCTGCCTAGGTGGTGGAGATGTTGGCTAACCTTTCACCAAGTTGTCTACTAAAGCCGTCAGGATCAACTGCGTCTGCGATGTTTCTCCCACGTCTAATCCAAACCCTCTCGCACATTCTTAATCGAGTCTGCTACGGCAAGGTAAAGTTAGAACCTCGATTATACGCTTCATCTAGAATTGACACTAATTCGCGTCCATAATTTGTCACCACTAAGAAATGTCTGTGTTGGTTAAAATTAATGATGCACAAATTGAAGAGACTATAAATTCCGATATTTATCACGTGTTTATACCCTTAAATTCTGTGCCATTTACAGGGCTGCTTTGAACTTGTGGTTTCCCTTGACATCGTTGGATTGCAAAACATCGGACACTTCTGCATTATTAGCGCCGTTGCAGGTTAAAATATGTTTGCACATTTTGCAAATGGACTGTTTGTGGTAGAGTAAAAGTGTGTCTGGAAAAAAAGCATGATACATGATTATTTCCTTCTGTCCAGATTTTTCGTGGATTTTTACTCTTGCTGATTTTTTTTACAGGTATTCTGATTGCTCTATTATTGAAAGGTCCAAAGAAGAATCGCGAGATGGTTTTACGCCAGCTGTTCCAGGAACCGTCGTTCATTCCTCAGTCGATCGAGAGCTTTCTCGGTCCTTCATCGTCATCTTCATCGTCATCTTCGTTGTCATCATCATCATCATCAGCAGCAGCAGCGAACAACAATAGCGGCAGTAGCGGCGGTGGGAGTAACGGTGCATCAACATCATTGTCATCGGTTCCATCGATTTCGAGCCTAACCGGCATAAGCTCGTCATCGAGCAAACTGAGTCATCACTATCCAACAAACCATACGTCATCAGCTGTGGCTTCTTTATCTCGTTCGAAATCGAACATCACCACTGGCACGGCTGTCAGCGGCCACGCGGACGCGTCTACTTTCTCTTTAGCTAACTACGGCGATGTCAAAGAAGAAGAGATTGATCAGGCAGGGCCGCCTTTGAAATTGGACTAGCAATCATTAAGTAGCCTTATGTTTAGCAGGTGAACACGTTACCACTGCTTCATAATGGGGACATGTTGATAAGATCTGCCTTACTCAATACTTAACAATATGTATTATTATATTTAGATAAGACTAATGCTACAAAAAATATAACATCAAAGACCTAATCGATGTTTCTACGTTTATTTGGTACTGTTGTGAAACATTTGCTGCTGATTTGAAGCGCTGGCTTTGGTAAACCGTTGTTTATGGGAATGTTTTTTTTTATTTTTGTGAAAACCCAGGTCCGCCAGCTGATTCAGCTAATTAAGAAATCCTTCGCCACCGGGGAGGAATCTTCGCAGCACAATCCTCTTGGGCTCTACAGGCACCAATCGGTCGACGAGGTTTGTTAAATTGTATTCTTGACCTTGCTACATGTAACTCTATGGGTTACGAGAGGCTGCGAGGATCAGCAATACGCGAATGTTTCAGCAACACGATTCTCTCACGCTTGAATTTGCCTGCCTTTAATGACTTTAATGAGTTTTTTTAGAAGCTCATTAATGGACCGCTGCTCGATCGAGCAATAAGGGAAGACTAACTTAAAACATTTAAAACATTAAATTTTGTGTCGGAAAAGACGGCGGTTTCCTTTCGGCACAAAATGAATTATGCTTCGCCTGGTTTCGAATGAAGACTATCGTACCAGACATGTCATTAGAAAAACATCGCAAAGCTCGGGTAGAAAAAGCCTATCTTTCAAAAGGCTCGTTTCATCAATTTAAATTTTTAACGTCGTCTCCTTCCAGGACTCAGACTCTGTATGCACAATCTGCTACGCTGCAGCAAAGAGTGCTGTGTTTCGTCCCTGTGGCCATGAGTCATGCAGGGAATGCATCCAACTGCATTTGGTGCACCAACGTGAGTGCTTTTACTGTAAAGCGCCGATCAAATCAGTTGAAGCAACGCCGCCGGTCGAGGTGCCACCAGCCCCACCGGCGCCTCCTGCCCAGGGACCGCACGCTGACTAGAACTGCGGCATACACGTTAAGAAAGACAAAATCACAGATGAAATAAAAAGGAATTTACGGATTGCAGTAGGAGAAATCGTAGATGGTAATAAAAATGACTTCAAAATCATGGTATCAATGGACACGCCCACACGCAGCATTCTGTAAATAGAAACCGATATGCAAACACTTCTAGCGGAAGCCCGCAGCGTCGTCAGTCGTTGCAAAAACATACGCGCAGAATTGTATGGGCAGAGATCGGTGGCACCATGGAAACGTCTTTTTTTCTTACCAACCAGCGTGAATTTATTTAGATCCTCCACATTATCAATTAATATTTGGCAATAATTGATGAAGTCCTATTAACAACATGTAGGTATCGAAAAATGCTTTACAAACGCATAGCCTTCGTTGACTCGTAGTATCTATAATGTAAAGCGTCTATGCTTGTATGTACATATTTGTGAAGTGGTCGTATAGTATGACATGATTGAGAGAACTACAAAGCTAACCGATTTCATATGAGGACGGTTCAAGCACAAAAATTTTTTTAAAAACTACCGAAGTCAGTGCAAAAAATGCATGAAAACAAGGAATGAAATAAAAGATTGGCTTTATTTTTTCAAACCAGCATTTGCTGCTCAGATCTGGTGGAATGAATAGAATGATTTTAAAATGGACTAAGTCGAATCGATGCCACCGTTACCAATGTGACGCAGCAAGATTGTCAAATCTAGTGAAACAATCTCGGTAGACAATCCGCTTAAAAAAGAGAGCTGGCAAATTAAAAAAAACTGACACCGATCAAGAATTGCTTCTGTACAGAACGAGAAAAAAACTAGCTTTAAAGTAGGACTAAAGCAACTTTTTATGAAGTGCGAAAATAAAATTTGTTGGATCGAATAACAACAATAGTACGGAATATAAGTCGAGTATTGTATTAAAACTATTAACTTAATAAGACAGGTAGGTACTGAGACCTAATGGCAATGCAACAAATATCAAGTCCTCTACTCTCGGTTTATGTAGCACGGTAAGCCAAAACTACCTCCACAGATTGAAAAAGCGTCTAATTACCTAGGGTTTTTTTGTATATTGAAATGTCCAGCAAACCTTAAAACAGCGTATAAAAAACGAAAAGATTTGGCTACAGAGGTGTCCAGACGCACATGTGACGTGTCTAAAAAATACAACAAGGAATTGTTGGTTAGTAGCATAATATGAGTAGACGCCGGTCAATTAATTATACTCTCAAAATGTAGTATTTTAATACTATATACTGTAATATTCTAGCGGCATAAAATTATAAGAACTATTGACATGGTATTAGGATGCCCTTATAACAAGGGCTTTGCAACAACAAACAAGGGGTTGCAGAATTAAATTCGCTCCCTTTTGCAATAATTTGTGTCCTTTTATTATGTAGAAGGCTCTCCAACTACGCAGACTTTTGCTCACCACATTATATATAGCTTGTACGTACACGTAAGCCCAATCGTATGAGTGTCGGTAGCGCTTTCACCGTTTTTGTATGGAACCGTAATAACCTCAGACCGCTTCAGCTATTGCTAGAGTTGTATTCACGAACATCGGTTATTCAACAGAACAGTTAGTCCTTCCTAATATAACATTTTATTTAAACAGATTAAACATGCGCATTGGAAAGCAAGTAACTGAACCACACTGTATCACATAAGGTTTCGTTAAGTATAAACGTGTGCCAGGAGATAAAACAAGCGAAAAACACCTCCTATATGTTTTCTTCGTATACGGTTGGTTTTTACGTATTCAGAAGGGAAATCGTTAGAGATCGTTGTGATCAATTATTTATGCAATTTTAGTCTATGTCTATCCTGAAGTTTACCAGTATTTTAATTAATATAAACACTCTGGTAGTTTCATAGTCTTTTTTTGGTATCACAACCTTGCGTTGTTTGTTTTATTAGCCTGTGCTATATTCAGATTCGACCTTTTCTTTATATTTCATTATACAAAATGTATAATATATCATCGAGGGTTATATATATATATATATATATATATATATATATATATAACTAATTAGAAAAAAAGCAAATAAGTGAGTGGACGTCTTCACAGCTTTTAAACTGCAGTCAAGGATGGGTGATGTTGAACCAATGGGGTGTTTGCCTACACGGGTGACTTACTCTAGCTTAAACGGCAAAAGCTTTGCAATTTTTCAAAAGATGGCGATTTTGATTATGCATATACCTACACAAAAAATGCGATCTTTCGAAATAATACGCTACTTGATTGCGATCCGATAATCACTGTCATTTAACTTGAGCCACAAAGCAGCGCATCACACCCTTTATAAAGGCTTTCAACATGCAGCGTTACCGCTGTAAAACTTTATTGACGGGATTACGGCAGCCCCACGGTATAGGCTATAAGCTGTGTGTCCAAATAAAAGGTAGGCGTGAAAAGGCGTAGACCGAGAGGTAAAGAAATAAGGGGATCAAGAAGAGTCGGTGGAAAGAGATTAATCGAATTTTATTTGCGATTTGTCAGACATACTGCGAATGGCCATGTATTACAGTACATACGGCAAAGAAAAATGCTAGAAAAAAGTTTTTTTGAAATGTATGACAAATGAATAAATGAACACAAAACCCTTTGTGTTTTTATTACAGTGTACACAACTCCTGTATTCTCTTCCTATTACGCGGTCTTCTTTTATTTTATATATCATACATTTGTATTTGTACTAGTTTTTGTATTAGTTCTCTTTCGAATCTGCTATTAATCTAGTCGACAATACCAATAAGGCACTTGTCGATAGTGTTCATCAGTGTTGATAGTAGCGGTGTATTGAAGAAATCTTTGGGACATTTTGAATTTTAGTTATGTAGGCATTTTTATTAAAGCACACACATACACATTCTAAAACGTACACATACATTTCGCTAAATTAACAGATCAGTAATATACAGCCAGCACGTTCTGCGTTTCGTATAGCGAAAGAATAGCACCTTCTCTCACTGCCAAGCAGACATGAGCTAGAAGGCGTCGTCTCGTACACTTGAATGGAGTTTCACAAAGCTTTCAACCTACTAAACTGAGCTTCGGACTCACTGCCCCTTTCTCTTACGATTTAGTTTTGATTGAATTACAAATTACGCTCATAATTTATATACAACGGCTGTATTTGATCGACTGCTCGTAACAGTACCGACTATTTATCGAAAGGGATGTCCTGAGTCGAACGCCAATAGGTATAAGTTTAAAGAAAAGCTCGTAAAAGGGTGCAGCAACGGTCAAAAACAAGCGCTAGTAGAAACCGTGGGAACTGGAGATATCTCAATCCTAGCAAAAACGCTTCAACAATAATACCACGTTGTATGACTCTACTAATCTCAGGAAATACAGATTTTCATAGAAAACTGAGTTACGCCGCATAGAATAAGTTCCCCGTTCAAGGTTTTTTGATAATTAACGCGCTATATGGCTGACGGTATTGGCACCTAGGACATATTCCAAGAACAACTATACTTTATCATTTTCTGCCGGTACACTATTACCGCTCGAGGGGTCATTGATAATTATTTCTGCCGAGAAATCGTTTATTAGGACAATGATACCTCAAGAGTCAGCGAATTTCTGGGTAGAGGCCACAGCCTCCCTCAACATATAAAAAATATCGATAAATCTATATTTTTATTTAAAAAAGTCAAAACAATATAGAGAATCAACATGAAAATATCGAAGACATTTCTTTAACGCAAAAAACTGTCACCTCTCGCCGAAATTAGCTTCGTCAACTATAAATCGATTTGTCCATATCAAAGTTTCTAGATTCATTAGCGAGAGTTCCTCCTCGTCATCTCTCTAGTGCGAGAAAAAATCCACCGATAAAATATTATTACTATCATAACAAAATAATGTTATGCCGCTAATAATTACTATACATAAAATCTAAAATTTGGTTTTTGATTTTTATCTATACAACCCATACGACAGTGACCATAATAAAACTGTGGCCTTGACTTCTGATTAGGCGTCATTGTTCGCAATAATGACACACCAGCGTCTCTTAAAATGCTTAGCACTACCCGCCATGCCGTAACGTTTTTTTTGCGCTTCATGTGCTCTATCAGAATTCGTTCCTTACTGGATTTTATTGTTGAAAGATTTGATGTTGTTGAGTCTGAATTTGCACAAATTGCTGCTGTTGCTGCTGTTGCTGCTGCTGAGGTTGACCCGGCTGGGCGCCCCCCATCTGCATTTGCGTAGCCATCTGGCCTCCTCCTGTCATCATGACCATCTGCTGTTGATCGCCAGCTTGTCCAACCACCTGCATGTTCTACGCAGGGAATACATATAAATTTGATGATGAATTACAACAAGAAAAGGATTATATTCAAGGAGCCTTCATCTAATTAAAATGTTTATATGCAATGCATAATATTTGCTCACATTTGATAAGACACACTTGGATAAACATGCATAACAACAAAATGTATTTGAGTAATATATAGCGAGGCTGATGTTGATTCTTACTAAACCAATTATGTAACACATTATTAGTAAAACGTGACGCAACGATAAATGTTTACGTTAGCGTTGGCACATAACACACAGCGCCATTCAATAACTGCTTTCTTGTCTTTTATCAGTCCATTCTAAGAAGGATTTAACAAATATAATACCACTCTGGTTAATTCTCGAGTGTTTCGTCGATAAAGGAATGGGAGCAGATCAGGAAGGCATACCATATGTCCACCGAGAGCAGGTTGCAAATGCTGCTGCTGGATTCCCTGTTGTGCTTGCTGAACGGGTCGATGCTGTTGCTGAAGAACTCGTTGTAGTTGGACTCCTTGCATTTGACCTCCGGAATTAGCACCCATCATTTGTTGCCGCTGCGGTGGGCCCTGGCCACCCGGTTGATTCATAACTATCATTTGCTGAAGCTGTATACCGACGACTTTTTGCTGACCGCCAGGGCCTGCTCCTCCACCGCCGTACTGCATTTGGTGTATCTGAAGAGATTGGTAACATAGTGCATGCTCAAATCGCACAGGTTTTTCAAGAATACACATGCACACTATATAACACTGAGCATATGGAAGTTTTATTCAAACAAGATCGTTGATAAAATAAAAGTAGCATTTCGAAGGTGGCTTGTGAGGACCATCTACCCAACGAAAAGAGTTTTCTTTTATATTTTATTGTAAATAAGAGCCTTCCTATCTAAGTGCTTTTCGTCTTTCCCCCACTCACTTGCTGTTGCGGCTGCATGCCAGACTGTTGCTGAGATTGCTGCTGGAGAGCTCCTTGCACGCCGATCGGCAATTGAAGGTGTCCCCCAGGGGCAACCATTTGTTGTTGGTGTTGCTGTTGTACCGCTGAAGTCGAGATCATACCCATCTGCTGAGCGGAGTGCTGGGGACTCGGTAGTTGACCACCGGACGCCTGTTGTTGCTGGCCGAGGGGACTAGCCATCTGCTGCTGAGGGCTTGCCAACTGAGAGTGCGGCGATTGCATCTGGCTGTGGGGACTTTGCAGTTGGTTGTGGGGCGACTGAAGGTTGCGCTGAGGGCTGCCCATCCCGCCGGGAACCGGCGCTCCGTGACTGGGACTACGCATCGGACTTGACGAAACCTGTCGATTTTGCATGATCATCTGTGCGATAGAAAGATGAAAACAGTGGACATTAAGAGCTATAGAAGAGAGATCAGTGCATAACGATATAGAAATATTTATTCACATAAGTGACGGGCGTCAAAATTCCCGGGACGGAGAACAACGCCGTGAATTTAGAATGTAAATCGGTACATATAACAGGCATTAAAGTCAATGGCAGTTGACTGCTGACGGGAGGGGAAACTTACAAACACATTTATATTACTTGTGGTAAAGGAACACACCAGCTTTATCCTCTGGACAAACATGAATATCAAATGAACACATGTGCAGCGCCTGTTTGTGGTGTTTTCGAGGAGATGTCAAGAAATGAATGAATGAATAAACAGCACATTGAGGTATATGTGTCTGTCATACGCCCAGAGTTAAGCTAGACACTATATGTTGATTGAAGCTAAATAAAAATTACGTACATAACCAGAAGCATCTTGACATAGTTACATATTGGAAGACTCGTCTTGGAAAAATGGAACGCCACATAAAACAAGAAATTACATACGTCGATTTAGAAATTTCAGCCCTCTTTTTTTGCTACTTATGGCATGGCTTTTGTGGTATGCTAATCGCTAAATCGCTAACCTTCTAGTCGTTTAGTAAGATTTGTTTTATAGTAATGTTTTAAAAGACCATCTGAAATTACTCAGACACAAAGCACACAGTAAGTCTTTACACATATCAACAATTTCTGCTTACATATTGTTGACGCTACATAGACATCAACTGTAGTGAAAGAAGCTTAGGAAAAGGTTGGCCCACTTCGACGTTATAAATAAAAAACAGCACGGTAAAAATGAGGGAAGCTGATGCCGAATAGGCATATAAGACAAATGTACTCGACGAATACTGGAGCCTGATACAAGCGTGAAAAGAAGACTCTGTAAGTTTCAAACAATTCGAAAGTTTCCACATGTTTCAAAATGTACAATCATTTTCAGAAGTTTTCAATAACAAATGAAGTTGCAGCTTGCTGTTCACACTTAATTGAGATTTATAATCATGTGCGTGAGGATAACTGACTTTGTAACTGCGTGCAATTAAGGTTTTTAATCTGTTACTATTTGGGCCCCACAAAATACACTAATCTTTAATAGATCTTCAAATTCTCTTTCTGTTCGATCTGGCAGAGCTGCTCTGTCACCGATATTCCAACCAGTAATCCTACGCAACTCCGGCAAAATCGTCATTAGGAACTGTTGCTATAAAGTTAGCCTAAACTCTGTAACGTCTTAAATCTATATAGGCACTCATGCAAACGCCTTAAAATCTCATGCGAAATATTCAGATGTTATTAACCTATAAACCGTCGTACAAAAGTAACAAAGCTGTTACCAGCATGTCATTCCAAATAATGGAAGGAACGCGTAAGATATAGAGAACACATTTTGGAAACCATACCTAAATATCACCACTACGAACAACAACAACAATAAACGCCTGAAATTAATCGACCAAAAATGCCATCTATTGCAGGATCTCACGCGCAAACAGCGCCTGCTAATCTGATCAGTAGGTCAGTCCATATCCATTTGTCTTATTTCATTATCCGTGTTCTCAACATTAGATCTATCGTTGCTTCTGCCGATATATTGGTTACCGTTGCCAGGTAAAGTAAGGTTACTATTTTGATTATAACCTGCGTCGGTCGAATTCATCTAAAGAAGCTTCGCAACGACTCTGCAGAAGAATCCGTCCTGCACACGACACGCACAGGGCTTACAATTGTTGTTGCTCCTCATATAGTTCGAATATTTGTCGCAAGTTCTGAGAAGTGAACTGAGGTTGCTAATGTTGGACGTCACTGCTAGTGCTAGTGCAAGTCGTGCCACCAATTTGAAAGTTACTTATAGCTTATGCGATATTCAATTCATCGCTGATGTTGTTGTTGTTATAGTGGCAGGTGTCGTTACGTTTAATGTAGTTAACGTTTAAATTTATGTTGTTATTACAAATGATGTAAACGTTGTCCGAAGCGCTTACGGTTGAATTTTGTTGAGGCATCCGCTGTAAATGCTGTTGGTAAGCGCCTTGCTGGCCCATCTGAGGACCAACAACCTGTATCGACCCCATTGGCGAAGGCTGTTGTTGTTGTTGTTGTTGTTGTTGTTGTTGTTGTTGTTGTTGTTGTGGTTGTTGTTGTTGTTGTTGTTGTGGTGGTGGTTGTTGTTGTTGTTGTTGTGGTTGTTGTTGTTGTCCAACTTGAACCATCTGCGGAGGCAACTGCTGGATAGACATCTGTTGCCGCATCGGTACCGCGGTTCGGATACCACCTATAGGCACACAGACATACACACAGATGACAATGTTATATATATATATATATATATAAGCATAATTATATAATATGATATAATCCGTAGGCCGTATTTTAATTCAAACGAATAGCTAATTTGGTAGTATGATCTTGTCTGCCCCATTAACTGTAATTGTTATCGGGATTATCAGAAAGTGATGGACGAAAAAGCGATTTACAATTCCAACATATTTGTTGAAAACAATACAAAAAGAATACTTAAGTTTAACTTTAAAAGACTAACAATATTATAGTTAACTGGCTCGACAATTTGAAAATTAAGTCGATTTATCATTGATGATGAGTAAGATGGTACAAAATATATGTACGTAATTTATATGGCCTGGCAGTTTTATGTTAAATCAATGAAAATAGTGATCGTAAACGATAACATGGAATGGGGTCCAGAAGCAACCAAACAGCATATTTTTAGTTACGTTTATTATTGTAATTACCATTATGGTTTGCTCCTAGATTAGACAAGACTAGGTAGGATCAGTGATTAGGAAGCTTTGCATTTTATCATAGATTATGTACCCTTTTATGACAATGTTTTAGATAACGATTGAATATTTATTGCATCATAGACCCATCTATCATGGAACTGACTGCAAATGGGCGTCATGCCATTTGTACGTAAATCACTGCCTTTTGTTACTTTTAAATCTTCTTGGTATTTCTATTATTTTTTTAGGAGGATGTTTAAATAAAAAAATCTTAAGTCATATCGGTACTTCAAACCAGGAAAGGACGGAAGCTTCGTTATCTCCGTATTCTAGGGTCCTTGTATAAGCTTGCCGATGTCCAAATATTCCTCAAGTGTTTTCAAGCATCTATTTCACACACTAGAAATTCAATAACGACAAATAAGATTCTGTTTGCAAAAGGGAAAATATACGTGTGTTAGGCACTCAGTATGCCTCTTTGGTTTGGCTTCAGCCACAATACAATGTAACAATGAAAAGTAGAATTTCCATACATTCGTTTCAGATCGAATATTGCACTGTCCAATTACACGAACGAAGTATCCGCATGCATGTGAATTCTTAAAAACTACAAATCGACACGTTCTAATTTGATAAAGATAATGGCTTAAATCTTTCGAGTAATTGTATGAGCCACGTTTAAGAACTTTTAGTAAGAATAAGGTGAACGAGGCAGTCAGTTTTCGATGGATATTGCAGAACGCCTTGAATCTTTAGGTCGACTTGATAACGCAGTAGCTTGGCTTTTCGAATCGTTTTCTCTCTTAGATTTATCCTTTTTCTTGTGCTTCTTCTTCTTGTTTTTTTTCCTTTTCCCTCCACATTCCTCGTCGCCATCAATATCTTTACTATCTTTCTCACCCATTTGCTGTTGTTGGAATGCTTGTTGTTGATTCTGCTGCTGTGGCTGCAGAACGTTATATTGGCCTGGCTGTGGTTGTGCCTGTTGTTGTTGCTGTGGTTGTCCCGTTGCTGCCAATTGCATCTGGTTCATTTTGTGCTGAACTCCCTGAACCGTTTGAATCATCATGCCTTGCTGCATGAGGCTCTGCTGGCCTGCGTTGCTCTGTTGCTGTTGTAAGGGTCCTTGTTGTACCATGACCTGTTGCTGGGTCTGCTGTCCAGCCATAATTTGTTGCTGTTGAGTCTGTGGTTGTATTCCCTGCATGCCACCTGCGGTGGTCTGGTTTATTCCAGACGACATCTGTTGACCGGTGCTAAGCTGTTGTTGTTGGTGTGCTTGCTGCTGCATGGCCCCTGCGACTCCACCCATCTGCTGGACGATCGGGATTGACTGTGATGTCTGGCCAGGCTGAATCTGCATGGCCATCTGGGGTGGTACCGCAACCCCTAAGCCGCCGCTTTGGTTTGGCCCACTGTTGTTACCATCAGGTCCTTGTTGGACACCAGGAACAAGCATCTGCTTAAGAAGATTCGGATGCTGTTGTTGCTGGCCGCCAACATTACTCGTCATTTGTGTTTGCTGCTGTTGTGCCTGCTGAAGGTTCGATTGCTGTTGCATTGGCTGAGTGGTCGTACTTATGGCCATCATGCCCTGACTAACAGCCTGTTGCTGACCTCCTTGCGGTCCTTGTTGCTGCACATGAACGGCCTGTATATGCTGTTGGCCTTGCGTTTGTAGATGTTGCTGAGGCCCCATCAAGCCACCCATAATTGGACCAGTTCCGGTCCGCATTCCCTGGCCTAGACCAGTTATTTGTTGCTGCGGCTGGGTTTGTTTAGTGGGAATGCTTGACGGGTTTATCGGCGCCGTCGGAGCATTGCTCTGACCCGTGGGCGTAGTAGGAGTTCCGGGAGTGACGGAAGCTGAAGGAGTACCAGGTTGTTCCTGCTTGATCTGAGATTGTAGTACAGCAGTTCCTGAGAGAATAGAGTTATTGCTTCCACTCGTCGTTATTGTAACTTTGTCGGGATTTGTTTTATTTACGGAAGTTGTTGCTGCTAGCGCTCCCTGAAACATTGTACGTATGAACAATATTACCTTTTGGTTTGTATTCTTTAGGTTTGTATAATTTGGATATGTATCGAACGTAGGAAAATAAACGTTGGTGAAACGCAGTGAAACACCAGTCAATACACACTAATCAACAATAAATCCAAATACCTTTGACGCCTTTGACTGCTTCGGTTTCCGCTGTTTTTTCTCTTTCGTCGGTGACTCCTTTTTAACATTGGAACTAGCTGCTGGACCACTGGACTTACCCTATGAACACAGCATCGTTTGACAACAAAACTTGGGTCAAAATAAAAAGATAATTTCTTCTACTTGTACATTTTTCTTACCAAGAAGATAAGATATAAAACGAATTCATTTATTTGTCGAAATATCGTGTGTTTACCTGGGATACTAAGAAGCGATAGCTCGTCTATTTCAATTAGAGACTTGGCCGTCGAAGCCACCGTGTCGTCAATTTGTGTGTATTACAGTGTCTATTTTACTTTCCATTGCCAATCGCCTTACCTTGGTTATATCGTTCATAATTTTGTCGAAAGATGCCACCTTCCGTTGCCCGCCCTGGGGGTTTTTTTTTTGTTTTCGAAACGATGTCAAAGAAACGGTCGGTGTAGGCTCATCGAAATCAAACTCATTCAACTGTAATGAAGTTAAGTTTGTTAACAGCAAATTATCTTGCACAGAATTTACCTCGCTGTAGAGTCGGAATGAGTAAGACAAGAAAGAGCAATATTATTATATGCATATATTGAATAATATTTTGAATACGTAAAATTAAGAATAACAAAAAACGCTAAACAAGACTTATGTCGTCTGCTTCTGATTTCGATAAGTCACAAAAAGTACTGAAAGATCGAATTTTGTTACAAGCTTACTGTTGTTATTGTACAATTCTAATAATTTATCGTAAAAAAATAAATCACGATCAGCATTGTAATTTAATTGAAGTATAATAGTTAGGTTAATTTTTAAAATCGAGCTTCAAACCTCGCTTTTTATAGCTGTTTCTTTGGCGTCGTGTTTTTCATCGGCATCTTCGTTTTCGCGTTTTGCTTCCATACGACCAGGGCTTACCCACTCCAAATTAATTACGCCTTTATCAGCCATCACTGCATACAACCTGAGAACCAGCATATATATATATATATATATATGAGTTGTCGCAGGAACTATAAAGTTAGCATATCAGAGAGGAGTTTGTTTTATTTTTAAGGAAATGAATGCTATAAATGTAAATATATAATTCTGGATACGAAAAATAATTTGGTGCTTTTAATTTGTCTAAAGATTTGTGAAACGAGACGCCAATGCAAAATCTGACCATAGGATACACTTTTTTTAATTACCGGACAATTTCTTCGGGGTCTTTCGGTTCAAAATACGGCATCCCAGTGTCCAATTGGCATGCAAGCAGTTCGTCGTCGGAGACACCTACGCTCCACTCCTCTTCATCCATGCCACCCGCAACAGCTGATGGGGGCTCCGTTAAGGGCATTTTGACGCTATCTCAGGGGATTTTGAGTGGATTCAAACAGTCTAAGAGAATACTCAACCGTTTAATTCCAGGCAACGCAATACCTGCACTTCTCCGTACGCAAATCCGAATTCATTGCTTCCGCAGAAATTGTTATCAGTTAAGCACGAGATGTGGACGTCAAACGATGACAGAACCATTTCAAAGTGTTAGTTGTCTGTAATATCTTCCGAAAACAACCGGCGGAAGAAAAAAAATGCAAATTTCGTTACATTGACCGTAGTCATTTGGCTCGTGTCAAGACCAAAAAGCATCTCCTGGGCTTCCAAGGAAAGCGAATATTTGGCGTATTACATCAACGAGAACTGTATGTGTATCTCGTACATCTTCCAATCATAATTTTCTCGAGAGAGCAAATTGTGCAATTATGTTACGAACTTCCACTCAGAAGTAAATAAATTCTACTCAGATCGTTCCAGATACACCTTAGCGATATGAGATCACAGAAGGAATTCTCATAATAACACTTGCCAAGCATCAAAAACCGATATCATGACTTAACTCTGTTGTCCATTTGTTTCAATAATCTGATATTTGGCGCAAATGTGTCGAAATTCGACCCTAACCGTGAAATCTAAATATTAAGGCACATTCTATATGGTTTATCTATACCTGCTTCTTGTTTTGTTTTCTACACTATCTTTGCTCCTTTCGATTATTCACATATGACATATTAACTAGTAGAATTTCGAAAAGTGATCATAATTACTTGTGGGAACTCACAGTTATTTTCATATATACCAAATTAACTAGCTCTAGTTCCCTTTTTACGATTATTATTAGTCAAAACCGCTCACCAAGTCATTCTTACTGTTCTGCATCGATTGTGTTCAGTGTCTGGATGCAATGCGCGTTCCGATTGCAACAACACAGATACGTCACGAACAAGCAAACAGAAACAGCCGATGACACTATTGAAAAGTAAACGAACGACACAGTCAAGTCCGTTCTTTTTTTCGAACAGGACAATTTCCGTTCTGGTTCACAATGAGCCTTTCTTTAGACTCGTTCCGTCAACGACAAAAAACAACACCGTCTTTCTCTATTTACTAGCTCCGATAACCAATGTTTGTGTCTAAAAGGGATCTTTACATTGATAGAACAATACACTGGGTTACTGAAGCAATCAATTTACTTTTCTGTTTCTATCGACTGTTTCGTCTACCCGATCCAAAATCAGGCTACCGTTTTGGACAGAATTGGCAAAGCCACCACTGGTCACCATTTATTGAAAAGTGAATGTTTTCGTTGTACAGGAGCAGTCTTGTTCCGCTCATTGTGCACTCATTAGCTTCACTGGCCTTTGTCCATCTGTTGTTGTACGGCGGCTCGCAGCGGCCCGAAAAGATGTGTTGTTCAGTGTTGGAACGCGCGAACACACATCTCTGTACATCGAAACTGCCACATATTCACGTCGACTATCGATATACGTATAGAGAACAGCTCTAATATAATTCCTCACTATTGAAACGTTTTTTCTGCCAAAATATTTTACACTATCTACATTCATCATATCGGTTCATCAGAACCAGACAGCTGCATATAGCGTACGCGTGTGTCGATTTAATGAATATTGTCTGCTGATCACCATAAAATCACACGCGCTAGCCAAGCTGTTCTCTGCCCGGCCTTGATGCGAACGTCCGCTATATTCTCTGGGGTTTTGCCAGACACTTTTCATCTTCTGGCAATAGCCATCGAGGGGAGAAAGGCAGAGGCGCCAAATGCTTTCCACTGGCCTCTGGCTGTTTGCAAATCTCTATTGTCTGCTACTTCGGTGGGGGGAGACAGGACCCCAGAACTCAGGGCGCCGTTGTTCTATGATTGTTGTTGATGCCCACGAGCTGTGCTCAGCGGCTGCTACGGCAGGAGCATATCCCGCCAAATCCCGACACATCACTCCGATCTTAAGGATTTGGTTCAGGCTGATGAGGCGGTCACCCACACCGCCGTCGCCACTGCCGCTGCTCAGTAATATAACAGAGTAGGGTAAGATCAATCGTTGTACGTCAAAAGCGGCTGCCGTCGTCTTGACTTGTCCAGTCTTGGCTGTCTTCTGATCAGTGCTTAGCGATTCGAGCAGTCCATTTGAATCTGCGGCAAGCGGTACTGCTGAGGAGTCTTTCTAGTAGAGCTTTTCAACAGGCAGACAACTAAGACGACGACAGCGGGTGATAGCACACACAGCACAAACTACAACATCAATGTGATGTTACACTATCATGGAGGAAACGCGGGCCGCTGAGGCATGACTGAGTGGCTGTCGGTTAAGTTTTTCTGACGACAGTGTCTGTGGTAGGCGCCTGAATACCTGGCGTCCTATCTTGTGCGGAAAAGGCACAGCACGCGTCGTGCATTGAGGAAAAAAGCGGTCCGAAAGGGGGTAATGAGGACGTATATCGCTGTGCAACCCCCATGTTAGTTTTGCAAATGAGGGTTCGTGCGACGTGCGCTGCGTGCGTCTCGTCTGCGTGTTCGAGATGATGAGCAACCACGGAAATGGTGATAGTTATAATGACAGTTGCCATAGGAAAAAGACCGATCGTAAGTGACTGTTTTTCTGACATACACGGAAAGAGCATTCTTAATTTGTATGTTTACTTGAGTGTGGTATAAACTGGAGTTCTTTCATTTCCACGAGGGCTTTGTAGAGGGCTCGAACCCTCCAAAGCTTTGGGTGATGCCAGAAGTGACTGATAGGAGCACTGGTGTAAATGCGTGAGTTTCATAAGGTGAAACTGGAAGGTACTTAGAGGAAAATTTAGGAATATAGTGACGGTGATTAGACGTACGCCAGTGGTCCTATTGTCTGGCTGGATGTGTGCGTGGCGTCAGTTTTCTGGAGGCGGCGAACCAGCGCTAGTAGTAGAAGTTGTTGGTCGTCGTGTTCCGTAAAGACGAGCTTGTTTTTGTCGCTCAGACTCTGGTGCGTGACTCACCGAGTCGCCTACACTGGGATGTATGGGGACCCAGTTCGAGCATAGCTCGCCTTCCGCGACGCTACATCCACACCACAATGCCTCGGTGACAGCGACAACGAGTTCGGGTTCACAGGCGCCCCAGGTAAGAATTGGCAAGGAAGCAATAATGAGGAGCTTCATGGCCTAGAGTTACCACGTATGGAATACTTGGTAATTAAAGATCATAGCGTTGTGTATTAGACAGATAAGATCCCATAGCCGTCAAAACGATTCGTGGAAATATGCTAATCATGAGAAAAGCTAGGCATATTTTTTAAAGACAATAGGCACACATATATTTCCTTGGCTAATGTTATATTTTAAATAAATTTACAAAAGATCGATGAAGATATTATTACATTTTATAGTAATGAGTACAAAAGCAATCGTTCTTCATTAACGCCGAACTCCAACCGATGACTAATATATTACAAATATGCTCGTTGCGATCTATGTACAGAGGCATACAGCTGCACGGTCTACCAAGTTGATTATGAATTATGAATGATTATTATTCGCCGATTATAACGAATCGCCGAATTCGCTCGATTCGGCGAAGTCTCTGATCAGCAACCAGAAATGTATACCAATTTAAATGACAACAATCGTACATAGACGTTTCATAATAGCTACTTTTAGTCACGAAGTCTTGATGTAAGCCGGTCGACCAAACAAACCATTTATTTTTTTTGGAGTAACAATATACTCAGTTCTAGTCATATCGAACATGAATATTTTGCCAGAGTTTTGGTTCGTTGGTGTCTAATATAATAAACATTATATATCGTTATATATATATATATATATATCGTTATTATGATATTATTATCGAAAAGGTTATTTTAGTGGTAGGTATTTTTTTATAGTGTCGTTTTTCTAACGAAATTCTCATTCCGGGATCATCATAAAAAAGAAAGGATGGAGTTTATGAACCTATGTTATCAAACAAATTTTAGAAGAATATTTAGTGCTGAATTCTTTACTCCGTAAATAGTTCAGTTCTTATTTATCAATCATACACTTACAGTTGCTTCAAATATCTGGTCATTTTGTAAAGATCCAATATTGTTTCTCGCTCCGTTGAGCAAAACTGGTTTTATTTTCGAGTAATGAACATACCTGAAACACAAATTCTAAATGAAGAGCCATAGATTTGTTAAATATGAGACAAAGAAATTCACCTGATCTATGTCTGCAAAAAGAAATAGCGTGTCTACATTATGACATACCTTGTATATCATGGAAGACTCAATGGTGTGATTATCGTTCTAACTTCTTACTTCAGTTCTGTTCATCACGTTTGCTTAACGCGCACACGCTTTCCAAGGAATAATCATTCATGTCTAATTACATTCTTGGCGTGTCTTAAGGTGAGTGTAGTCCTTCTAAAACAGCTCGTTCAGGCAGTCCGCTTGGGACGTAATGTGACCAGTTCTCTCTTAATGGGCCTGCTCTGCTTACTTATGCATGACCGAAGCTTCGTTTGATCAGCGGATTCGGAGTCTTTAATTCTAATTAAAAAAAAAGGAGGAAACCCAATAAGCAGGTTACGATAATTCTATTCGAAAGGCACCTTAATACTTCGTATTGTTCATTACTGACAAGGTTACTAAACGTGCGTGACATCAAAACGGAATTTACATTTCCATTGGCATAGGCGCTCACAGGACGTGTTTAGGCTAAAACAAATATTGAAGAGTAGTAAAACGAACCCAAAAATGGGTCTAATTAGCGAATCTTATTGGCTTTTTCAGATCAAACTGGATAAAACTTTGGAAGAAGCCACAGAAACTGGAGTTCTCCGATTAAATGGCCGCAAACTGAAGGAGATCTCTTTAAAACTTCAGTCGTTACCGAAGTACGATATCACCGATACGATTGTTACGGGTGAGTTCGCTGGCTTTTTTGATACTTGGTCGAAAAACAGCTGTCGAGCATTAGCATTTGGTGTGGCAGACTTGGAAGCAATTAGAATTAGAGATAAATAGAAGTCGTTAACACATCGGCATGAATTTGAAGATCCTATGTGCGCTGTCAGCTGTGAAGCGTATTAAGTGCAGAAATGGCATGGACATGCCGAGCACGCAGCAAAACAGAAACTAATTTTATTCTAATTCAAACTATAAGAGAAAAAATTATTCTAAACCAGGAATAATAACTTGCCTATCCAGTATAGAAATCCAAAGACTGCGCAGTTTTGAGTAAAAAGAAAAGTACTATTATCTCTGTGGTAATTGTTGATGCAAACTTTTTCTGGACATGGCTGCACAGTGAAAATTCAGACTGCAAAAATACGTTTGTTTTTAAGTAATCTTCGAAACTATGGTATGTCTTTATTCCAAATGATATTAGTCTTTCTAAAAAAAATGTTTTTTGTGGCTTGCATTGCCAGAATTATAGAAACCAACTAGCAAACAGGCTTGTCTGATTGTGTATCACATTTCATATGGGCAACAGACTGTAAGCCGCTACAGAAGATGAATTACTGAGCACCGATAAGTTGTCTAATTACGCAGACCTCTGTGCAGAAAACGGAAGTTAGAAGCTAGGATATAGCTCGTCGATTTGAATCGGCCTATTCATTTAGCTTTATTTGTGGCTAAGGATGTTGTAGCACATTGCTCCACTAACGCATGTAACCATGCTTTGTATAGGAATTTTCTGTAGATGGTTTTGAATAAACCGCTTTGTTAGTATGGGACCAAATAACCGAAACTCTTCTACCAAATTTCACGTAGTTTATATTTTTTTAACAGGTTGGCTTTGCTGCTATTACTTATACGTATACGTAATTGTGCGTATGTGAGTTCACTTATAAAGTACTTTAGGGCTGCGGCACCCCTCTATCTATTATAAAACCAACAATATAAGATACGCGTTTAAACGAATCTCAGTCTAGCTGGTGTGAGTTCATTGAGTTGCTGCTAGTAGGCCTTGCGAATAGATATCTGTAAATTTAGTCCATTACGAGTGGCTGTTTCAGTGAAGCAATGTTAAAGTGCGAACATACTTCTCAGCTAATGCCCTATAAAGCTTGTTGTAAGCTGTATTTGCTGCTCAGATATACGACGACCCTGTTGCCATGAAACTTGCTTTCGAGGCCTAAAAGAATTTTAAATCCAGTTACTAAACCGTCTATCTGTTTTCGTATGGCTGCTGAGCGATCGACTAATGATTGCTGTTAAGATGAATTGCTTACACTAGTAATGGCTTTTATAGCGTTATGAAAATCGCTCGTAACAATAATTACTGCCACAATTGCTAAAAATGTTTAGTGGACAAATATTAATAATATAGGTTTTAAGATACCAGGTGGAATTTATCTGCTAATTGTCTTTCTTGGACCTTTTTTTTTGCTGTGTGTTTATTTCACCTTTTAGATCTTTCGAAGAACCGTTTAAATGAGCTTCCCTCATTTGTTTGCGAGCTGTATCAGCTTACGGAGCTGTCGCTGTACTCGAACCTACTTAGGAGTCTTCCTTCAGATGAGTCGCTGCTCACGCTACAGCACCTCACGTATCTCAACCTGTCCAAGAATCAGATCTCGGTGATACCGCAAGCACTATGCTTCTTACCAAAACTGCAGGTCCTTATCGTGTCCCATAATCGACTGTGTTCACTTCCTGAGGAGTTGGGCCGTATGACCTCTCTGTACGATCTCGATGTCAGCTGTAACGAGATCTCCTTTCTGCCGGCGCAGATCGTCAACCTGGCCGCACTCAAATATCTCGACCTACGAAGAAACCTCTTGGTCGAACTACCTTCCGATCTCCACAAGCTTACGGGCTTGACAAGGTTGGATATTTCCGAAAACCGGATACAGAACCTGCCCACTGACATGCGAAGAATGGAAAGGTTGACCGAGTTCGTCTGTGATCATAATCCTCTTGTCACGCCCCCAGCAGCGGTAAGTTCAGCAGTGGAAGAGAATAAAACTAGATTTATAGGAAGGTGTTGGTAATGTAACTCATATATATATTCTCCTTAACGTAGATGAGTTTCTTTATAGACAATAGACAATTAGGTATGTTATACTCATACGAAAGAAGTTTGTGCTAGTATTTGGATGCTTATCGAATGAGTTCAGTATAAAGCCCAGTTCTTACTTTCGTAGTATTGATTGATCTTAAAATTCGTTGTGACGACGATAAGTAGATACAGTATGAGGGAAACGCCTTTTAGCAATTTGTGAGTCCTCGTTTTTCGTTTGCTAAGGTAGCAAGCAACCAAATTATGGAAAAAATGAAAATGAAAGAAAAAGAAAGTGAAGAATGTGTCAAGAAAAAGTGAAAAAAGTGAGACGATTCTCACTCGACTCACAATCCCAAATGGACAGCAGTACGACTATCCCCTTATTTTCAATGACCAGATCCGCTTACCATTTGACATCTCATTGCTTTTACCTTATTATAGTGTTTTTTTTTTTTATTGTGCAGCTATGTACCCGCGGCCTAAACCACGTGAAAAAGTTTCTCGATAATGAGGAACGAAAACGTGGTGGTGGACCGGCAGGCGTCGCAGGTGACACTGGCACCCTAACTCAGGCTGGCCATAGAGGACTTCGAAGCCGAGAATCTTTCCAGCTGACTCTTCGGCACCCCATTTCGAAAGCAGGCGCAAGAGACTCCGGTTACACGACAAGTGATGGATCTACGGGCTACAACGAGAAAAGGTCAGTGAAGTACACGTCATAGTGAACAATGCGTATGCTAACCTGGTGCAAATGTGAACTAACACATCGATCGGTTAATGGAACTAAAGTTGTTCGGTCGGTCAGTTTTTCAAATCCTGGGTTATTCTAGTACTCTACAAGCGTTGAGCTGAATCTGAGCCGTTGCAAAATCAGGTTGATTGGCTTAATACATTATACTACACGTTACTGTATTTCGTTCCCATTTTTTCTTTTTTCTTTTTCTGGGCAAGGAGGTGATGTTCCTTTCAATTTGCTTGTTTATTGTTAAAACTTATGCCTTTGTTTTTGTTTGTGGTTTTTCTTGTTGTTTATTTGCTGAATTTTTACAACTGTTTGCGTGCCGGGTATCACACAAAATTGCGCATATATGTACTGTAATGACAATACGCTGAGTGGGTTCGTTGCGGTCTCACGGTTTAATTCTGGACGTTCTCGTCCTACGACTGTTCGGTGTAGCCAGTTAAATCGTCCACTTTTCTAGTGAAATCGCTCTTGTGAACAACGAATAGTAGTATTAGTCCAAAATATGTTCACGGTACATTTCGGCTTAGATTTGATTAGACTGCAAATTAAACTAGGCTGTTCCGTACGGATTTTTTTCTGGCATTAAATATTCATGCAACTGAACGACGGTGTCAAGATAAAGGCATAGTGATCCGATAATGAGTTGGAAAGAGGGCTGAGAAATTTGCCTTGCAATGTGGTCATTACAACCACAACGCAATGAATATCTTGTTTTGCTGTAATGCTAACTAAATGAGTGCTATATATATTCACGTGTTACGCGTCCCAATGAATGTAAAAAGATATAGAAAACAAGTTTTTTTAATGTCTTAATGGTATGGCTATAAAGCTCGTAGGGAAAGCTTTTCGCATGAATTTAATACCTGTTAAATTGTACATTACGCTGCATTAGTAGATCATCACGCTTACAAGGCAAGCGTATTCAGATTTAATAGAAGAGATACAATAATAATGACGGTGACCATAATAATAATACTATTAAAAATTTGACACGCTATACGTGCACGGTTTCTGTAGGTTTTCCGGTGCCGGCGGCAAAGATGACATTGACGCCGCGGACGAGATACGTCGTTTTGCCGCGCAGCGAATGGAGTTTACTCGGAGTCCCAAGAAACCCCAACAGCCGTTGCAACAGCGTCATCAACTTTTTGGCCCCTCAACACAGGTAATCACCATGCTAATTAGCATATTGAATTGTTGCACTTATCTATTTTTTGACTCTCTAAACAAAGCTATAGTATTAGTCGTTAACTTACTATTACGTGCCGGTTTGGCAGCCTACGCTCACGTCATTCCAGTCGTCGACATCTTCGCACGACCTCTGCAACGTGAGTCCGTCAAGCGAAGCGGCGACGTTGCAGGCAACCGCTGGGGGCCCAGCTACCCCTAGCACCCTCAGTCCGACATCGGAATTCAAGCCTATTCAGCCCGGTAAGCATCAGTCTGTTTTGCATTTCAAATCAGATGTATGTGATATATAATAAAAAATAACACACAAGTAGTATCGATGATGAAGCAGTCCTCAACTAAGATAGCAACGATCGTAAAGCTCAAAATATTTAGGTAGGCAATGCCGAAAGATGCCGTATGTTTTGTATGGAAAGTCTTGTAAATATTATTTATAATTTTAGTGGTTAATGTTAGTTGTTCGGTAAAAGAGCGCTGATATGGTGGTAAGGAATTTCATTTGCCTTATTAAGCCAATGTTATTTCATTATGGGAAGTATTAATGAGTTTTGTGTGCGTGGGGGTATACTTCAGATCCAACGATGCCCAAGACAGGCGATGGGGTATTTGGTTCGGGTGATCTCCTTTTGGGACCGATACCAGGCCGATGTCTGACTCCAGAAGAAGAACTTCGACAGAGGCGTGAGGCAATTGTTGCTAAGCAAAGGGCTGAAGTTAAGGTAAGCTAAGCCACAGCAGACTATTACAACAACTTTGGAAAAAATCGAAGGTGATTAATAAAATTCGCATAATTGTGCTCAGTATAAACGCTAGCTAAAATTATCATAATAATTATGATCGCATTGTGTGAATTAATCATTAAATGGATTCGAATTAAATCATAAACTGCTTATGATTCCACTCAAATTTAATCGTTTTTGTCCGGTTACTTGCTGAACTATTGTAGAAAAACACGAAATCAACTTTTTGGAATAAATTTTTTGTTAATTTCAACAGCGAGTTCAGAAGGAGGCCCTCATCCAGTTTGTAAAGCAGCGGCAGAGCCCATTACCTGGCGGGGGACAGTCGCTTACTCACCCACAACAGCCGCCCCCCCCTCCTCCACCTCTGCTGGGCCAAGGGGGTCAGACACAATCTGGTCATCCTGCAACCCTGCCTGTTAGTTTTTCCCAACAACACCAGCAGCAACTACCACAGCAGATTAGTCCAACATCTGAAAGCACCCCTCCATTGCCGAACTTCACAATGCGAAGAGGTTTGTGGAATCAATATTTTTTTAAAATTTTTTTAGTGTGTATCTGCACTGTATGCAATATGTATCTGTCAAATGGCGTTTCTTAAACTATCAAAAGACTTTTGCTTCACCCAGTCTATATTTGTAATAAATCGCATAGGCAAAATGTGTATCTAATATAAAAAGATATTTTAAAAAAACGTTGGACTATATCTGATACAGATGGTTGTCTTTCGTTTCAAACCTCCTTGAACGGCTCTTTTCGTTCTCTTACTCTTTTTTCATAATTGTATTTGTTTCGTTGCCTATCCATCGGTCTCATCAGGTTTGGACCGAGCTCGTGAAGAGCAGGAATTGCTGGGCCGTATGCGTGCGATTATCGAGGCTCGGCTCAAGATGGCGTTGCCGGAGAACCTGGCAGGCGCCCTCACTGACGGAGTGGTCCTCTGCCACTTGGCGAACCACGTCCGGCCAAGATCTGTGGCCACCATTCACGTGCCTTCCGCTACGAATGTATGTATTGGCGCGCAAAAGTATGTTGCGAGCTGATGAATTCTCATTTATTTGTTTTTGAATCTTGAATTTTTTTCTGCAATCCGGGATTCCTCTATACATGTTTATCAACATTTTTTAGCGTACTCAGACATACACTAATGTGTTTCTGCTTGATTATAGTATACGCTATAAAGAAGATCTAAAACTAGATAAATATATGATAGCCTAGTAAGCCATGTTTTTGGTTGGCACTTAACCCGTTAAGTTTGGTGAATCGAACCGTGTAACTACAAGACCCCTTTTTTAAACCTAGGTGATTGTTCTGTGTAATTCATTATTAAGATTCTGTATGCCACATGGTAAATATTTACAGAGTACATGCGATTGCTAGGTTTTGAACTCGATGTGGTTCCATCCGGGCGGAGAGTGCACATTTATTTAGTGCGTTGTCGTGGCAACCGTAAATGTGCGACAATTTCTAGTTCTAATTTTGATGTTGATCAGCCGTGTTTATAGCATGCAATTACCATCCCATTTCATTCGAGAAATCGCAGACAAATCCAACAAGATCTATCTTTTTTTTTACTAGGGGCAGGTCTTCGTTGTTGTACCGAAGAGGTGATTCCGAAGACTTGGTCACGCAATAAAATAGCTAAAAGCGTTAAAAAAGATTCAATTTTTATTGACTTGCCATCTGCTTATATGATACAACGATAATCAGAAATAATTTGATAATGATATCATGACTTAGGTGGTTTGGGCAATCTGGAAGGCTATTAACCGTTTGACATAAACAAATAATTGCTTATTTTTTTTCTGTTTTGCTGTTTTATTCACGTTTTAGCCGAAGTTAACAATGGCAAAATGCCGCCGAAATGTGGATAATTTTTTGGATGCCTGTCGTCGACTCGGAGTCCCTCCGGTAAGTAAATTGTTTTCAGTTATGAACACGTTTTGCCCTTCTATCTCATCCTGCCTAATTTTCCTTTTCCTAAATATCTTACCTTATTATGGATAACCACTTTCCCGTCTCCTTCGCACTTCATTTTCATGGCTGGGTGCACTTTGTTGTTGATAGTTGCCCTTCTTTCCTATTTGTTCTTGTTATCCTTTTTTCAAGATTACCTTGACATCTGTATATCATTACCTTAGAAATGTTACAAAACCACATTTTTTTTATTAGCTCTTGTTCGTCCAGTAGCGTTTGTTTCGTTACTTATTAAACACCTCTTTTCGACTCAGCGTGGTATATCAAAAAAGTTAACTAAACATACTCAGAAGTTTGAAATAACTGTAAATTGAATATTTGTGTGTGTATTTATATTCGGCATCGCGTGTTTTGCTATGTTTTAAATTTTAGCATGAACTTGACAAACACAAAACATAGGCAATATTTGTACTGTCTAGTGCTTACGATATGGCGAAAATGCCAGTAAGGGTTCTATTAGTATCATGCGTATTGTTTTGCTTCCCGTTTTTTTTTATCCAATTATAAGCGTTTTTAGATTCTCGTTTCTCTAACTATGGATTGAACATTTTTCTTTAGTTTTTATCTTTTCAAGTTACAACATAATTTGCATTTATTGGTCTTGTTTTCCAGTCACTTTTTTCCAGCTTGTATCTTAAGTAGATATATCATCCAAGAAGTCCTATATTTATTACAAATATATCTAAAGAAAGTATATGAAAACGTTTAGATTTTTAGAAGGCCTTTTTCCTATTTTTTTTTAATACGCAGTTTTATTTTGTTGTTCTGAGTTATTTTTATATAATCACCGTTTTTAGAATCTACTATAATTCAGATAATATTGTGCAAATGGAACACAAAGAGGCACTCTAATCTCTTTTTACACCATTACTTTTTGCACATCACTATTCTTTTTTCCATTTAGTTACAAATGCACTAAAGCTACCGCTTTACGTACGCATAAACAACATTGTTGTCATTTTGACGTTCTTTTTTCGTTTCTTCTACTGCCCACAACGAAACAGAAAAAACAAGATGCATTAGAAACGTATTTGTGCAATGTAACGAATGCTTTTAATAACATGGATGTTCTACGTTGCGTATTCTGCTGTTGACTGCGGTTTAAGTCAGACGTTTCCATCTTCGTCTTTCTTCAATTTTGTCTTCAGAAAAGCTTGCAATTCTTACGCACAAACCTATTTTACTCTCTCTCTTTCTTCACCTTATTGAGATAGATTATATTTATACTGAGGACGGCTATTTTGATATTGAAGCATTTCTTGTTGCATCGGGTGCTAAATTGGATTAATTTGCCTTTATTTATTCAGATTCTTAACTTTACTAAATATTTAGCCTTTAAAGTACCAAATGTCTACGTATGCAATATGTTAAAACATCATAGTGTACGTTATGAGGGATTCAGCTCTACCCTCTCCCTGACAGAAAACTGCTATAGTATTTCAAACAGCTTTACCATGTTGTTCCGTTCACAATGTGGCCATGCAGGATTGTTACTACGTAGGATTTGCCTATTTGCACATCTCTCTATCCCACTGGTCGCTTTTTTGTCCACGCATCTATTCTAGTGCTGACAGCCCAACACAAGGAAAAACTCATCTCTACCCTGCACGTATAATTGATGCACATATTGGGCGCGGTCAGATATGTTGGTTTCATAGTATAATTTTAGGCACGACTCTGTAAATTGTAGCACGTCGAAATCGACATGGATACTTTCCATTTCTTTATGTTTTTTAATAGTTTTCGTGCCGTCACATTTATTATTGGTCACGTTATCGGATTTGTTCTTCTGTACTAATTTTATGGGCCAGTCATATACTTTTCATATAAACCACTCTGTGAATGTATCATATTTATTTGCTCGTGTTCGGCGATTATTTTGGATACTGCGTTCGGAACATTTTCGGCCGCTTTTCGAATGTTTCCGAGCGTTTTGTCTCTCCGTTTTTATGATCCCGGCTTCGTTTTGTTCTCTCGATCGCGGAATGTGCGTTCTACCTATTTTGTTGGACGAATGTTCCGGTATTATATATATTATGAGGTAAGTACACGTACATACTTAAAAACTTCTGTTGGTTTTTCTGCTTTGGGCTCCTATCCTAGAATTTCCGCTGTATCTCTCTTGGCATGCTTTCCTTTACTTTTTGGTAACCCTGGCTACTTCAAAGAGGCCAATCCAGTATCCGACAGATATAACCTCGTTGAATTTGCGTGACACTTCCTAATTTGATTGGCGGTTGCTTATTAACCGTTAGCTTGCTGTTTCTAAACTTTGGGCCCGAAATTCCAACAAACCTGACGTATACAAGCATTCCGAGTTTCACGTACAGAACTGTATCGCCAAACCGTTATAACTAGTACAACCAGGAACTAACCATGTAAGCTTTGCGTTATCTACAACATCTGGTAACTAACAACTGCAGTCGCAGAAACGATTGATGATAAAAAGAAAGAAAAAAGAACTTGATTATCACACATGACTGGTGATACTTGCGGGGAAAAAGTCACTAATCTATCAGTAGTAACCATCATGTTGCTTATTGCTTGAGATCGGTAACTTTGTTTGCCTACTGTTTGTCGAAATCTCCGACAGGTGTCGTTGTGTGGTTGATATAAAACTTTGGTCATGTATTGGTTCATCTGGGTAACCTTGTTGCGTTGACGAAATCATGTTTGGCGGAATGTGCCGTCAGGGTAATGAATCTTGCTATGGATACTTGTTGACTGGTTTATTACTGACATTATATGATATATTATCACACGTAACGCAATAGCCTCAACTTCCCAGCACATGTATGAAGTGCTGCGTTAAAATATATGCGAGAACTCATTGTGTATAACAGAATCTATGATTTAACTGGAACGCAATCTTAGTCTCTTACAATTCCTACAATCGCTTTTTTCTCAATCTTAAGTTGTCCGGTTTCTAGAAAGGATCATCGTACTCTTAGTCCCTACAGGCACGCATAAAGCACAGCGAATTTCTTTGTATCGGGATCTTGCATTACCTACTTCTTTCATGGATATCTTTTTTATGGGATATATTTCATTGGTGACTCGTCCGCACAAACGCGTCGTTCTTTTCTGAAATGGCATGTGTCTTTATTTCAGGAGGAGACCTGCGAAAGTGGCGATGTCTTGGCGGAATTTGACGCACGAGCTTTGCTTACTACCATCGAATCGTTTATTCGCGTCGCCGGTCGGCAAAGCTCTGCAGGCATTGGAGGGACCAGTACGAAACCGACCGCTAAACCACCTCCGCCGCCGCTACCTATCAGATCTTCAAGCGATCCGGCGTATACGGGCCCTCAGACGGGTCCACAGACGGCTTCTGGAAGCAATCAACTAGCTGTCAATAACAACTTGCCGAAACCTTGCGACGAGCAACCTGCGAAGCAGGATCCGGCCGGAACAGGCGGTCTGGCCACAGTCGGAGCTCGATCTATTGAGGCCGTCAGCCGAAATGAGAGCCCGGTTAGCACAAGCGAGGACATCTCTAATCTGGAAAACCTGGAATACGACCTGTTAGAGGTTCGGTTAAGCTCGTCGAAGACGACTCCGCCCCAGCACAGCTCGGCTGAAGATACCGAGGCGGCATTACCAAGCGATACGAGCCTCGAAGACGAGGCAGCTTTGGAAGGAAATACGACATTTCGCTCAATGCCACCAGAGTACCCCGGCTTACAGGGGTTATCGAGGCCGAACACGGTGGAGGTTGTCAAGGACCGTGAAACAGGCGATGTTAATCGCGATAATACAATGGAGCAGGAATCATCAAGAAGAAGAAAAATAAAACTTGTAGGAGACGATGGGACGGTTATTGCAGACAGCAGGGAACAGTATATCCAGCAAAGAGGCAACACTTCATCAGTTAGGAAACTCCGAAGTCTGTTTGAAAGATCTGCAGAGCCATGTGCAACACTCGATCAACAACACAGAACGATGCCACACAATCAAAAGGATGGCTCGGGTTCCGATTCCAGGGAGAGAGCCGACGTGCAAAAAAATGGTCATCATCATCTTAATCGAGTCGATGAACAATACAGAGAACAAATCGATACCATAGAACCTGTTAAGGAGGAGTGCAATCAGCAAACGATAGGGGGCCAACCGTGTAAAGGGATAAGTAGTAGCTCTAAGAATGAGTCTTTCTTCACGACGAACGTCAAAGCGGGTATCGGGACAGCATGTATCTCCCTCGTAGTCTACCTGTACGCGTATCACCCTTGGATCCTCATACTTTTAACCACTATTGTCGCTCTTGTGCTGTATAAGAATTTTTTCCCTACGACTAGCAACCCAGGTCACAAGAACGACAATGATCTGGTAGGTGCCAGTAGCCAAAACCCCGATAAACCTACTGTTGATAGCGATAGCACTGCTGCTCTTGAGCAAAACGACCCAGCGAGAGCGTGCGCGAATTCGAGAAATGCCAGCAACGAAGGTGCCACTAGTGATAATCTCCTAAATGATAAGGACAGTAGGTAGCCGGCACATTGTTGACTGAACAGATAACTACATTAATTTGAAAAGGTGAGAAAGGCGAAAGGCACAAACGTGTGTTGAAGAAGCCGTGAAGCAAAACGAAGTGTTCCGTCGCATACAAACAATATATATATATATATATATATATATATATAATTAAAAAAATATACAGTATCAAGGAGCAGCCATGAAGGTAAATTATGTCAACAAGCTTTCATTTAATGGGACAAAGAAACTAAAAAAAGGTATGGACGGTAATAAGAAAATTTTTATGTCTAGGAGTTTCACAAGTGGAGACCCTTCTGCATAACACTACATTCGCTACAAAGCGTAACCAAAATATATAGTATTAATAATAAAAAAAAATATATAGGGATATATGATTATATCAACAAGAAGCAAAGAGTACTATAATATAAAAAATGATAACGAGATGCAACTTTACGGTACGCGGGACGTGTGAAATTGGATACAAGTGCTTGTGCTAGAGAAAATGAGCTCAATAGGTTTGAGAGATGAACGTAGATGGAGCTTGACGATTTCTGTGTGGTATATACAATAAATTGAATGTACAGTCCGATTTCTTTTTACGAATGGATCGCTGTTTTTACTGCTTGCGCCGATTTGACATTTCTGCTTTGAGATATATAAATGTAAATATATAACTAATTGACAAGATTAGTGGCATTGGCATTTTCGTCGAAAACTTTGCATGCGCTTGAAAAGCATAAATACGGAGATTTTATCTTTTTTAAGCTTTATTAGTATCGAACAACGTTACAGCTTTGAAGTTTTCTTAAATTACACAGGCATCGTTGTATGTGAAGTACTACAATAATTGACACGTGAGTTTTTTTTTTATATATACCCTTGAGTTGTAAAATTTCGTGTCTTTTTTCCTTTAAAAGCATCCTCACAAGTTTTTATTGTGCTTTTTTCCTTATTGTCTGGCACGCCTGCTGTTTTTGCCTTACGTCCGCTTCTACAGGAGTTAACGTGTTCTGCAATGGATATCTTGGACGAGCAGCGTGGAGGTATTTGTCCGGTGGCCATTACTGTCATCGAACTTGCGAAGCTATCCACGACTCTGAGACCTCACTCGGTATCGACTTTGGTGGGTCTCTCACCACTTTCAGCGAATCCCCTTGAGCATGCGAGCCACCCCGAAGGATGCATGATACCGAGGGGGCACCGCTTTGGAGAACATGCTCGTCCCGCTAGTCTCAGTGGGCTACCAAAGATGGCCGTTGGACCGCTTGGAGCACCTCTTGGAGCGCAGCTCGTGCAAAGTAGTGCATCATCGCCAGCTCCTTCAGGAAGTAGCCATGCAGCTGCGATGATGGTAATGATGGGACACATTGGGCCCTCGACACCAAACTTTGCACCAAATCTTCATTATGACACAACGAAGATGCCTCCACCGCCGCCAAAGCAACGAGCCTACCAGCCTCCTCAGCCGCCGAAGCCGCCTTGAGGCGGTGTCACATGAGTGAAGTAATAATCGAACTATCGGGAAGGATTGTAGTTGAGCTTCGGGTACGTTTGATAGTTATCCAAACGTAGTCAGACAGAAACACTAGGCGTTGAAAGAGTCAAGAGATTTTTTTGTGAACATATTTTATGTATTTAAGGTCTACCATTGCAACTTAAAATGGTTGACAATTATAGTGAGAATCATTGAATATGCGTTTTGTCTTTTAAAGCGTAGTCACGTTGTCCACTACAAAATAGAAGTCAGTCGAGATTGAGTGCGATGCGCGCATTTGAGTGCTGTACCCGTCACCCATAAAAGAAACATCGGCGAGAGCATCTTTTGCTCGTGAGCACAACACGACGAGACGTCTATCTGATTGCTCAATGCTGTACAACCGCCCAAACAGTTTTGTTAGTCCAAACGTCATATAGCTATTATCTTCTTTTTTGCTAACGTTAAACTCGACTGGAGTGGAGAACGTTTTTATTTTCTGTTTTCATGAACGAAAAGTAGATATCAGCTGCTGCTACTTAATTTACTTTCTGCTTTCGTGGCCCCGCTTTGTATTCGTCCACGTGTTACTTTACTACTTGAGTCTTAATAGAGAGATTCATACCAGCCGTTTAGAGCTTAGGATTATGGGTTTTCTATATACTAATATGACATAATGCCCGTATTTGTTTTTCTTTCTGATCATCTTATACAAGATCGGACCTTAGGTCTTCCCAGATTTTGAAGCTCTTCTACTATATTTGTGTTCATATATCTAAAGGATACTCGTGTTCTATTACTAATTACCGTTTACGGTTTATGCGTCTAGTTGTAATAATATCTTGTTTTGGCCTATTCTCCGCCAAAAGTGCCCACTTTAAAACTTTCGGTTCTGGAGTCTTTCGGAGTATTATTACTCAGAAAGCTATCAGTTGCGTGCGCTCGCCTTCGTAGTGTACAATTTTTATATGCCTATACGTGCCTATGAGCCAACTGCGCAGTTTCTTTCTCTTGTAATGAGAGTCAGAATACTTTCAGAACAATGTTGCCTACTAAGTATGGTTCCACGTGATTTTTTGCATTGTTTGGTTGACACGTTGTAGAACGAACGGAGTATCCCATATACTTGGTACTATTTCTTAACCAATCATTTAAGTTAGTTAAATAAAAATATTTCGCTAAAATTAATACCTCCGACATAACAGCCAGCCAACAACAACTTAACAACTATTTCTACTCATTTCTATACCATTCACAAATGTTAATGTAAACTTATTTATTTTGTCAGGTTTTAAATAATACATTGAGCTTTATCTAAATGTCACGTCTCCGTTCCTATCAATTGAAGCTTTTTCGTATTTTACGTTCGGTTACTCGATGCCGATAAAAATCGAAACTGCTAACCGTATTTTAATTTTTTTTATGCCTAAGAAAACTTACCATTTCAGTACACATGCCCTCTATATAATTCTAATACTCATGTAGTTTCGTATGTTTAAAACCGCTTTTATCAGCTTATGTCTATCAAATTTTCCGTTCTCGGTTGTATTGCGGTCTACGACACTCCAGTATTACTGTTGCACGCGATTCAATCTCTCAACTGTTTTTATTTTTACTCTGTTAAAAACTATTCTGCGTTTGTTTGATTTATCGAGGTCAAGCCCCCTATCTTATTTATTGGACTACGAATTTAAGTCGATTCAGAATTCTTTGTCATCAGATTTTGTGCCCTGTTTTCATAATATGCGAACTGTGTGAATTGTAGAGGTGTTATTTTTGTGACATCGTTGATTAACAGAATCGCCTTCATGGTTCCGCTCTTCCTTAGTAAAGGTGTACGCCATTGTTTTTGTTTGTCATACGTTTTCCAATCCTAGACTTCGTGCCGTGCGCGGGGGTCTCATATGGTTTTGTTTATTTCACGTGTACATGTTCTCGTTTTCGCGATGAGTAACAAAGCGCTTAGAGCTTACTATTAGTTCTTATCGGCTGGTCTTTGTTTGGCCAAGTTTCATCTCTTCGGGTAGAACTTTTTATTCTCTCTTAATAAGCGTTCTATCTCATAAGACTTATTACTAGGACAAACTCCTGTGTATGATATGAATTCTCTGTTATTACCGACCAGATTCAATTATTCCTTCATCTTTTTATAATCTACTTTCTTTCTCAACGATTCTTAGCAGTATGTTTCAAGCTTTTTACAGCATTGCTTCAACATAGTTTCTCCATGGCTTGTTCTTCGGTTGGACTTTTTAATATTGCTTTTGTGCATTTCTATTTTATCTATGATTTCATCGCGTATAATGTACTCCAGCATCTTTTTGGGAACTAACAGATACAGATTGTTGACCTCGCCTGTGTTATACTCCTTTCTTCATATATATACTGTACACGCACTGTATGTACGCTTTATTAGCCGATATATAATGTGCTAACAAAAATACGATGACGGTCCAGCCTATTAGAAAGTTATATACAAATGATAATATACAAAGTGAGAGCCCTTCGTGGTCTGATATAAAATTTTCTCCGAAAAACCACAAGCGAAAGAACACCATAATTTCATTTTATTAATAGAAGAAGTATAGATGGTCACACAAATCCGGTCACTGCCATTTTCCATAATGGTGATGTACCCTATCAATATAAAACAAATCCTATATATATTTGCTTTCTGTGTAGTTATCGGAACAGGTTATACTTTTGAGCTTTGCCTGATATTTAAATAGGTAAAGGATATCGTCAACTATTCGTAGAGTAGCCTACTAAATGAACGTGGCAGCACCCAAATAACAGGGAAGATGGTGGCCAAATGAACATCGGCTCTTGCTGTCACGCTGAGTGAACAAGGAAACGCTTGTATTCTTGTATATCTGTATGATTTATGTATGATATTTGATGAATTACATCATGTACGGAGTAAACATTGCATACGAATAAGCCGCACAATCAATAGAAGTAATTCTAAATCGAAAAATCATTAAAATAAACGAGGCGGTACCAAACGGGACGCGGGTATCGCGACATATGAGATAATTTTGTACTAATTTTGATGTTCCATTTTTTTGGTAAAGGTGAACTACGATCCCTGCACTATCCCAATAGAGTGTTGAGTGTGAATGATTCACAATGCTGAGATGAGATCACAGTAATCCTTGTTTTATTTCATATACTGTTTCAGGTAAAGCTCTTATTATACATGCAATTGCGCAAGGGGTACTTATTAATTCAAGAGTATATGCCTTACGCAAACGTTTGTTTTCTTCTACGACTAGTAAAACTGTTACTCCTTGCTTGATAATTCTTTTTCTGTGAGCATATTCATGTTGCATCGGGTCTTGGAATCGAACATTATGAATTTATAGGTGATTTGTCAGATACGTTCATATGATCAGATTCCATTTATAAAACGTATGCAATATTAAGATATCCCAGTTCAATGAAAGTTTAAACCTCTTTACATAAGATGTCGCTCATACGTACAAGCAAAAGACTTGCTTATCATTCCAAGTATTGTTCTGCGATAAATATTTCGCGCGCCGAAGTTATATCGATATTGAATAAATATTTTTAATTCTATGAATATAATTGTTACAGTAAATTCACGTAAGGATTATTCTAAGTAGGCTTCTGAATAACCTTTCATCGATGATGAACTACCTAATGAGTCATTTTCAACTTTCAGTTCTCTACACTCTCTCTATATGTGACAGCGCATACATTGTTAGGATATTTCCATCTGAATTTTATGTCGGGTGAGCTGGGCAACTTCCAGTTGCACTTCAGGTTTCAAAAGCTGTGCTATCGAGTATTCGCGTGAGATGTCGTACGCATGAACAATCGATGTATCGTACAGCATGATATTGTGTCTGAAAATTACAAAAAAAAACATTGCAAAAAGCAATATCATAGTACATCACCGCAAAAGTTCCACTACAGCTAAAGCCGGCCGAATTTAATTCGTAATCATTTGTAAATCGTTATGATCCTGAAGTGTAATCAAAAAGAGTTGATACTTACATTGCTAAACAAAGAATAACATTCCGAGTTCGGCAGATTGCCTCTCGAAGAGGAAATGCTACCTGCTCGTGGTTCTGGGTGAACTTAGATGAGTCAACTTCCGTATCGGGGGTCACCCAAATAAAGCCATTAAGACCTAATTCAGTTGACAAAAACGTACAGAATTTCCTTTATTGTTGTTGCTTATTTATGTCCTCAAGAACAAATAACAATTTCACAAGTTTTAAAAAAGGGCAGTTACGATTTAGTATCTGCACTAACCGATAATAAGATGAACTCCGTTTGCCAAATTATGAAGATGAGTCTTGCATCGTTTGATTAATGACGGCGAGACCGTGACAAGAGCTCCTTGACCAAGTTTGCCATACTTTAGGTTTCGCGTATGAAGTGACACGGCGCCATCAACGCCCACGTTTTGAACCTGAAACAGAATTCTTCCGTAGCAGATGTAAACGATGATAGGCTAGTACCTACCTGTTATGAGGTTCTTCCTGTTGCCGCTAATAAATAACTATTTCATGATCTCTCTGACAAAAACCACAATCATGATCAATTTCCGATCATATTTACTTGATGTAGCTATATTTGAACTTACTACAAAAATGAAACGTATTACTGAAGAGTTATTGTTCCGAATGACTAGTGCCCGCAAAAAGTTACATCGCAATCAGAACAGAATCTCACTGCTTCTGTATTTTTCTTGCTTTTATTGCTGTGTCATAACTACATATATTTATACTTTTAAGCATTTTTTCGCGTGGTTTTCAATTTATTGAGCCGTTACCTCAGCAGACACAAGATCTCCATCGATGAAATATTGGCTCATCATCAATTCGTCTTCTATTGACTTTCTTCGAAGCTCTCCCCCGGGAAGGTTAACTGAGTGAAGATGTAATGCCGCGTGAAGACGGGCACCAACGTCAACCTTCCACAGTTTCTGACACACCTGCGGATAGGCAAGATTCGGAGGTCATTACTTCAGGATACGCTACACTGAATTGCGACTCAGATCGTGCAATTGTTAGCAGATCATACTAAAAGTGTATTACGCGCACGAGTTTCTGGTCACGCGACTGGTCAGTCAGAACTGTATGCGCTTTGAAAGAATATTATTTGTTTAAAATGACTGCATTATGAAAAACGGTGGAACAAGATAAAAAAAAGATGTTATTTTACGATTCAATCATGGTTGCATTAAATTGATATGCACCTGCACGATTCGTCCCACGACGACGTCGCCAACTTCCGGATTGTACCTGTTTTGCAAGTAATTAAGCGAGCGAAGCAAACGGTTGAATTCGCGTGATGCGGCCGAGACACATTTGTTTCAAATGAAAAAAGTCTCAACTCTCAATACAATCAAATAGATCTCAGAAACATGAACATACGTTTCTTGGAGACATAAAATTGAAACTTTAACTTAAACATAGGTGATAGGTAAAATGAAAACTAAATTCATAAAAATAATGGCAGGAACGTTTATTTTAGCAAGACATATCCAGCCAAAATTCGTAGATAGCACGACGAACAGAAACTTCTTGCTTGAACTTCAACATTCGCTTACCGTGTCTTCAACGGACGAACCGTAATTAGTTTATTTACTTTCTCGACCACGCCGGCAACAGCTGACAGAAGACCGCTTTCTTCTTCGAGATACGTTCCATGACCTCTGTGGATAACGGACAGATAGTGCTCAACATAAGTGAAGCAAAAACGCTTATTCCTTTTACTGGGCAAATGCTGTAACAGTATTTTTGATGCTAAAAATTAAGTACAAGAAACACCGTTTTTGTAACTTACAGGACTTACATTACAGTCCTAGGTAGCTACTGTAAGCTTTTAATTGCATAATCCTAGTTACCCATCAAAGAATAAACAGGAGTCTTATAATAAAATTCGAGACTTTAATGGTTTCGTTTCATTCAAATCAGAATTTTCAGCTGAGCATTCTGACGTCAAACACCGAGAGTGTTTCTCACCTCATGTAACCACCATCCGTAGTAATTGTTTCACCAGGTGACATGACGATCTTAGTCGCCTGCGGGCTTTCACGTAAATTCAGGTTGCTAGAGGGCCTCGACGAGAAAAGGCGCACGTCAATATCTAACGCCATCGTGATGAGTTTACGACACGAAAGTCTGTACGACTTAATAATTCTATTTGTTTCAACAACCTTTGTTTTGAACAACCATGACACAGAGACACAAAGGAGAAAATTACATTATCTTCCGATAATTTTCAGTTACACCGCCAGTTTTTACCTCGCTGCTACATAAGAGTGCGAAACAAAAATGCTCGTATTTATACTGACCAAGATTCAGCCGATAAGCTTATAGCACAAATTGGTTTGTCGATGAAGAAAACACACGCCGGCCTCCTGGCTATCAACTTAACCACCTCTGCGGATTTTCTGAATTGCTACCAACAATGTTGACTCGATCCCAATTCACTGCCTTGAGGCTAACTGTCTTTTGTGCTGTTCTGCGTATGCGGAAGTCCAACCAAACTTTGAATGGTATGTGTAAATGTTTTCGAATCCCACTCTTAATTTATTTTTCCCATATGGAAGCTGTAGAGGAAAAGTAAGGGAAAGATCCTCTCGATGTTTCCCATAGAGGCCTCTTTTAATCTGTTCTCCCAAATGGATTGAAAGTTAGAAAAAGATGTCAAACTTCTGCAACATAATCAGTAAAGCAGACCCGAAGACCCATACACCGTTGCTGAAAGGTCATTATTTGCCAGGCCGCAGCATAAATACATAAAAAAGAGTACTTTGTTGTGGCGTTAACGAGTATTATTTTCCGTTTAATCATATCTGCGTTGTCTCCTTCAGCTTCAGAGTAAACGCAGTTTGATCATTATTTATTTTTTTTGTTACTATGAGTGAGTACGGTAGGTGAATTTTGAAATGACATCTGAAAAAGTAGTACTATAAATACGATACTAACACGCCCTATTGTCCTATACAATTAATCGTAATAGCGATAACCAAAATACCCATATCTAGTTCAAGCCTGTCTACCAACAAATAATTGAAGGAGTACACATATTCGATGAATCTAATGCGTTTCTTTCAATATAGAGCGTACATAAATCCTCGCTGCTTGATGAATTGAGGATTGGTGTGGATCGTGTGTGTACTAAGTAAACAAATCTAGAATTGAACCAACGATCAATTGCATGTCGGCCGTAAGACCGAACCTTCTATGCGAGTTCCCGATATCCTTTTTGTGTTTTCTGATGTTTGCGGGCTCTGGACAACAACAACAAAACAGGTGTAAAATTAAGTGCGGGTGTGCCCTTTCTAGAATTACTTTTGTTAGAAAGGTTTTGATAGCGCTTTGCATTTTATTACGGCAAAGCTCATCGAAATCGTAGTCAGTAAAATTCGTGCATCTCGACCCGAGTCAGGTGTCCACTTCTATCGCAATAACTATCTTAAAAGTGTTGGAAAAGCGTTCGCCGGGGTTTCATTGTATCGGTGTACTGCTGGCGTACAAATTCCTGGCAAGTTGCAATTTTCTGACAAACGTTGTCTATAAGCTTGTTCTATGTGCATTAAGTTCGAGAGGTTGCTCTTTGTACGGTTATCGACCTTTCCTAGAGCTTATTTACGCTCGAAAGCCAAGAGACGTTGCGGAGAGTTTGAGGGTCTGTTCGCTCTCTGAAAAGCCACTCACCTTTAAGGTAAAGCATGTCACTGTTAATTGGGGTGGAGTTGCTCCTTAAAGATGAACTTCTTACCGAGACTGGCCGCTGCAATAAGCTCGCGCAACATCTAACTGAATTGACTAAGAAGGTTCGTGAAAAACGTGCACCAGATTGTTAAATAATGAATAAGTATTCACTGAATTGATAGAACAATCGTTAGTCTAAATTCAAGTGCGTTTAACATTTCTTACGTTATAATAGCGGATCCTGGTAACGTCAATGTTTATGAGCTAGCCAGCTGAACAACATGGACAGACAAAGCAGAATTGTAGTTCAGTATTCATAAACGTCATGGATTGATGACTAAAATTAAGCGCCTTAGTTCATTATTGCAACGGAATATTCTAGACGCATGTCTAGCTTAGAAGACACTTAGACCTACTGGATAATGTCCGTACGGGTCCATTGTATTTACAGGTTGTTTCTTCACAACAACGCATAGACTCAAACGGTTTTGATGTCGTTGTCCAGCTCGTCACTTATCTTGAAGAAAATCCAAATCGAAGCGTTTTGAACGAGTTGCTTGCTCTCCTGCGGAATCTAGCTGCCACTTCACGACGATCCCGCGCTACATTAATTAAGAGTCCACTTAATGAAGCTCTGATTCAAAAGGTGTGGTTAGGCACTGTGTTGCTGAAGCCTGTTATTTCTTTTCGGGGTGTAATTGGAAATAGAACAGGAACTTCATCTTAAAACGCTATTGAAAATATGAAAATGTAGTGGAAGTACAAAGACAGTACCGCAAACAGCGGCAGTCATAATTAATAGTCAACAGGATGCACGGTTGGAAAAATTATCAGGGCCAAGGAAGCTACGGTAAAATTAAATAGCATAATTAGTAGGCATATAGGTCCTTGCTGGGCAACTGTCAAATCAGATGTTATGCAGGCGTACTATATGAATTTACCAAAAGTTAGTTTCGTGCAGAAAGTAAAATAAAGAATAAATTAGGCCTTTGTTCCTTTTGATATGATAATAACTGCTGTCAGTAATTTCGATTTGTAGCAAGAATATGTGTTATGGCGTAGTTAAGAGAACTTCGAAGCTAACAAATTTTTTTTTTAACAGGAAGGTGCACCTGCAGACCATTACCCTGACGTAGGTACACATCTTGATGAGAATAAATTTTTTGTGGATCAGTAGCCCACCGCTAGTAATGTATTGACCAGAGTGGTAATTCTGACAATTTGCGACGAAAAATCGTACATTTTTGGTAGCTTTTGATTTAATTACCAATTTTACGTAAATTGAAACTAAAGTATTAATTATTCCAATTGTGTATACATAGATTACACCTCGCATTTTCTCTTACAGAATTGTCTCTTGCAAGCCAATCGTGACTGAAATCTGTAGCAATAATGTTCTTAAGCAGCTTCGCCTTGAACTTAAAGCAACATGCCAACAAAGTTATAAAATCAACTTTGTTGGCATGTTGCTTCTAACTAGTCTATTAGAACAAGAAATTACAGCGGCGAACATATTTTCAGCATTCGTTGGAGTTTCAGGTAATGTTTTCTGCTTCTTTATTTACCCTTACAGGTCGTAGTGGAAAATTTTGCTGGATCAGAGGCGTCGCTAATGTCATGCAGGAGATTGTTGCAATATCTCGGTAACTTAGTTGGTGATGTAGACGACAATCTAGTCATCTGGGAAGCTCTTCTGGCTCGTGAGAAGATCTTCAAGAAAATGTTGGGTTGTGATGTATGTTTACTTATTACTACTGTATATTATAATATCATTTATCACATATAGGGCCTTTTGATCGTAACGATTTCGTATCTGAGCCCGGATATGAGTGTACAAGTGCGCTAAATGCGATCTGAACCGGGTTCCTGTTACTTATAAGAATACTCGCTAATTGCAGATGCGAATATTCTAGTTGTTAATCTTATCTAATACTTTGGCCTATTTCTTTGATAAAGGACCAAAAAACATCATTGTACTCGGCCTTCACTCTAATTAACCTCGTTCGCGGAGAGAATCTTCCGCGTTTGCTGAATCTACCTGATCTGGTAGAGTTGCTGGAGCTCCTGATTTCAACGGTTCTGCGACACGAAAATGAATGGTCTTTATTAATTCTTGAGAACGTCATTACGTCGGACCGGTTTGCAGCCACTTTTGAGCCGTTATCTATGAGCTCGAAGCAGTTCCTGCTCGACCTTATGTGCGAAAAGGTGAAAATGTTCATTAGCGAGAAACCTTCTATAGCAACATGCCATACTGTTTTCTGTTCATCAGATAATTATTATTGTACTTTATATAGCGGAAGTGACAATTTTAATTAACTCAGTGGCACACTTTGTCTAAGCACTGCATTGTGGTGTTAAACGAATCGTCAGCGTTACGGAATCGTGTTTCGTTTAGTGGGCCTATACGGACAGCCACAAGAAGATAACGCTCGTAACCAAAAAAATGTCGCTGTTCATAGAGGCCGAAAAACCATTGAATAGTTTGACCATCTTTATTATTAATGTTATTCTAATTACTCGTGACCATTACGTTTCAAGCGTCAGTATATATAAATAATCAAGTTTACTAATTGTCTTATTGTTCAAGCTGAACCAGCAACGAGCCCTCCACATTCCTTCAACAGGCAGACCGGCCTTTAGCTGAAGTTTCTATTTCCACCCTATTTCAGGCGTCACATTCCGATTCAAGTGCCTTCCATGTGCCAAAAGAGTTTGTCAAGCTCTTCGTCCGACACGTCAAAACTCATCTGGATCGAATACGCATTGAGTGCGCATACAAAGATTTAGTTGGAGGCGTGTTGCTGCTCAAAATGATCACGATATTGGCTCATGTATCGCTCGATCATAAACATGCGCTTGGCCATGATATTGAGCTCCTAGTGATGTGCATTGAGTGCTTAAAGGCGCTGCACGCAGCTGGTAAGAAAGGCAAAGAAGGATGCGATACCAGAAGCGACTTTGACGCACTCGTTGGCAATAAGGTAAGTTAAGTACTCAAGTAAGCGATATTCTCAAATTTAACTGCGTGGAAAAATTTCAAAGGTGTATTCTATAGCTTTGTGTGTTGGCCCCATGAAGAAAGAGGAGAGCCTCGTAGTGATCTTTATTTTTATTATAACAATTTATATTTCATTAATAAATAATATTTTGTAATTATCATATTTTATTTTCATACGCATTTTTTTTCAGATCAGTTTAACGAAACTGACCACTCGCAGAGAAATTGTTTAGTTCCCACGATAATGCAAACGGAACGTATCTGCGTATTAAATTTAAGAGAGACATGAGGTGGCTTATGTTTACAACCGTAGACGAACATATGGTTCATTTCGTAATGGAAAAATATAGCTATCTAGAATGATCCTTAACTAAGGTAATATCTGATGTACGATTCTACACAGTTATGAAGAAATGTAACCTAACTTCCAGGCTGAGATCTATGAGCATCCTCTATTCAGTCTAAAGCGAGACCTCGTGAGACTAATTGGAAACATGAGCCACAAGAATAAACTTAACCAGGATACTGTCAGGTGAGTGAATCATTCGCACATGTTGATCTGGTCCTCATGACTCTTGAGGCACATGACGATTCGGACATATTAATGTATGCCACTTCAATCAAAGCTAGATGACTAAACTAAATAAAGCTAAAATATTAAACAAAAAAATTAAAACGTAGACGACAAGACAGGTGAAACCGACTCAGGGATATTAGCCTATATCTTGTCGTCCTTACAGGGAGCTCCAAGGCCTAGAACTTCTCTGTGACTTGTCACCCTTGGATGCACGAAATCCCGGCATAACGCAATGGGTCATACTGGCTCTGAGGAACCTCCTGGAAAATAACTCAGAAAATCAAAAAGTCATTGCCGCGCTAACACAAATAAGCGTACCAAAAGATTCACCTGTTCTCAAGGAACTTGGACTTCAATTTACGTAGATGAATACAGCGACAGCACTGGACCAATATTATTCCATTTCTATTAAAAGTAGCAAGTTCCTTAGTTTCCAATAGCTGTTTATACATCAATTCATTTTACTCATTATTCTTCTAGTTCAAGTTGACTGCAACTTGCTTAAAGTTGTTTTTATGGATTAAAATAAAGGCTATTTAAATACTCTAGTTTAAGCTAGATAAACACTGAAGTGTGAAAAACGGGTGGACCCATTTAATGCGTTGTTCATCTAATTTGGACGGCTCGTATTTTGTAGCTGCGGCATCGTGGATCGCTATGCTTAAACTAAGTTAAATTACTTTTTCTTTCGTGAGTTCATTTGTGACCTACTGCGCTTTTTTTTCTCTTGCAAGAAAAACCTAAACTTTATCTAGAAAGAAAGGGATAAATGTATTAAGAGATGGCATCGTGTCAGCCCTTCACTTGCTAAAGCATTATTTCTCACACTACTTTCCGCACCAAATTTGCAGAAAATATCCAAGTAAAAATAAAAGACCACCGATCTCGCACTGTTCACGTATGTTCGCTTAATATTTTTTGTTCCATTTATTTGTTTCAGTGAAAATGTAGGAAAACAGTTTAAATTTCATTATTACTATTTCCGCCATTTTTCTATCATCGCTAACAGGATCGACGATCGCTGTTAATTAAGCTCAGCAACGGCGAATATTCATTATGTGAATAGGGGACCATTAGGGACATCTAGTTATTACTGATTCATATTCAGAGGCGTAGCACGTGCCTGATCAGAGCCGTAATCCTTGTGTAATGTTCTATAATAAAGTATATTCCGTACGTGTCGAGCCTGCCAGCATCTGAAAGCAAGGGCAAATAAAGGGAAGAATATATTCACATGCACCTATCATATCGGATTTTTGCTATTTGGATACAGGACGAATGCAATGCCAATATTCTGTTGTGTTGTGATGTTTAGTTCTGCATTTTAGATAATAGGTACAATAAGGACCATTTGTCGATGTATGGAATCACTTTATGACGATGAGACGGGGAACAAGCGGCAAAGACATCCTAGTATGCTACGCCGATTACATCGATACTCTAATGCTCTACCTAGTAGATTTATGGGAGGTAGTCAGCATAATCTTCTTTGTTTTCCAGCTGTTTCACTCATACAGTGGCATGCGCTTATATATATATAACTAAAATGGACGATAGAGAAGTCGGACAGTGCTGTGCAGTGATATGGTGAAACATCTATGGAATGATTAAATAATACGAAAACATTGTATTTATATAACATGGCCAAACAGAAGGTGACGTAAACGCAGAATAGAAGGATGCTTTATAACGGTAATTTTTAAAGATACTTTCAAGATGCGTTTTGCGATAGACAATCTTTCGCAATTCGTATGTAGACAACCATGTTCCGTATAGTGTAACTACCAAATCTTTCAAGGAAATATTGGAACGTGTCCAGTCTTCCTTCCGAAGCCAATGGGTTTGTGAAGAAATGGGACCTATATTTAGGTCGCTATCAGCTATTGAACGACTTTCAAAATAGTTCGACTACGTAGAGAATACGGGATACTGTTGAATGGAATTTGTCGTCAGCGTTTGACCTATGCGTCGACAAAATTTAGGTACAGCGTTTACCGTTCAGTATTGCAGCTTTATTTTTTGAAAAGCACAGTATATTTTAGATCGATTATATCGAAAAATAAACAGTTTTTGTAATTCACAAACAAAGTTCATGTGTGTTGTTTGGATCGTTGTCAGTAGTCTAAAGGTTCAGCAGCAAGTAAACTTGGGCAATTTTTTCGTCGTATTTCGAAAAATACACATTGATTAATAGATGTCAATTATAAAAAATTATAATTGCCATGGGATCTGTGTGGGTAGATTTTGTTTCCATGCTTGGTCGTGTTTCACAATATACAGTTCTTACCACATTATTAAAGGTGATGGATAATGGGGGGCCACAATAATTCCGGTTCGCTCAGTCATGTGCTTCTTTGCAGATATCGCACAAGGTAAGCATTTTTTTTGAGCGGCAGGTCGACGTCAATGATGAAGCAATTTTTTGCAAATAAGAGTTTGGATACTGAAAAAACACATCATTCATTACAAATTAATTTTTGGTTTAGTTACGTCGTATAAATAAGGCCAATATAATTGCTGCTTTATTTTTTACGCCTTTGCAAAATTGCAGTTAACGCTTGGCAAAGCAACTGGCCAGTTTCAATTAGTGGCCATGTCTAAATTTGTACTCAATGGCTTTTACAAGATTTGTTCGGTTGGTATATCTGTTTCAAAAAAAAAAAAAAATATTTTGTTCCAAAAGAAAAAATAGGTCTTAAAACCGGACTAACGCCTTAGAAACCGGCCGGTAGAAACAGATTGAGTGAGATATAGTTACAATAGTTGTTGCCAGATTCTGTCACCAAAAATTTTGTGCTTAATTTTAGAAGGGTATTTGAGTTTGCTAAAAAGGTAAGGGTAAACATAACCTTGTTGTTACCTCCTAAGTGGCACGTTAAGTGCTATACACCATTTTGTTATACCTTGATTCCCAGCATAAAACAGTATGTGTCCATGAAAGTTATTCATGTGGATAGTTTTAAGACAAATAAAATGCATGAAGCTTTGTCCGTTGTAAAAATATCTAAGCATAGGAGATTTTAGTATAGGTTACTCTCGATTCATTAGACTTACCCTTCATTTTACCTCGGGCATTTAAATGAACAATGTAATTTTTTGCTGGATATAGTGTTCTACCAGATTAGTTTCTATTCTATTTCTTATAGCCTAAATTATAACAACCAAAAGTCAAAGAGCCTGCAGCAGTAGGCAATTCCGCTTGCCTGCCGCCGGCCCCCCCATAGCAGAAAAAAGACATAAAGAAACTGATGATCTTAATTTACAGAAAGATAATGTTCGTTCTAAAAACCGAGTACTTCGGTAAAATCTGTATCACAATCGAAAACGCAACCGCGCCTGCTCTACTTAAGAAAAAGTTTGACATTTAGTCAAATTAAGTTGATTCCAACCGCTGAAACTTGGGCCCGTACGAAATAAGCGCTTTCCTGATGGTACCCGTACGTAAACATATCATTCACACTTTTTCAAAAAAACAAGGAAGTGTGTCTAGAGATGCTGCAGTTGTCACAAGCCGCTTGCTAAACCTGGTTCAGGTTCTCGTGCTATGGATGATGGAGATTGGACTCAAACCCAAATAATAATTATGTTAGGTTGTCGTACCATCAGAAGAGACCAAGTCTGGTTTCACCTTTTTTTAACCACTTCTTGTCTTTTTGAGCCGCGTAAAAGGTGATTGCCTGGTGAACGGAAACGGTGCAAATTCATCAGCGTCAGAGAATGTAAAGAATGCAATGAAACCTCCCATTCGAAGTCCAAGAGCGTAGATTTTAGGATGTTTGCCGAGTGTAGCTTCACGCTGTCACGGAACAGGATGATAGCCTTATCTCGTTTATCGGATTTGTTGTCTTAAATAGCCTGGCTGGCTAGGCGCAACTGAGTCAAGTAAACGTGCCGATCAGTTGCCTGCTTTGTGGAAAGCAAATTCAATGTCAATCAGGGATTTGGGGTTTCAGCAAACCTATCTGGTCAAATCCTGGGCTTTGGCTTCCCTCCTGGAGCCACGCATTCCAGTCTCTGTTTCATATGACGTACAGATACAATTTTTCATCATCATCGGTCCGTGTGGCCGCGTGACGCTCAATACCGGGTGAGATGTTGAAATGCAGCATTAAGTCATAACTTCTTGTTAGATCCGGAGCGTTCACGAGGTATTCAAGCTCTAAGTTTTTGGGTAAAGAGTAGGTGCTAAAAGTTGTTAGCTATGATCGTGTTGTTGCAGCCTATTTTTTCGGCCAATTTCCGAATTGTTTGTTGGCTGTCTTGCTTCAAAAATGCCTTCAGATAATCATCGTCAAACTCGGAGAATCAGCGAGAGCCGGGGCATTTTTTAAACACCAAGTACCGTTTTCAAGGCTGACAAACTACTGTTGAGCAGACCTTTTAGTGATAACGTTGTTACCCTACATAAGGCGAATTTCCAAACTATTTCAGCCAAGTTTTAACGTCTACGAACAATATCGTACAGGCAGTGTTAAAAATGTACTTTTTTTTTTCTTTGAAGCATTCATATTTGACAAGTTATTTCGAGCTGACATTGCACAATACTCTTACAGGACAATGATAGAGCAGAAAGTGCCCTTTTGAACGGTATATCAGAAGTTAACAATAAATAAAGGGTAGTGCAGGAACTTTCTAAGTACCACCCGACACAACCAAGCACTTTGCTAGGGACGTAAAAATACCTCTTTGCATATCATTGTTGACCTGGTGTTCGTTCCGCGTTCTATTCTGTTGATACAATTTGAACTTTAGATAAACGTTTCCAGCTCAAATGCTTTGGTCAGTAACAAAGCTATTGTCAATAGACCCAAATCGAGTATTTGGACCAAATTGGGACAAATTTAACCAAAGTTGGGTATTAATTGAGACCAAAGGTGAGTAATAAGAGTAATTGGCGTCAAAACAATTTATATAACATGACGACACTGGAAAGTAGCGCAGTTTTTCCTATTTTTTTTTCATGGACCGTGATCCTAATGAAAAATGTTTGAACAAATAGCCAACCCTATTTTTATGCAAACACATATTATTTTCATGTTGTGTATTGCTATCTTTCTAATATTTTGGCAATGGCCTTATTAGAAACTTCGGTTCTTGTGTTATGTAAATGTTTTTGAAATTTAAATGTGTTAGTGAGTGATGGAATTTTACTTCAGCCAAAAATACAAGAGTGCGTGTGAAGTTCAATCAAATGACTCTACCTTTAGTAGTCGCATGTATGAGATATATATTCCATTTTTTAAGTTGATAATTATGACACATATAACTACCAAAAGAATCTTCCAATATGATTACGAAATTCAGCACGTCTTTTGCGAGTGTTACCCATCAAAAGATATTACCGCCTTTTGCCGACATCGTTTTTCGTTGCAGACTGCTGTAACACACGGTGACACGCACGCACACGGACGGCCGTTAGGGGCTGTAGCTGAGTCGTGTTGCCGCTATGTCACCATTGCCTAGACCCTCTTCCCAGCTATGCCTACAAGCGGTTTAAGGTTTCGCACCTGTGTTTATATTATATTAAATAAAGTAAATATATTAAGTAAAGCGTCCTAGTTGGCCACTGCTGGGCGCAAGCCTCTAACGTTGCGTTTTCGAAAGACGTACACAGAATTGCGGCAGCATTGGAACTTTATCACAGCATTCAACATCTATGCATTGTTTATCAGATTATGGATACTAGGATATGGCAATTTATAATTTATATAAGCGTACTATATATATATATATATATATATATATATATAGTACGCTTAAGCTAAGTCTAACTAAAGCCAACGTGCTTTTTTACAGATCTAAATGTTTCCAGTTTTATATCTGGAATCGCCTACATCCTAGTCCGAAAAAGATCAGGAGAATCTAGCTTTAATTAGGCGTTCTTCAAAGCACCAAAGAAACTTAAATTGCAACGTATTCTAAGGAAGAGAGCGTATTATGAAGCAGTTTATGGCGATGATATTGAAGTTTTATTCCCGCGTAAAGGTAGACTAAAGACAGGTATCATATTGAAACACCATTCTAGAGTACTGTTTGTAATGCAGAAGACAAAATCTTCTTGTTTGTTCTTTAATGTGTTACACTTCGGCCAAACTTGCAGCTCTATCTGATGCAAATTCAATGGGATATAAATTACATTGTTTGGGATGGCTATTATTGCCAACTTCGAACACTTAAATGTATGTTACGGATGAATAACTTTTTTATTGACACCAGTTGCGTAATAATTAAGACCATACACAC